GGCGCATGTTCTTTCAGATGTAAATCTTACTGAGTTCAATGTTGTGCACTGTAGGCACTTCTGTGAATTCCTGGTTTCAGAACAAATATGTAGCCAAAGAGCTGCATTTCCTCATGGGCAACCTTCTGGAGGCCACATGCAAGAGTTTATTTGGTGGCAGCTCCAAATATTTTAAAAACGCAAGGAATGTCTGCTGAATCAGGCCAAAGCCCTACCTAGTCCAGCATCCTGTTATCAGTGGCCAACCGGATAGATGTCCATGGGAAGGTCACAAAGCAGAACCTGAGCACAAGAGCACTCTCTCCTTCTTCGCTTCCCAGCAACCAGTATTCAGAAGTATACTGCCTCCAACTATGGAAGATGACAAGTGAGGAGTGGCTGTGGAACACTCCCCGTCGAGATGTGCCTAGCAACATCTTTGTTTTCTTTTAAGAAACAGATGAAGACTCGCCTCTTCCAACAGGATTTTGGATGAGGGGAACTGTGACTGGAGTGATTTATGAATAGTTTGTCACTGCTGCTTTTATTATAAATTGTATTGAGACTGCCGTTTTTAAGTTCTTGTGTTATGATGTTGTTTTATTATGTTGCAAGCCGTCCTGTGGCCTTTTGGTGAAAGGTTGGTGTATACGTTTCTTAAGAAACAAAAGGATTTCCTGCTCCCCGCCTCCAATGTCAGCTCACACAATCCAGTCTACGGTGTGTTATAAACAGAACAGTTGAAGCGAGAAATGCCTTTGCAGAGCAGATAATTTCACCTTGGATCTGCTTCCCCGCCCAAAACAGGACACAAATGGCCATCATCCATCAGCTGATCTGACTTTGTTTGTAGTTACATTTATGGTAGATTCAGTAATTCACTCTTAAGGTAAGGACACGTGCCATGAGCACAGCTGTTTATATATGGACAGCTGGTTTGTACCTGGCAAAAACGGAGTAGCAAAGGCTACTATTTCTACTAATTAATTAGTAGCGATGCCTCTGGTAAAAAGCATGGTGAGCTATCTCAATTATTGCTAGCTTTGACAGTAATGTTGAAACCAGCTCAAAAAATGTCAGCGCAACAGGGCAAGGCTCAGAGGAAAAGGAAGTGGGAGTATAAGCTGAGGTAAACCACAAGCATTCAGCCCCCCCCCCCAACTGAGCCTGAGCTAGTTACTATGGTAATCCTCATGTTCAGAATCTATTGAGTAGCTCATCAGATGGTGAAAGTGCTTTGAATTGTTATCTGTCAATGTGTTAAATGTGGAATGTGATGGTCTTGGAACCTGTGTTTGTCATTTAGCAACCATACCCTACAATAACCCAGTGGATGCAGTAATAGCTATAGAGACCTTCCTGCCACCAACTGCAGTTGCCCCAGAAATGCTTAAGGCTTAGGTGGGATCCATTTCATTAGTAGAATTTCCCCACAGCATTAATTTCATTCTATTGTTTATTTGTCTACTTAGATTTTATCCCACATTTCTTTTCTTTTTTCTTTTTTTTTAGATTTTATCCTACATTTCAGGCAAAATGTTACCTTCCAAAGTAGCTTTAAAAAAATGGGAGGCAGGCCCTGTCAACACGTTTACAAACTAAGTCAAGGGAAGGGAAATGGAAGGGAGGGGGGAGGTAGAGGAGGGAGTTCATATTTCAAGGTCAGAATAAAGTGGTGAGCTATTAAGTGGGCATTTATATCCAGTTGTTGCCAGGCTGCTCTTCCCTTGCTCTGCTGGTGTCCTTGCTTGCATAGTGGCTGGCAGCTCTTTTCTCCTTTGGCTGATGGATGGGGCCAGAGCACCCTTCCCTATTGCTTCTGCAGTCTTGGGACAAATGAAAGTCAGAAAAGAGTGGCATATTTATTTATTTATTGCAAGTATTTATATGCTGTGATTTAAGTACCTTACCCTCCCCAATGGAACCCAACACACATAAGACTGCTAGCTTTCCTTTTTCTAGATCAGTAGTTGGGATTTGGCAGAGCCTCCTTCGTACCCACAGATTGTCAGACAGTGACTTCCTTTATATTGCAGGCTTGTAGACCACCCCGTCATCTCTCAGTGAGTGCCAGCAGTTGAATCATACTGACCTGCTATGGCTCTCTCAAGTCAATGCCAGATCTACTAGAACCTTCAATTCCTGCAGCTACCAGGGTCTCATGCTCATTCTGATTCCTCCTTGCATCACAACTTCTGCCCCTCCTTTTATCCCTAGCTTTTCCCCAGCAGCAGAAATGTATGCACAGCCAGGGGTGCACAGAGGGGGAGAGGCAAGGGAGGGGGGGAAGAGAGAGAGACTCCCCTGAGGCCCAACAAAGCTAAGGGTCCCACATGTTTTGGTGCATATTGCCTAAGGTTAGTGGACGAAGATTGCACTTGTCTAATGTTCCCCTTTGACCTTCAGGACAGTAGCTAACAGAAAACCTATTCCCAGAATTGCCTGTGCATAAGCTGCTGTGCTTCCTTGCTTGAGGACTGCAAATTGGAACCAGGAACAATTCAGAGTAGGAGGAGGACTATGTCCCAGTACCAGGTGTGGACTTTAGTAATATGCTGCCCTGAGCAAGGACAAAATTTGATACTCCCCCAACATATTTCTTATTTTCACAATGATTCCTTATTATACTGCGTGCCTTCAGCTTAGTGCCCTGTGCTGAGGAATCACCCCATCCGCCCTAAATCAGGCGCTGCCAGTACCCACTGCAAGCTTTGCCTATCTAATGAATCATCATTGAGGGGTATTCATGAACTTAAATATTGCTGATATTCCATGTACTTAGATAAGCTATGTTATCTACTGACAGCATTTGGGAGCAGGTGCAGAAGGACAATACATGAATAGCTGCACCTCAGCAGAGCCTCGTTCATCCTCATGTTCCCCAAACTATTATTTGTCCTAGGCCTAGATAACATCTCTGCAGCCTTGTATAGGGCAGCAGTCACTGCTGCAGCAGGCAGGCTGCCTCCTACAAAGTGCTGCTCCGGATAGCCACCTAAGATCAACTCTGTAAAAAAGCATTGTCTGCTGATACACATGCCAGGAGTGTGACAAGTAGATGGGTTAAAGGCAACCTCTCTTTGAACAGAAATAATTGGTTGTGCAGTGTTTGCTCCTAAGGAGTTTTCAGGCCACGTGACTGGAACAAAGCGAGTGTGAAAGGTCATTGTAAGTATAAACTGTAAGGTGAGTAGATGTCTCATTGGAGTATCAAGTTGGATGGGAAGCAGTAAACACAGGAGTGCATTATTTGTAGCGTTATCATCCCAGAAGCCCCCTCAAAGCCTTCTGTCGATACAGCTGTTTTCACATGGACTTTCAACCACTGCTTTTTTGCTTCAGCTTCACGGACCTGCTTATATGACACTGAATCTGAACTTTTAGCAATACCCTTCATTGCAAACTCCATCTACTTAGCCAATCCATTTCAGTAGAGAACCCTTTACCAATACAATGTTGTAACTTTTGCAAGCTGTTCTGCTCCTGTGGTTTTTTGTCATTTTTTTAAACAAAAAATAAAGTCACTGTGGTTAATATTTAGCAACATGCTCCCTCCTTCACTCTTTTCATTGTCTTTTCTCATTGGTCATTCCTCTCCTTTGCCTTAATTATCTTTACTAAAATAAAGTATATTTATGATAGCCCACACCTTGCAAAAGAAAAAAAAAATGCAGCTCAACATGTGCAAGTCAAAGAAGCAGAAGACTCAAAATTCTTCCGTTGCATTACAGTACTGTATTTGGGTGTTAATTTATTTCCTTGGGCTTTAACTTTTCAGAAATAATTAATAAATACTTCCATTGTTAACTCCATTATCTATTTTTGTTCCTTTTCCAGTTGCAAACTTTAAATTAATTTTACCATTCTGCCTTTTGCTGTCAAGTTCAAACCTTCTCCTTGCCTTCTTTTTTAAATAAAGACTTCTGCCACACCTGTAGCCCTTATAACCCAATTGGGCTTCTGATGTCATATGTTAGTGCCCTATAAAAAGCCATCGGGGTCCTTCACTAACAAGGTTTACTACACTCCTTCATTCTTGGCCCCTATTTATTTTTCTCTGTCAAGCTCCTTCATTTATTTATTGATATATTTATTAATTGCATTTAGAGCCTGCCTTTTACTCCAAAGAAGTAAAGGCAGTGTACATGGTTTTCCCAAGTTCCTTTTATCCTCACAACAACCCTGTGAGGTAGGTTAGGCTGAGAGACAGTAATTGACCCGCCATACATTTAACAAAAATATAAAACACATTTCTCTGCATGCCCACCCCCCCAAAAGAATTCTGGGAACTGGAGTTCCCCTCTCAGAGCTAGTTTCTAGCACTCACAACAAACTACAGTTCCCATGAGTTTTTGTGTCCGTGCATGCTTGAATGTCTGGCGTGTATGCGGCCGAAATCACTCAGTAAGCTTTATGGCTACATGGGAATTTGAACCCTTATCTCCCACAATGTTTGTCCAACACTCTAACCACTGCACCACACTGGCTCTCCAAGTGGCTGAGTTCTATTTCCAGCCCTGCAATTTCTTCTCCTTACACTCTTCTCACTAATGCTTAACCACAGTATTTTATCTTTTAATCCTTGATACAATGATGTTCAGTGGCACACATCTTTCAACAACTTTAGTAGCATCACCTTCTCCACCCTTCATCCCTTTCTTAACCAAATAAACTTTCTTTCAAGAGTCTTCAGGTTATTGTCTCTAGGATACTCTGTTTCTCCAAGTACACCTTCAGCTATTCTGATTCTTGAAGTTTCTTATTGGTCTTTTTAGGATCCTTGACCTAATTAATGTCTTTTCTCACATCATTTATACCTACAAATATACATTCTCTAGCGTACAAAAAGCCTTGGGAATGGCCCAGCTAACGCTAGGATTTTAAATTCACATTGATGACAGTGTCAAAAGCCCATACTTATATCTTCTCCACTGAAATCAATAATACCTGAAAATGTTTAAGTCAGCCTTGTAAACGAGCCCTCAAAAGTTACTAGCCTATGATTGACATACAGGTGGCTTGTTTGCTTGAAACTGTTATTATTTATCAAACTTAGGTGTTTTTCTTAACAAAAGTAACTCAAAGCAGCTTACAGCAATAAGTAAATTGGTAGCTAGTGCAGTCACACCAGGATTTGTGTTTATGTGTTCAGAGCATCTTGCTCTGGCTTGCTATGGGCTGACAGAATGGATAGCAGATTCTGTCCCTCTTCCAGCAGCCTGCTGAATTTCAATGCTAGACAAGAAGGAGGCTTCCTTCCTCTGGTATCCCATGCTTTCTGTGTTGAGCACAAAGAAAAGAAGTTACCTGTATAATAATTCATTCTCTGCCAACCCATGAATCCCACCACAGAACACCTTATCATACATGGTACCAGGAAAGTGTTTAGATACAAGAGTGTCTGAATTTTGGAATGAACATCTCTTTTATTTTACTAGAGCCCCTCTAGTGCTTTATAAACTTCAGTTATAATCTGATGTTGCCTTTTTTTTTAAGCATTACAAACATAGAAAACTAGAACTTACTTCTGAATAAATATCCACAGAATTTCACTGCTAATTTTCTTTCACTAAAGATTTGACATTGACTATTGTGATTAACATTGGTGATGCAAACTTCCCATCAATTTGCTTGACCAGCTTCAAAATGATGGTTCTTAGTGTGTATGTTAGCTTCATACCTTGATACAGTAGGTCCAACTTTTATTTAGCAGGAGATCGAACAGAGGTTAAAGAGGACAGGATTCCTGCACCTTTGCCACAGTTGTGTAGAGGTGGCAATATTCTGCAGCTGTAGCTTGGATGACCACGCCTAACCCTACTGATATTCCCTGCTTTCTACATAACTTTTAAAGGTACAGGAGCCCTGCCCTCTTTTGCATCTGACCATCCAACTTGAGAATCTGACTCCTGAGTAGAGGGGCTAGATAATGAAAGTGGTTACACAGTTGCCATATATGTTAATGGGATATCATACATCAGAACTCCTTAGAGCACTACATATAACAGTGGAATCCCATTGCGCTCTGTGGGACTTCCTTGAAGATCAATGGGTGTAATATTGCTGCCTTTAAAAAAGCAAACAAACCCTGCTTTTTAACAATTAAATTTGGCAAGTCCAAAACTGGTGTAGTCCAGTAAAAGGGTGGGTAATTCATGCAGTGAAGCTAGGATTGCCATACATCTGGAATTTCCCGGACATGCATGGAATACTGCATCCGGAAGCAGTGTCAGGGCAGAAATCGTCAAAATGTCAGGGATGAGGTTCCTCATCTTGATGTATTTGGTTCACCTGATTTCTAGAATTTAAAAGTCAATGAAGCTAGCCAAACCTTATTATCCTTAGTACTTGGTAAGTGGGAGTATGCTATCTCTGAACATTAAAAAAGCATAAATATTTTATTAAAAAATATATAAAAGATTTGTAAAAAGACTAGTGGAGGAAAGACAAGTGCATTAATGTTAGGAATGACAGATATAAATGAGACTTTTATGTTTAGAGGTAGAATACCTCTGGTTTCCACATACTGATAACAATAATGGGTTGGCTATCTTCATCATGTCCTGTTATGAACGTTCCAGGGGAATCTGCTTGGCCGTCACTGAAAACACAATGTTGGACTAACAAGGCAAGCCTGTGCATGTTTACTCAGAAGAAAGTCCCACTATGTTCAGCGAGGCTTATACTTAGGTGTGCACAGAACTGCTGCAGCTTAAATAGATCTTGATCTAATATAACAAAGTGATTCTTACCCTTTTTTTAAGCTTGATGATGATGACAGTGGCATGCATGTATACAGAGCTTCACAAAGAACAGGTTTCACAAGTCCCTACTCCAAAATGCTTGCAATCTAAAACATAGAAGAGGGAACGGGAAATGGAGGTAGGGGTAAACGGGGGAATGTGAAATTATTTCAACTCCATGCACTTTGGTTGTTCCAAAAGTCTTCTACAAAATAAATGAATTTTGAGGAGGGACGTTAAGGAAGGGAGGAGGTTGCAAAGGCCTTCTGGACGCAGTTCCAGGCATAATGGGCAGGAAGGCAGGAAGAGCAGAGTTGTTTCAGGATGCAGGAAACCTTTGGACAGCTAAGTGGTGGACAAGAGGAGGTTACAGGAAGGGATGCATTGGAAAATAGAAGTGGAGAGAGAAGTGGGAGGGCAAGGCTGCAGATGAGCTTTGAAGGTAGTAAGTTTGTGCAGGATCCAGTGGTGGAAAGGAAGCCAGCTTGCCCATTTAAGGGCACTTTCCCAGTCTTTTATCAGTACTGCAAGAGTCTTTGTTATACGTGACGTGTTAAACTTCAATTAATAAGCGTCGAACAATTTTAATTTTGAAAAATATCGCTATTGCTAAATGGAAGTAGAAGACCCGAGTATTTGCTTTTAGATGCTTAAGGGCCAGTCTTGGAGAGAGCCCTATTCAATACAGTAGGGTTTACTTCTGCTTGAGCATGCACAGGAGAACAAGCGAGTGCCCACTGTTTTGTTCCTACTCAGGGTAGGTTAATGGGGCTGAAAATGGATGGCAGGGATTTCTCCCCCGCCGCCACTCCACTCCTTGCTGCCACGCCTCAGAACAGCCAGGGAAACGTCCAAGATAGGCCCACAAAGGGCCCTACCCTTTCTCCGTGCGCCTATTGGCCGCCCGACGTGTCAGTCTACGTTCCTCTCTGAATGAGGGCGCATTGGCTGAGCCCATTTCTGCGAGGAGGATGAGAGGCGGGCTAATATGAGAAGCGGGGGTTGAGGCGTCAGTTGAGGAGATTAAAAAAAAAAAAGCGTCCTCCGCCTTCTTTAGCAGCACCGCCCTCCTCTTGCGTCGCCATTGGCGGGAGCTGGAGCTCAGTCAGAGCAAGCTGCCCTTTTTATTGGCCAGCAGTACAGCAGGTGGGTGTTGCTGTCCTTAGCCGCGGCCGCTCCCTCCCGGCTTGAAACCTCGCTGTTGCCGGTGAGTGTGAGGCGTTGAAGCTGGAACAGCGCGGCGGGTGGGGCGCTGCGACTCTCTCCGAAGGTGCCGGGTACCGAGTCTAGTCTTCCCACAGCGAGGAGCAGGAGCCGCGGCGGTTCGCCCACCCCACCCCCCCAACCTCCCGGGCTTTGGCCAGACTCAGGTGAAAATCCTGCTTCAGGGACGGCGCGGGACGGGACGGGAAACACGCGAGAGATGGCGCTTGGCTTTCAGTTTGGCGCCGGCGGGTTGAGGTTCATCGCGAGGCGGGCGGGCGGGTGTGGCTTAACTTCTAGAATGCCTTTCTTCTGCCAAGCGGGCTGCAAGCCCAGGAAGTGCCACCCACTGTGGGGGCATCGGCTTTGGAGGGGGGTGGAAGCGGGGTGGGGTGGGGGGAAGGTGCAGCCTTCATCTCTTGGCTTCCTTTCCGCCTGGGGTGGGGGAACGCTGTGCAATTGTCACGCACAGGATCCTTCCCTTGCCGCACTGGCTACCTGTGCTTCCCCTCCCCCCCATACCTCTTTCCCCTCCCCCCCACCGCCCCTAACCCCAACAACCCTGCAGGGGAAATGGCTTTAAGACTACCGCCTCTTGCCTCTCTGAGAAAGCAGCTGATCGCGTGCTTCTCTCACCCTCTGCTGCCTGTTACCTATATCCTGCTCTTGTTGCAAGAGATTAAACCTGCTCGTTCCCTTTCCTCGGTTTGTAGCTGGGGTTGCACCCTCTAATCTAAGGATTTCCTGCCCCCTCTTCCCCCCCTTTTTTTTAAAAAAAAAAACAAAGCTGGGAAGTAACGGGCAGTATACCGCTTGGCAGCTGTCAGGGCTCCCGCCTGAGTCACGGGCTGACAACCTTGTTGCAGACATTGCAATGGGCTTGGCTTCCGCCCGCCGAGCTTGACTTCCTCATTCAGTTGGCGCTGCTTGAGTCAAGCCAGGAAAGGGGGAGGAGGGAGCGACGGGGCAAGACGAAGCTTGCAGGAGGAGAGTCTCTCTGGTAGATTTTGCAGCTGCCCCCGTTCTCAAATGGGACCAACTTCTCCTCTCTGTTCAGCCAACTTCCTTTGAATAAAAGGCGGTGAAATGCCCTGGTTAAGCAACAACGGGCGTTTATTTCCCTTTGGCAGGGTGGTTCAAACAAGAGTCCAGCAGTCCCAGGGTCTGTATCTGGAAGGAGCAACTTGTGAAAAGGAAAAAGAAATGGGACAAGATTCCAGCTCATGTGTTTATTAGTTGAATGTGGAAAGTGGGAAAATGCTCTGAGGCATGCTACTTCTAGAATATTCTCCTGTGGCAATTGTTGCTCTTGGGGAAATACTCCAGTTGACTCTTAAGCATTGTGATAACTGTGAAGCAAGGATTTTAGAAAGTGGGTTCTCTCTCGCTCTTGTCCCTTGATGATTGTTGCTATCTTTCAAACTTACATTTGTGGTAGAGAGTCTAGGGGATCTGTATTGCCTCCCTGTTTTGGCTATCCCTTTTCTGTGGAGCAGAACTACTTGCTAGTTTCAATACTTAATTGATATAAGGAAAGTGCCAATGCCCATCCCCCCCTTTTTTTTACTGGCTGTGTCTACTTTTTCATTTTGCTCTTGGTCTTGCCTTTACTTCCTTTCTGTGTATAATCTGTGACTCTAAGTTACTTCCAACCAATGTACACCTGGAGAGTGGAGTCTGTTTTAAAAAGAAGCTCCTCCAGGGCCTGTTTGTAGACAGCAGCAGCATCCCTCTAGACTAGAGATAAGTGTACAAAGTATCATGCAGGTCTGACTTGCAGGCGTGCCTGAGAAATAAGGACTCCCCAAAGCATTCAGGATTTTACCAATCTGTCAGACTTGTGTACTGCTGGCAAGCAAGATGGGACTTGCATTTTCAAAAAGTAGCATCTGAACTGGCAACAAATGACTCGTATACAAAAGTTTTGTTTGTTTCGCGGTATAATTACCCTGCAAATAACCGCAACAAAACTTGGCTGTTAATGCTAACATGTGCATCTGTGACTAATGATTCTACCCATGATGAAACTCTAGTTTGAACTGCATAGGTAAAAAAAAGAATGCTGTGGCTAAAGAGAATGTATGAACCCTGGTCCTCGGATTAACACACTTCTACAACTTCTTAAAAATGTAGTTTCTTCCCTTAAGCATAGGTGTGACACAACAGAATCCAAAGTAATGACTGCGTAATCAGTTACTGCTTGTATAAAGATACATTATTAGTCACCAGGTGAAAAAATGCTATAGTTTCTTATCTTTGCCACTCCAGTGAAAGCTGCAAACCTTTGCACTGGCTAATACTCTCTGACTCATGGACTTGCTGTCTGGAGCTATGACGTTATACTTGTGTATTCAACTGAAATGAAATAATTGAGATAAATTCTAGTCGCTTATCTGTGTGAATGTCTTGGAGGGCCAATACAATTAGCCTGCCATTTTGAGCCAAAAAGTATCATGTTAGCGGTTGATATGAGCTGGCTTGTTTCTGTCAGTATTTGAGGGCAAATTAGGCATATTAATGTAGCTTTTGGAAATAATTGCTCAGGAGAAAGCTTGTGTTGATGTAGAACTAGGAGGGTGTGTGGCTCAAGCGGTAGAGCATCTGCCTTGCCTGCAGAAAAAGGTTGTGATTCAGGGCTGGAAATGTTCCCAGTCTGAAAGTCTCTGCCAGTCCGTGTGGGCAGTACTGAGCTAGATGGACCGATGTTCTTGACTCTGTATAAGGTAGTTGCCTATGTTCCCATGTTACCCTGAGTCCTCCTTGTGGTTCTTGACTGGTTGCAGTAATAGTTACAAGTGCAGTCTCCTTGCTACTGCCTTGTCTAATGCAAAACAGTGTTATAGACACACCCAGTTATTATATCCCCCACGATATTTCTTTCAATTGATACTGGGCAATGAGAAATATGTTTGTAGTCCTCTGCAGGCCAGTGCTATTATGGGTGTGTGGAACCTGTGGCCCTCTACACGTTGCTGGATTCCCAACTCCCATCAGCCCCAGCAAGCATGGCCAGTGGTTGTGGATGATGGGAACTGTAGTTCAACAACATCTGGCGGGCTAGAGATTCCCCACCCCACAGCTATGATGATCTTCAACAGTGGGGAAGGTCCCTCAGTAAATGTAGGTAATGATTAACCACCACAGGTGACCAAGCGAGTCTTCATCCTTTACTGCAGCCCCAGATTTGCTACCTGTTGCACCTTGGATCAGTCCAATCTACTTTTTGAAACTCTGGATATTTATTCCCCATCCATCTTCTCCAAGGAGTCCAGAGCAGATAGGGTGACTTGTAGAAGAATTTACACAGGGTCAGTTAAACATGCCCAAATTAACTTTTGAAAGATTTGGATTCAGACTAAAGGGGCAGCATACCAAGTCAGATATAACTTGGTCTGAAAGTACTTGGAGTAAAAGGTAAAATTGTCTGAAATGTAACAGCAAAAGAAGCTGTCATCCATGCAAGCCTTATCTGTGTGTTTGAGGTTTCCAAGGATGGGGACAACTAGAAACTAAGGGTAATATCCAGTGTTAGTTGTGCTTAGAATATACATGTTGAAATTGAGAGATGAGTAATTTGTCCATTGATTTCACAGGTCTAATCCATGTATGACTATCACTGGAGATCTCCTTAAGAGTTACTGTAATTTGAGAGCCAGCAGTGACCAGTGAGTGAATAAGCATGCCCACTTAACTGCTATTTATTTTTCTAGCCTAAATTGAGACAGGCTTTTTGCACAGTACAGTCTTCTTATTTAATTCGTTATGCTTACTGTTGTGGCGTGCTTGGGCCGCATGTGACCTAAAGGTCCTGTATTCCATGAACTCCTGTTAATCCATAGAGTTTGACTTGAATTTAGGGCTGGATGTGAAGGGAGAGTAGCACATTACATTCTCACTGCAGTTTTGAGAGTTAACTTTGGTACATGCTAGTCTTGTCCTGGATAGCTTCAGATTATTTCCCTTCATGCAGAACCTGAATTCTGTTCTCCTTCCTCCTTGTAAAGGAGCTCATCTTGATTTTGGATATGTCTCCCTTAAGGATTCCAAAATTCCTCTGTTAAGAGCTACACTTGGAGCCTTTAATCTCGTATTGCAAAATACTGCCATAAGTGCTCTCTTAAGAGGAAGTCTTGGAGTTACTAGGAGTTACAAATACTTGGGGGAAGGAAGAAGTAATACAGTAGACTTTTGAGAAGAATTGGATGCCTTTTATTAAATAATGGAATAGATGCTGGAGTATTTGCCATAATGGGCATTCAGCGTTCAAAATTAGCTGGGCGCCAGTCGCATTTTGCGACTGGCAACTGGCCTCCTGCAACTGGATGGAGATATCAAGGAGGCATGCTTTGCGCCTAGCATGTCCACCTGCCTGGCTGTAGTCATCTGGTCTGCCGGGCACTCCCGCCAAACACCTGATTTGCCGAACGGTGCAGCAGGAAAAAACACACTTTTTTTGCTTCCATGCGGCCACACTGGAGTGAATCAGGTGTTTGGCAGGATAGAGTGGAAGCAAAAGACACGTATTTTGCTGCTGCACTACCTTGCAGACCCCCTGATTTCCTAGCCAGCTCCCCACCCAGTGTGGCTACCTGGTCTGGTAGCAGGGCAGGAAAAAACAAACAATGCACCTAGACATTTTGTTTTGCCGCCTGCGGCCTAGGTCCCAGGAGCCACATGGCTTCTAGCATTCCTGTTCCAGTTTCTAACACTGGGCATTTTGATAATGGACTAAGATGGATTTAGTTAGCATGTAAACCATCTAACCTGGAAGCTTGCAATTAACGTGGTAACATTTAATTTTTTGTTTTATGCTGGCCTATGCATTTTTAAATCTACAATATTGAAATGTAAATTTAAAAAGAGGGAGAGTCTTAGAAAATATGCTGGATCTCTTCTCTTCACATCTCATGTACTAGATGATTGCCAGTTTTTAGTGGGTTTTTTTTTTACTGACGTGACCAAATCTTAAATGTTTTGTGCTATTATTGTACCATGTCAAGATGCTGCTGGTAGGAATACATATACATATACATACATACTTTGAGAGAGAGAGAGAGAGAGCTTGTTTTGTGGTATTATGTAAGTTTTACCTTAAACTGTTGAATTCTGGCAGAAATCTTTGGCCAAGATTCAACTTCCCACCCACTTCGAGTGCAGGAGTGAAAAGTGCTTCTGAACATGCATGAGGGAGGGTCTGGCAGCAGTCCTTTGTACCTTATGAAGTACCGCACAATGGAGTCCATGACCTAGAAGGGTGCATAAGTACTCTAGAATAACTTCCACATTTGCTAGATTTTATTTTTTTCACTTTTAAAATTACACTTGTGCTAGTTTGGATCCTGGTCATTTTATATCTGCTTTTCAGAAAATCTATACAGTGGTGCCTCGCAAGACGAAAAGAATCCGTTCCGCGAGTCTCTTTGTCTTGCGGGTTTTTTCGTCTTGCGAAGCAAGCCCATTAGCGGATTAGTGCTACAGTATTAGCGGCTTAGCGGGCTTAGTGGATCAGCTGATAAGCGGCTTAACGATAAACTGATAAGCGGCTTAACGATCAGCTGATAAGCGGCTTAGCATCAGCTGTTAAGCGGCTTAGCCATCAGCTGATAAGCGGTTTAGCGGCTTGGGAAAAGGGGGGGGGGAAGGAAAAAAAACCCGCAGGAACTCGCAAGACATTTTCATCTTGCGAAGCAAGCACATAGGAAATTCGTTTTGCGAAGCACCTCCAAAATGGAAAACCCTTTCGTCTAGCGGGTTTTCCGTCTTGCGAGGCATTCGTCTTGCGGGGCACCACTGTAACTGGAAACTGCTGCTGAATGGGCATAGCTCAGCCTCCAGTTTGTAGCTGGTGAGTGCTTGCACTATTCACCTTGAGCTGTATCTAATTTTTTTTCATGTATTTGGACACGGCAGGTGTTCAGGTAGGCCAGAAACAGGCAGGCATGGAAGATAATGCAAGTTTCTCTCTCGAGCCTGGGGCAAATGTGCACTATTAATAAAAGGGACCATATTTCAGAGTATCTTTATTCTAACCGGTCTCTGCAAAAATGGTTAGTCAATGCATGCACCCAAAATGTCACTCGCATAAAAATCTGACTTATAATTATTTACTTTCTAAAAGAAGACTTGGACAAATGAATGATCTACATAGCGGGGGCAGGTTTTAACTTTCTACTCCTACATATCATGCACAGGGTTACATTTATTTCTTGTCTAGGATGCCATAATAGGATGAAATCTCCCAGAGAAGTCCTGGGAGGTACAGGCACTCCAACAATGGGTACTTGTAAAATTTTCCAAAGCCATAAGAGAAGTCCTTCTTTTTGGAGGATGCTGCTTAGTACTTGGGCCAGATCCCACAAAGCAATTTCCTTATGAAGCAGCAATTCCGATACTTAGTTGCCATATTCCTACAAGACTGCTCTGAGCTATCAAATTTCCACACATCCAGCTTGCTAACAGAGCTATGGAAAATAGTATAGATCCACCTTAACAAGAGTGCCTATTTTCATAGATGTAAATCATAATTTGGGCGGTTTTTTTTCATGTGGAGACTTTTCATGGCATGAACAGACTCGGTAGCTTAGATCTAGTTGTGCCATGTTTATATGCAAACTACTGCCAGCTATCAGCTTTTAGGCAAATGGCTTCTCTGATCTGATGTGTGTTCACTGTCAATAGCTCCTATCTATGCAGGCTGAAATGTAATAGTACTGGATTGCCTGAAGTAGCATAGTTCTTGTTGACTGTGAATCTAAGATGACTTTGTTCTTACCTTGACTTGAAGCACCCCTCCCCGTATGACATATGTGACAAAAGAACATGGAAAGAGGTAGCTAAAGACTTGATGGCAAGAGTACATGGACTGCTTGTGGTTACATACAATTACAGACTCATCCCTAGAAGCTAAACATTAAGTAATGCATTAATAGTACCAATACCTAATTTTAGATTACTTCTTTCATGTCCAGCCCTTTGGGATATGTCCTCATATTTCTGAACATTTGCCTTTGCTGTTGATTTGTATTGAAGGAACCATTATGTTGTTGTGGAATGGGGATGGGGCTATACTTTCTCCACAATATAGACTATGACAAAGTTCTCTCACCCTCCCATTAAGCTTCTGGTATCCTGCGGGTGGCGTTGTGGGTTAAACCACAGAGCCTAGGGCTTGCCAATCAGAAGGTCGGCAGTTCGAATCCCCGCGATGAGGTGAGCTCCTGTTGCTCAGTCCCTGCTCCTGCCAACCTAGCAGTTCGAAAGCACGTCAAAGTAGTAGATAAATAGGTACCGCTCTGGTGGAAAGGTAAACAGCATTTCCATGCACTGCTCTGGTTCGCCAGAAGCGGCTTAGTCATGCTGGCCACATGACCCGGAAGCTGTACGCCGGCTCCCTCGGCCAATAAAGTGAGATGAGCGCCACAACCCCAGAGTCGTCCACAACTGGACCTAATGGTCAGGGGTCCCTTTACCTTTTATCCTGCAAATACTGCTTCCCTGTGTATTTTGAGGAAATGGGAAAAGTCACAGCACATTCATGCCTTTACCCAAGCCTAAGACAGTATGCTATATAGGGCTATCTTGAATTGGTTATCCATACACCAATTAGGCATGGGCTCTGAGAGAGGTTTAACAAGAGGATCCAAATGGTTCAGCAAAATTAATGAATGTTAGAATGATGTTGGAATGAAGCTAGGTGGTTTAAGCAGTAATGCTATAAAGGTGTATGTAAAAAAGGATTGATAACAGATGAAAATTTAAAGTTATAGTATATTAAGTTAAAGGATCATGAGAAAACAAAGAGGGAAAGAAATTGCTGACTTAACTAATTGAACTGGAATACAAAAAAGGGAGGTATGAGGAGGTCAGGGAAACAAGGATATGAATGTAAGCTATGGAAAGATTGATCCATTTTTCTTTTTTTCTTTTTAAGTGTCTTTTATTCTTTTATTTTGTATTTTGTATTTTTCTTGTATTTTTACCTTTTGTTTTTGTGTAATTCTTTTTTTCTCTGAAATTTTAATAAATATCATTTAAAAAAAACAACAAATGGTTCTGCATACAGTAAAAAATTTATTGCCTGCCTTGGACTAGGGTAGTTTAAACAACATGGAACCCAGTACCAATTTTCATTAGTCTATAGTAGTGGTTCCCAAACCTTTTCCCTCTGAGACCACTTGAACATTGCTGAGGGCCTTGGCAGATCACTTAATGATTCTCCTGCCTCTTAGAGCAATTGTAATGATTATGCTGTGCTAGATGGTGTATGTTTTTAATTGTATTTTTAGACACACTGGGCCACTTGAATGAAACTTGTCGACCACTTGTAGTTTGGGAACCCAAAGATTCTAAAAGTTCTAGTGACCTACTGCTCTGTTAAGAGGTTGCTGCAACTGTTAAATACAGAATGTGCAATCTTTCATCAGTTTGCTAACTTTTGTACCAGGCTACCACTTCATCCAACTTACTTCCAATGACAGTATCCTAAATTTAATTAAATGCTTGAAAATGAGTTCCTTTGAAAATATGGGAATTTCTTCCAAACACATTCAAATGCATTGATAAGATTTAGATGAATGCAAAGATTATCTTTAGTATCTCTAAAATAGTACATTTCATCTACTCACCTGATTGAAACAACCACATTTTTTTCCTGCTCTCACAGAAGCACTCCAATACCATCTTTGCTGTGTGAGAAGCAGCTGGGGAGAGGAGCTGCAAGATATTCAGGAAGGGTTGAACCCCTTGATCAGTGTGTCCTCTCCCAATATATGTGATGAGGCTACTCCAAGATTAAACCCACACAACTGCTGCAGTGTCTAATATTGCCCTAAGATGCTGTTAGTGGTAGACTTCGCATAATCACTAATCAGTTTGACAGTGGCACTTGAAATTATTCAGACCAGTTAGAAAATGCCTTCAACCCAATTAGCTTAGCAGGTAAGCCCTGCTCCTTACCACTGTTGGCTATGAAGTTCCTTTCAAGTAGAGTGAAGCTGTAATTGCTGGACTACACTATGGGGCTTATTTTTCATTTTGTGCAGTATTATGCAAGGTATTTAAAGTCTAGACTTGATGTTAATGTGCACAGACTAGGTATCTTAGTTATCCCTCAGGTTACTATAGAAGAAATGAAGAGGGACGACTTTTGTGCTATACAGTAGTGCTGAAACTGCTTGGGCATGCATCATGAAAGCCTTAAGAATAATATATATAGAAAAGCCTTTGGGTACTTTCATGGCTCCAGCCTGCATTAAATTTCTTCTTGTTTCCTCTTAACTAGCTGTTTTTCCACATTTCATATTGTTTAATAGTGTTCTTGCACAAACCTGCTACACGTGTTTGAAGAGCAAGTTGCGATACAACACAAATAGTATTATGGGTGGTATCCAACCAAGTTCTGTTCAGAGCACACCCACTGAAATTAATGGACCTAAGTTAGTCAAGGGCATTCATTTCTATGCGTCTACTCAAACACTGGATACAGCCCCTAATGCCCTTTTTCTTGTTGTCTGATATGAGGAAGCACAGCTGAGAGATCCACTAAGAACTTTTTCCTAGAAATGGTATTTTTAGGCACTGCTGTTCCAGCTTCCAGTTACAGTCTTGCCCAGACCTCCAAGCTACTCTATCTTATTCTTAAACTGTTCTCATCCCCTGAACTGCTCTTTTTTGTTTCTCCTGGCTGTAATTAAGCCTTTAGTCCTTGAGTTCCCCTTCATCCTATTGCTTGCCATATGTACATCTTGCAGGAGTCTTCAACAATGTTTTTCCAAAATGAGGGGCAAATAGTTGGGGTACTCTTTCCCAGTTGGTGCCTTCCAAATGCATTGGATTACAATTTCCAACAGGCCTAACCAGCATGGCTAATGATCAGGAACAATAGGAGATGTAGTCCAAAACATATGGAGGGTACCAGACTGGGGAAGGAAGGCAGGTCTAGGGAATCTACCTAATGTTCATAAACTGTTCTTTAGAAGTAGACCTTTGACAAAACATAGCTGAAAAGCGACTAGCTAACTTTTTACCTTTCACCTATGTCTTCAGCAGTCCCAGTTACAAGCATTTCTTTATTGGAGGCTCCCAAGCTGTTTATGGCCTTTAGGTTATCTTAAAAACAAGCTTGCAACTGCAGTATAGCCTACTTGTTTGTGTCCAGGGGCGTGCAGTAAAGAAGGGAGGCTGAGCCAGGAATGGTCACTGGAATGTCTGCGTTTGTGCACAACATTTCTCCTTTGTGTTGGACCAACACTTGCTTTTGGATAAGGGAACATCCCAGGAAAGTAGTGCTGGCAGATGGCAAAGGGCTGTGCCAAAGGGATAGGTAACATTTCTGAGTAGGTGATCACAAGGCTTTTAAAAAGTTGTATATGATTATAATTCTGTATTGAAATTTTGGAGAGCTTTAGTTGCTTAAGATACTCTGATGACACTGAATGTTCAGAGCTGCTGCTGCTATCTAGAACTAGTGATTAAAAATAGTTATAGTCCCAAGAGCCTGAGGCTGGCTTTCCTATGAAACTAGCTGTCACTTTAGCCAAGTTGCCAGACCTTATAAAACTCATAATGGAGCAGGAAATGAGGGATTATCATTACAACATGAAAAGGCAATGGTGTAACCATAGATTCCTGATCATGGACAATTATTAGCTTGTTTCCTTTGTGGTCACGAGTAGTTCAGGATCAGTGGCATTTAAAAAAAAAAAAGGTTGTTGAGGGCGCGGCAGATCCTTGTTCCAATCTGAGCCAGACAGTACTAATGTTGGATCTGTTTTGGTCCTATCCTGGCCCTCAGATAGAAATGAATTCAATTCATGAAGAAAATCACTTGTGGGGAATGCCAACAGCCTCCTCCTTCCTGCTCTTGATCCGTTAGAAACCACTTGCCCTACTTTTCTGTCTGCTCCTGGGATAGTGGTAGTCTGCATTCAGAGAGAAGGAGCTACTGCTGCTTGTGTCAGGTATCAGGCTTTTGCACTTAAATGTGGACCAGAAAGATAATACAGAAGAAATGTCCGTGAAGAGAAAGTGCTTTAGAAGAAAGAAGCTTAGCATTGATGCAAATTGCAGAGTCCGTGAAAAAATGAGAAGGCATGATCATAGATGGGAGGGGTGTTGACTCTGACATATGTCTTGCATGAACTTGAATGGGATGGTAAAACCAGCAGAAGAGGCAGCCTTGCTTTCAAATCTAAGTAAATGGGAATAGTGTTTCTACCTGTGGCACAGCAGGGAAGCGTTTAGTTATTGGCTCTGATCTGCTGCTGTGGAGGTATTGTTGGCAGTACTTTGGGCTCCTATGCTGAGCACTCAAAGCCTGCGGGGATAGGAACTTTTGCTTCAATATTGTCCTCTTGTGCAATGTCCCAGGCCTGTCTCTTAAGATCCTGTTGCCCAGGGAGACATGGTGAACTCTAAACCAAACCCTTTGAGCAGCAGGGCTGGGCTGGAGTCTCTGAAGCCACTGCTGTCATCTTAAAGTGGGATTACTCTACTGAGTGGTCACGAAGAATGTGTTCTCCCTCTGGAATGTTTTCCTTGTGGGCATGCTGTCTCTTTCCTATGCTGAGAAGGCATGTACTGCACACATGGTAATAGGAAACAACAGTTTCAGAAAGCATACTATGCTACATTTAGCTTGGAATAAGATATATTCCAAACTTTTTAAGCTTTGGGTTGCTGCCAGTTGGGCTTAAGTGTGCTGCAGATGGAGTTTGAAACTAATAACCACCTCTACACCCCTCCCCATAACACAATATGCTATTTCCATGCACAAGTTCCCATACTCTGTAAGCTGAACTAATTAATATCAGCTTCACTCTTGAGTGCAACATGTCCTAGGACTTAACTCTGCAGTTGGTTTGTAATGGCAGGCGTGGCCTGTCACTACTGTGGAGTTTCCATACCACTTTTCCACCCCTGCCATTGCACTTCTGTATTTCAGCAATGATGATTGTGTGGGGAAAGGGTGGTAAGACAAAACATGATTAAGGGCAAAACATGATTCTTAAGAAATACAGTTGTGCAAATAGCTTTCCTAGCTTTGAATGCAAAGTATTTTGCCTTGGCAGTAGTACCCCGCCCCCCAATATCCTAATCTGTTTGCAGGGGTACTTCTGTTTTTGTTGTAACCACAAGCCCATCTAAGTTTGCATAGGCTCTCTAGTTAACCAGTCGCAAGCCTTCTGAGAAGAAAAGCCCAATCATGGGTTTCCCTTGCCTCCTGTTATAAGAATGTTTCCCTTTGATACCATACAGAGGCTAGTAATGACTTGTTGGTCTGCAGCTGGCATTCCTCAAGTCCTGTAGAGGTGAGTCGGGAAGAGTGGAAGAGGGAAATGGTTAAATGATACAATTATTTAATCTAAGAATTGGAAAGCAGCAAAAGCCAAACAATTCATCATGAAGGGAAAGATGACTTCTAAATTTAAAGTGATGTGGAACTTTTAAGAAGAGTCAGTTAATTTTGTGTTAACAGTTGCAACCAATAGGGCCAGAATATGGGGATAATCTTAACATGTGAACCATATGGCTTGAGTTGCATCTTCTGTTTGTACGTAAAATGGCAGAATTGCTCTTCCTTTCCAATATAGGTAATTTGTTGACCCTCCCTTGCAACCACACTGATACCAAGAGGTTTATGCCAGTTAAATTTTCACACGTATTTCATGTTGTGGCATATACAATTTATATTTCCTTAGTTCAGAACTTGCTTGACACCAAGTGAATAGTGCAGTTCATATTTTTGAGTGGTGGCAGCCCTATACCCTGGGATAATAAACTAAACTTAAAAATGAGTGCTCTGAAGTAGTGCATCCAAGTACCATGCAGCTGCAAAAAAAAGTAGACTACTTGAATGTCAAGAAAGAGCTCAGATTCCTGGAGAGAGAGACTTTAACAGTTGCTTAAGGCTGCAATCCTATGCTTACTTACCTGGGTATTAGTTCCACTCAACTCACTGGACCTTGCTTCTGAGTAAACCTGTATAGGATTGCACAGCATATCAAATATTATTGTGACACACCATATTTAGTTTGTGTGAAAGCCTTGACAGTTATTTTTCCCGACTGTCACAGAAAGGTGCCTCATTGCACTTAACATTGCTTTTATAAAAAAGTGTGTGTGTATGTGAGTGTTGTGAAATACTTATCATTGAAACAAAGGCTGTGCCTATATGAGGAGCGACTTGAACTTGTGAACTATAGAGCCCTCTGGCTTCTCACTTGTGTTATAATGTGGCTCTCCCAACTCAGCATTCAATTTTGATCTTGCAACTAATTTTCAGTTGCTCTGACTCCTCTTTTACTGTGCAACATCAGCAACAGGATATTGCTAATCAGAGTGCCTCTCATTTCATAATTTCAAAAGTCAAGGAGTATACTGCTGTACTTGTCACCTCAATTAATCACTGAGTACTTTCAACAGATTTCTCTGCTTCAATTGCTCTGTGTTACAGAACGCACAAGTATGGGGAATACAGTAATGCCCCCACGTACAATTAAATTGGAGAAAATTGGGCATAAAGACTTCAGATGACAACTATGCATGTCCAAAGGAAATGTGAGACATGAATGTGCTTTTGCCATGTTTGACAAATGAAGCTCAAACATCTTTATAAGCTGTAGAAATTTCTACATGCCTCTGTCTTTAAGTACTATAGTTTGTGTGCTTCAAATTTTGAGAGTAATTGAATGTGTTGCTCCTGAGAATCAGAGGCTCAGTTTCTTCACAGATTCAGGAGAATACCCAGTGAATCGGGCTTTGTCCTGTAAGCAATAGGTTTCAGATCATGATCACATAGTGCACTTTCACCACCTCACCCCTTGCTTAACCTACACACTGCACATACCAGTTAGGTAGCATTTGCTGTGTAATTATATCTTACTGCTTCCCCCTCCCCCTTACACTTGAGCAAACCATGCTCAAACTGCTTGAGCAATAGAAGCTTGGTTCCATCAGAACAAAGTGCAGTATAACTCTGGGAACAACATTCCCCCAGAAATTTCATTACAGACTTCATTTGGGCTATTCTGTTGCAAGGCTTTGCATTTGATTTAGGTGGGAAAGAACTAACTGCTTAGGTCCTGTTAGGGCTCAATAGTTAAATACTCCAAACTGGGAAAATCTTTCCCTGAAGATGAGGCTTTAACTACAACTGAAAAGGTTATTGTCTTCTCACTCTCCAGCAACTTTGCCTGGGGCATGTTGTGCAGTTACCTATTTGCAAGAGCGTGCAATGCTTAAATCAGGAAAAACTGTGTGGTTTAATATTCATTGGATACATTCAAGTAGCATGGTCATTTAGAGACAAAATTTTCTGTTTGTTAAACAGTCTTTCTGCTTATACTCTTTTATATTAATGTGCTGACCTTGATGAGCAATGGCAGAGTCCCAAAAGCAATTCTGTGGCCACTGATAAAGTAAACAGCAGGCCAAGAGGGTAATACAAATAGTACTGGAGAAATAAACTGCAAGCAGTGTGTCCTGTTTTTCCAGATGCTTCTGAAGCCTAAAGGAAGCTTCACTTTTTTCAGGGGGCAGGTTCTCACAAACATTTAATACTAGAAATCCTGCAGAAAGGGTTCAGCAAATGGAATGTCTAGATTCCTGAAAGGTAGACTGTATCTCACCCTCTCCTTCCCAGTCTTGTGGTGCAGATGGTGTATTCAGTTGTCAGCCTTCATCTGAAAAAGTCTAGATTCCTGAAAGGTAGACTGTATCTCACCCTCTCCTTCCCAGTCTTGTGGTGCAGATGGTGTATTCAGTTGTCAGCCTTCATCTGAAACACCTGGATCCTGTAGAAAGCTCAGGAGTTGAGAAAGGATCTCTTGTGCATGTTCAGCAAATAGCTTCTTAAGATGTTCCTTAAAAGAGAGGTGCAGGTTCCATAGTGTGTGGGGTGCATGGTATAACTATGGGAAGGTGGGTGGGGCGCTGGTGAACTAGGAAATCCCTGGTTCGAATGTCAGTGTTTGGTTACGTGCCCAGTAGGTGGCACAGTGCAGCTCAGATTCTGCAGAATACTAATTGTGTGTTGCAACTCCATGTTATGGCTGGGTGAGACGTTTGCCAAATCCTTACTGTTACCACACTCTTCTTGCGCAAGCTGCTTTTACCCTTTGCAGCAAAGGGGAACATATTGGGGGAGGTGATTTAGTAAGAAGAGTTCACTTTACACCTTCTGTTAGAATTTGGTAGTCATGCATGAGTCTGCTGTTGTCATGACCAGTTTGGCTCTTATACAGTTCTGTGTTCTCTCTTGATTTCCCATTTAAATAGGAGAACAACAACCTACCCTAACAAGGTGACTGTAAGGATTACTGGGAATATATGAGACTCCTTGGAGCAGGGATGCGCAACCTGTGGCCTTCCAGATGTTGTTGGGCTCAAAGTCCCATCAACCCTAGTCGACATAGGCCAGTGGTCAAGGCTATAGTCCAGCAGCATCTGGGTGGGGTGTGTCAAAGTTTGCCCATTTCTGCCATATGCCTCCATCAAATATATTATATACACCCCAGAGGCTGCATTTGTATTCCCTCCCATAGCTGATTATGGTGTTAATTAACTTTTGTAATGTCTGCATGCATGGCTAGACTAAGATGCAACTCCTCCCACCTTTCCCATTGTCTCCACTTCACATCTGTACTGAAAGGACTGTGGCTGAGTTACACTACAATATTATGAGTAAGGGAAGGTGAAGGTGCTTCACTTGAAATGTGTTTTTGCTCATGTGAGAAAGAAATGTTTGCTTTGAGAATGCTGAAACGCCCTACAGTCTCCCTTAAACCTATGTGCTTGAGATGATCTGAGTTGCTTCTAGATGTCTTGGTTATGACTGAATCAAAGTGTGGATGGTAACAGGGACCACACACCTGTAACTAGCCCAGCTTTACAATAGAATGGTAAAGAGTCAGTGGGCCAGGAGCACAGGAAAGTGTCTCTCCCAAACTACTGCTGTTGCATGTGCGCCAGCAAATCTCATTATGGTCTCTTCCAACATCAAAGGGGTGGCTACCTGCCCAGTACTCTTGCTGTTTAGCGTTCTACCATGACTGCAGATGTTGATGCTATATCTGTAATTAGTAGATCAGTTCTAGGAACAAGCTGGATTCTGCACAGTGGACCCAGACTTCTTTCTTAGTTGAGTTTTACTGTTCAGTTTAACATTTATGTTGGCTTCCACTAACTTGTATCATCTTATTGTACAGCAGGAGGTATCCAGTAAGATAATGCTTGCTTAGAGTAGGGGATTCACCAGCTGCTCCATTGGAGAGCCTGTGCACTTTAAACATCTTAAGAAACTTTGCTTCCATTCAAAAAAAAAAAAGCACTGGGAGTGCACTCCTCAACCCAGTGCCCTCCAACATGGTCATGGTCAGGGCTGTTGAGAATCTTTGTCCAAAACCTCTGGGGGGCATCAGGTAGGAAAAGCTGCTTTAAATTGAAAGAAAAGTCCTGAAAAACACATTAACTACCAAATACTCAAATGGTCAAAATCTGTTCTGCATTGATAAAAATGGAGCAGCATCACTAGCAAGCAAAAAAAAAAAAAAAGGAGGAAAGGGGAAAATGTGATGTGCTACAAATAAATGTGTGCCGCGAACTTGAACAGTTATTTGTAGCTTTGGAAGTTTATTCCTTCTTCCACCCCCTTTAACTAAATCCTATGCCTTGTGTTTGTGTATAATATATATTAAAAAAAAATTCTTGAAAGCAGACATAATATTCATTGGACACATTCAAGTACCATACCCCCATCAGTCTGAGACCAAATTTCCTGTTGTTAAGCATATTTGGTGCTTATGGTCTTTTATATTAATTTACTGACCTTGTTGAGCAATGGCAGAGTCCCAAAAGCAATTCTGTTCAAGTGGACTTGAATGGTTGAAAAGTATTTCCTGTGATAAACATTCAACAGTTGGTTAAAATGTGGTACCTTTTCACAGCTCATAATGCTGATAAAGTGATGTGCAGATCATGTTAATGATACCGATAAGGTGCAGTCTTTGATCTCTCAGCATTTTTCCAGCATACATTCAGTGTTTAATAAGTTACCTTTTCTGGAAGTAGACAATACTGACCTGTGCTAGAGCTGACTTGAACCAAGTATGGAACACTAAATTAGGTAACATAGTTGTTTTTAATAATGCATTTTTAAAAAATATATTTAACAGGTGACAACCAATAACAAAATGGACATAAAGAAAGAAAGAAAATCAAGTACATAATCCAAGTTATTCCAAGGAGAGAACTCATAGTTGTGACAGCATAAAGGGGCAATAGGTTCAGTTAGGGTGTATGATGACTAGTGTGTGTCACTTGGTGTACTGCTGATAATTGTTGTCAGGATGTGGTGTGAGCTTTTTCACATCCTACAACTGGCCTGCTGCCATTTCCTGTTAAAGCTTACAGTCTCTACTAGCTCATCATATGTGTGACTTAAGGAAGGTCTAACATTTTTCCTTTTCTTAGTCCCTTGCTGTTCATCTTATACACATTGTCCCACCCTTACTCTGTTGTTTACACTCTTCTTTTCACATTTAGCAATGACAGACATTAATAGTTCCTTTTTTGGTTTTCAAATGTCCTACAGCCAAGGAACATATAGATTTGCTTTTTACAGAAGCCCTGTGAACTAAAGCGGATTCTGAAAACACTCCAAGGTTCCTACTCTCCTTATGCTGGCTAGGTCTTTTCAGTCTTGCCACCTTCTGTGTGAATTTGGTGTGTGCTCAGGAGCATGTTTAATATTCCCCCATGGCTGTACATGATGTGGCTCCCTGAGAAACCCCTAATAAGATTATGGTTGCTATTGGATCAGTTACCTGGATCAGAGCTCATAAACTATTCTAGTAGAACCTGAGCCCATTTTCTGTGCACTCTTAAGGCTTTTCACATACCTGACTGCACACACAGTTTGGCACACACCTGTTTGTGAAATGTATGGATATGTTGGTATGATTCCACTGCTGTAAGAATGCCCCCCCCCCAATTCTTCATAATTTGTACTATGAATTGGAAATGTTTGCCAATTACTTCTCAGAAAAAGTGAACTCAAGAGTAATTGGTCATCTTTGTGAATAATATTACAACAGGGGCCCCTACTCTGCTAAGATGGGGAGAAATAGATTTATGTGCTGCTGGGGTAGGCAAGGTGGAAAAACTGTGGCCTGCTAGATGTTGTTAGACTGCAACTCCCATTGCCCCCGCTCATTGGCACAGCTGCCAGGGGCTTATGGGATTTGAATTTCAATGCTAGGTCCTTGCTGCTGAAGATACCTAGTGACTTAGACTGTGCACAGGACATGGAAGTAAAATTTCCAGAATGTCATGCATCTCAAAGGCTGTCAACCAAAATAACTCTTTTTCTCTGAAGGCATGAGGAATGACAAAACCATGCCAGATGTATTCTAAGCAGAAATGGCCTAAAGAAATAGAAGAATATTTTAAGCTGACTATACAGCTCTTCAGTTAGTTTTCAGGAAATGATGAAACTGAAAGTAACCAAATTCAGCTGGAAGCGCTCATTCTCCTGGTGTGTCTTGCTCAATTATGGCCAAAAAAGGCAAGTAGTTAGATTCTTGGAAGTTGCAATTGCAGGAAGCTGTGTAGCAGAAGTTTAGACTACAGCTGTTGCCTTGCCAGCCTTGATACAATTCTGAATACAGTACAATGAATTATTCCCCACCTTTTCCTTTGGCTCCTGAGTGACAAATTTATGGACCTAAACCACCAGTGTTTTCTCCTATTTTAGCAAAGGCCTGTGGCATATTTTTGGCTCTAACACTATGATTAGGCATCATGAAGCATGGTGTATTAGTGGAAATACATGGCTGTAGGATAGTTCTTGTTTGTTTGAAGAGCTTTTATTGGGTTTTACATAATGTGACTTTTTGCTTTTTGATGCCTCCAGCAAATTCTGCCAGTATGAGCTTCACATTGGTTTCTTGCATTAAATATAGCCCCAGCACATTATCCCTCTTTGCTTACTTCTAATTTGCATCTGGTTGGTCACTGTGAGAGGATGTTGGACTAGATGGGCGATTGGCCTGATCCAGCAGACTCGTCTTATGTTTTCAATTTCTATCAAAATCCAGAGTGCCTTGTTTGCATGGTTAATCATAAGTAAATGCATATTTAGGTGAATGCAAGCTGTCTAAACACTTGCTTTTGAGACTAAGGTGACATAAAAATGATGGCTTTCTTTTCTTTCTTTCTTTCTTTCTTTCTTTCTTAGAAAGGCTTAATGGAAACGTATATCCACAGTACGTCCTTGAACAAGTCTTGCTGCAGTTTACCAACTATTTTGTAACTTGGTTGACTCTGGAGGGAGCCCACTTTGTATTCTAAATGTCTTCATGGGCAGCTTTGGCTAGCAGCATGCAGCAGTATTGACACTGTGGTGTGCAAAGGCTGGCTGAAAAGTTTGGTTCTTGACGGCTGTATGCATGCACACACAATGCAGAGAGACAGGAAGTTTGTAAGGTTTTGAAATACCTAATACAATGGACCACTTGTGTTGCATAGTGAGCCACATAAATTGGCAAGTATAAAATTACTTTGCCTTTCAACTCCTAAAGTAGTTCTGAGGTTTTTTTCTCCTTGTGGAAAAATAGAAGTGGCTACCTGGCAGCTACTTTTTTCTAGTCTCACAGGCCTGCTCTAGTCAGGGTGAGTCTCCTGCCAGCCTGGAGGTTTTACTTTTACTTTCAGGCTATTAACAGATGCCACAAGGGATTGAGTGAGGCTGGCGGCCCAAGCTAATCATTTGTAGGCATAATAGCAAAGAAAGGAATTCTAATTTCTAGACAGGAAGAAAAGACTATCTGCTTTCCTACCTACCCATGCTAGGGCTGCCAGTCTGTAAATAGCTGTAGTTTGCTGTAAATAACTGTAGACCACTGTAGACTTAGTCAGTATTTCTTCAGATATCTTACATTTGTTCCAAATGTTTATAAGAAATCGGGTTGTGTCATATCTACTGAAAAGTTATTAACCTTACTAAGTTTTTCATCTCCATATTTCCTATGATTTGGCACAACTTTAATATCATTTTACAGTTTCATTGGGGTAGAACATGTATATTCTCCTCAGGTGTGACCCATCCATTTTAAATAGCTGTTTTTAACTGAGGGGAAAACCACTTTGACTATGGGAAGCTGCCCCGCCCAGTCTAGTTAAGGCCTAGGGGGAGGAGGCTAATTGTAGCACTACCACATTGTGTTGATATGTAGTTGACAGCTTCTTGTGTGTGCCTTCAAGCTTGCTTGCTTGAGTAATTGGATGCTTTTATGCATCCGGTCACTGCCTATTTGTGACCCACAGGGGCTAATGAATCTGTGGGGAAGCAATAGGTGAATAGTTTATCTAGGCATGCAACTTGGGGTCAATGGCCTTGTCTACTCAGAACTCCTTTACAAGGACCTAAAATATCTATACAATCATCTCTAGTGTTCTTGCCTCTATAGAGTGTTTAAGCTGACAAAATGAGCCTACTTCTAATGATTGCATGGCATTTAAGCAGTAACATGGTCAAATATTTGAAATCGGTGTTGGTGAGGGAACTGGTGCCTATTTCAGGTGACTCAAAGGTTGTAGTGTCAAAATGTTGGCAAGGTAATAACATTGCAACTTCTTCTTTTCATAGGTCCCTGGTTATAAACCACCATGGCTCAGAGAGATGCTGACAAATACCTCTATGTGGATAGAAACTTCATCAACAACCCTCTTGCTCAGGCTGATTGGGCTGCCAAGAAGCTGGTGTGGGTCCCATCAGAGAAAAATGGTTTTGAGCCTGCTAGCTTGAAGGAAGAAGTAGGAGATGAAGCCATTGTGGAGCTTGCAGAGAATGGGAAGAAAGTGAGAGTCAACAAAGATGATATCCAAAAGATGAACCCACCCAAGTTCTCGAAAGTGGAAGATATGGCTGAACTGACCTGCCTGAATGAGGCCTCAGTGTTGCACAATCTGAAGGAGCGATACTACTCAGGGCTTATCTACGTGAGTAATGACTTTTTCTGCTAGTTATAGGATCTAACTAAATCTTACATGTCCCCAGTCTTATACAATTTTCCCTTGTCTACATTCTCATTAAACTAAACAGTACTTTCCCTAGTAGAGTTTTTGTAGAACATTGTGATGGAGTGGCTAGACTCTTGTGTGTTTGTGTTGGAAGATATATTAGAAATCATGTACAGTGTTTGATCCAAGCTGAACACACTCTTCATGTAGACACCTGGCTTGCTGCTTCTGTATCTGGAACCTCAGTATAAAAGAGCAGTAAAACTAAGACTGCAAAATAACAAAGCTCAGCTGCACATAAGGCAGTTGGGATATAAAAAAGTACTGTTGTCTACTTTCAACCAATCAGAATGCTGAAAACTAAGAACCTCCGAATTGCCTAGTTGTTGCACTTCAAGCCTCCAACATGTGGTTCTGTGAACAGGTGATTCTCGGGCAGGGGAGGAGTGGAGCTTGCAGACAAAGATAAACTCCTCCTGGAAGCAGAGACAAAAAGCACTTGTATTTAAAAACAACAACAAGCAAACCCAAAACAATTAGTGGCTAGCAAGAAGGAAAGGTAGCCTACTACCAATTTCCAGTTTGTCACACAGCAAAACCAGCGAGTGGCTGGGCACTATACCTTGAACAGTGTTTGGTATCCTGGATAGTGGATAGAAAAAGAATGAAAGAAACATTATTGAGTACAGGTAAGAGAGATGCCATGGATAGTCTTCTCTATGCTGGCTGGGTTACCATGTAAACAGGAAATGCCTAAGGGCCCCTGAAGAGGAGCCCTTTCCACACACCCCCCCCAAAATAGCCTCAGTTCTGTACTGAGGCTGTACACCCTACTCTCCACTAACCAGAAAAATGCTTCACAGTAAGGCCAAATTTCTGTTCTTGGCCAGTAGAGGAATGGATTATACAGGCAAGGGATGCACTGAAGCAGTGAGCTCTCCATCCTTGGGCGCGTTCCAAATCTACGACACCATACAATTTTTTTCCTTTTGAAGGCAATGCCTGATGCTCTACCAGAAGGACGCTTCACAGTAAGGCCCAACTCAGTTCAGAATATACTGAGCAGGTAGCTTTAATTCAACTCTCGTCAAAAGTGGCAGCAATGCTCTCATGAGCTTGATGCCATGGAAACAATAATATTCAATTGTTCATACGTGACTTAGCATGGACTCTGTTCACTGGTAAGATGCTGACACTGTTTACTTGTTGGCATTATTGCTCCATCTGCTGCACTGAATAGAGACTGTAGAGATAACTCCTCAGCTGGAAAAGGGGGGCCTGCAGCAGTTGTGGCAGAGAATGCATACAATGTGCTGATACCTAGGGACATATGAAGTTAACTTCTGCTGTGCCAGACCCTTCGTATATTTAGCTCAGTACTGTTTACACTTACTGACAGCAACTTCCTAGGGTTTCAGGCAGAGGTCTCTCCCAGCCCTACCTGGAGATTGACCTTCTGCATGCAGAGTGATTGTTCTACCACTAAGCTCCCCCCCCTAAAGTAGTAAAGTGTTAGGGCATATAAGGGTGGGCTGCTGTGCAGCTCATAATGGGTAGAGAGGTAGCAACTGTGTGTATGGTTTTTAGGCACTTGCTCTTCTGAAGATCTTGTGCTTATTTTTGGGAGACAACTGCAGTCATTTGTCACCTAGGTAAAGGTAAAGGGACCCCTGACCATTAGGTCCAGTCGCGGGCGACTCTGGGGTTGTGGCGCTCATCTTGCTCTATAGGCCGAGGGAGCCGGCGTTTGTCCGCAGACAGCTTCCGGGTCATGTGGCCAGCATGACTTAGCCGCTTCTGTTGAACCAGAGCAGCACACGGAAACGCCGTTTACCGTCCCGCCGGAGCAGTACCTATTTATCTACCTGCACTTTGACGTACTTTCGAACTGCTAGGTTGGCAGGAGCTGGGACTGAACAACAGGAGCTCACTCCGTCGCGGGGATTTGAACCGCCAACCTTCTGATCGGCAAGCCCTAGTCTCAGAAAAAAACTCTGGCCTTATTGGCATATAGGAGATTGAGAGGAGGGTTGCAGTTGTCTTGGTGGATCTAATTTTGGGGTACTAATCAGTTTGACAGAGAGCTATGGTTCACAACTGGCCAAGCATACAGGAGGAGAGAAATTGGTGTTTGTCCTGAGTTCTGTATTCAGGGCACTGATTGGATCAAAGCATATGCCACTGCTGCTTTATACATAAGCTGCAGCTGAGCCTGACTCTGTAAAAGGGATATTTTGCCAGACTTCACTGATTTCCATTTGTTCCCTTCAAAGTGTTTCATTCTAACATCCATTTAGCTGTTTGTTGCTGTCTTGTCACATGGACCAGCCCTTCTGTGCTCCCCATACATGGACTCTTGTAAGACTTTGCACAGTGAAGTCTTTGTCACATGTGGCAGTCTGCCTACACAGTTTCTCCCCTTTGGAATGGGGAATGGCACATATCTGTCTTTCTTTGCTTTACAGCACATAAAAAAATGAAGGTTGTCAGTGTGTACATGTAGTAAAATAGACATGTGCAGTTTTTCACATTGATGGCTAGTACAGATCTTTTGTACCATGACTTTAAGCTAGTGTACAATTAAGGATGTTTATATATAGGCTATTTTTTTTCTCTGAGGCTATACTTGCCAGTAGAGACGCGGGTGGCGCTATGGGTTAAACCACAGAGCCTAGGACTTGCCGATCAGAAGGTCGGTGGTTCGAATCCCTGTGACGGGGTGAGCTCCCGTTGCTTGGTCCCTGCTCCTGCCCACCTAGCAGTTTGAAAGCACGTCAAAATGCAAGTAGATAAATAGGTACCGCTCCGGCAGGAAGGTAAACAGCATTTCCGTGCGCTGCTCTGGTTTGCCAGAAGCGGCTTAGTCATGCTGGCCACATGACCCAGAAGCTGTACACTGGCTCCCTCGGCCAATAAAGCGAGATGAGCACCGCAACCCCAGAGTCGTCCGTGACTGGACCTAGTGGTCAGGGGTCCCTTTACCTATACTTGCCAGTATCTCTATCACAGTTCTGACCCACTCAACATGTGAGTATTTTCTTTCCTTTGATAGTTTTGTGTGTTTGGAAAATAAGCATCATGTGTGAGCAAGTATGGAGCAAGTATTAGTGGCAAAATATCTGCTTTGCATGCAGAAGGTCCCAGGTTCAATCCCCAGGTAGAGCTGAGAGAGAATCCTGGCAGCAGTGCTGAAGAATACTGCCAGTGGCTGTAGAAAATGCTGAGTTAGAAGGACCAATGGCCTCACTTGGTATAAGGCATCTTCCTAGGTTCCTATGTGGTAACTAATTGTCTCTTAATCTACAAGTTTTGTATGCAGTTTTTTAGTTCAACAGTGACTCAGTCAGTGCTCTAATTTTCAATTCATTTGGGCCTGTGCTAATCTTTACTGGGTGATGATTAAGGAAAGGAAATCTAACCCTTGAGATTTAAGATGTATTTTATACCTTGAGTTGCCATGGCTACTGGCCCTGACAAGTATATTTCCACAGAGTAGTTCCCCAGATACAATATTCCTGATAATGACATTCACTCATCAGTGACCTGCTTAAAATTTATTTTTATTTCTGTTACTTGTGATCTTATGGACTCCAAGATCATTCCAAATAAATGAATGTTCAGAAGTAGTAATGAGTCCCCCAATGTCTGACTGGGAGAGATTCATACGCCTACAATGACATGCATATGTGCTGTTTTTAGAAAGACCTGATCCTGTAAAATGGAATGTGTTTACAAGTTTGCCCAATTTTTATTTTCTATTCCTTCCTGTCTCCTGATATGATACACCCTTAACCTTTCTGCCTTATAAGGAACTTCTCAAAACGCATCTCTTCCTTTGCCTTTCCTGAGGTTTAGTTAGGCAATAATTTTAAAACATTACATTATCACTAATTAGCTACTATGGCTATGTAGTTCAGTTTCAGCGAACCTTTTAATGTTTATTTTTTTTTAAGCAGCTACAATAAATAACTTTTTACTACTAATATAGCTATTTATTTGTACAGGTTTAAAGCCTTTTTGCTTCCATTTATCATGATCGCTCACTAATATGGTATTGGGATAGTTAACTCTGATTTACAGAGGACTCTGTGGCATGTGCAATTTCCTTGGGTCACAGTGCTTTTTACCCAGTGATACTTAATCCAGCTACACTTTATATTATAGACCCTCCCCTGCAAAGGGGGTATCTGAATGTTGCTTTGTTCCAACAGCCTTGGTGCAACCTGAAACCTGTTGTCACCAAAGGTTAATCTCATGAAGTCTGCAAGTCAGTCTATTACAGTGTGCAGACTTTGTGGTTTTAGCAGTACTGTACATAATCTCTCTACTCGCCACTCCCCCAGCAAGTATTTTGCTCAACCTTTCTTTATTTTAGATGGTTTCTGTACTAATTCATATTTTCAGAAAAACCTCTAAGTGGTTTACAGCATGTCTCAAGGCGGGGATTCTCAGACTGGGGGGCAAATTTGGTTATCCAGGCTCCTCTGTGTGGGCCTCCAAACTGTTCCCAGGCCACAAGCTTCACTGGCTCTGCTTCACATCCAGAGTTGTTGCTTGGCAGGTGTCCTTGAACTCTGATAATGCCTCTTGCTTGTATTGATGGATAGTAGAGAGGGATGTGTGTAGAAACTGGCCTATTGTACAAAGCTAAAATAAAAGAATCATTGCCTTCCCACTTTTGTTTTTGGCTCCACCCACTACTGGGATGTGGTCCCTGCAAGGTTGCCCAGAAGGCATTGTGGCCCTTTGGCACTTCAACAGAAAACATTACAAATGAAAATCAAATACAAGAGGTGCACAATTAAAACAGCAACAAAACAAAATACACTCAACATTAAAAAAATAGAGCTAACAGTTGCATTCAAAAATGCAGTCAGGATTCCACAAGTAAAAAACAAATCAATAGCTAAACAGGTCATTGAGGTAGGTGCCCCCCTTCCCTCCACATTAAAGTCCCCAGTGTATTCTTAACACTTGCCAGTCTGATGAAAATTTACATATTTAAGCCCCCACCCCTGTAAACTTGGTATTTTTTTCCTGTGGGCTAATGCAGCTTTTGGATCATTTACAGGAAATGGATAGATATACTCAGCAAGGATAAGTGCAACTAAAACACTCTGGTTCAGTGTCCTATGACAGAGGTGCCTGTTTCAGGACAACAATTTTAAGAGAAACAGCTTTAATCTCTTACTGTGGTGCAGCCCTCTGAGAAAGTGACTTAGTTGGAGTCCTTGAGGTGCTTGAACAGATACAAGGCCCATTCAAATCAGTGCTATGTCTTCCATGGACTTGTTAAAGAATTTTGCATTTGTCACTTGGGAGAAGCTCCCTCTTATAACTAGTCTTTTTGAAATCAGATTTGTTCTACTCCACACTTTTGCTGTTGGATCTCCAGTTCAGTTAGATTTCTAGTATAAAATTGTTACTCTTCCAGTTGATTTTTTTCCAAGCTCTCTTGGCTTAAACTGCAATTAATGTGTATTTCCTGAACACCCTTGGGGTGCCAATTTTTATTAGAGAGCTTCATTTTTTATAGAAACATTTAAAACAAGAACACAGAACAAAGAGTTGGCAAATTGCATAACTCCTCCTAGTTTTGTAATTGCTTTGTATTCTCTACTGTTCCCTGTGATCAAAAGACTATTTTATACAAGCCACAGTATGATGACCACTATCAACTGGAGGCTTATATTTGTTTCTTGCAGAAGTTTCCTCACTTGTAAATATCCAAGTGTCAATTTTGAGCTGTGCATGTCAAAGAGCTGCAGCTGGCTGCTGACACTTAGACCATGCTCATAGCTTTGTTTCCTAGCTGGGCCATTTATACTTGACGAAATGCAACCGAAAATGGTGGTTGCATACAATTCTGCCTTTCTAACATTAAGAAGTATTAAGTGAAGTGGGACATCTGCTTCCATATTTGCTGTCCCACTTGCATCTGGAAAGGTCAGCAAGGAGGCTGATCCTCTTGGCTACTTTACTTTGCTTGGACCATGAGTTTAGTAGAGGGGGCCAGGAAGGAGGCAGTTCTTCAAATATACTGTATTTTTCGCTCTACAAGACGCACCACACCACAAGACGCACCTAGTTTTTGGAGGAGGAAAACGAGAAAAAAAATATTCTGAATCTCAGAAGCCAGAACAGCAAGAGGGATCGCTGCGCAGTGAAAGCAGCGATCCCTCTTGCTGTTCTGGCTTCTGGGATAGCTGTGCAGCCTGCATTCGCTCCATAAGACGCACACACATTTCCCCTTACTTTTTAGGAGGGAAAAAGTGAGTCTTATAGAGCAAAAAATACGGTACTTTGCAGCAGAGTATCCTAACCTGGTGGGTACAGACGTTGAGAGGAACAGGAGCTCATCTCTGGTGTCTCGCTGCGGTTGGAAGCACTGAGAAGTGTTGCTGCTTCCAGACATCTTGGATGCCATACAATGTCTGGGATGAGCTCTCATCCCTCTGAGGTGGTAGGGGCAGGATTAGTGTATTATAACTGTGGCCAGCCAAAACGTTTTTGCACTTACAACCTTGGGGAAACAAGCACATGAAGAGGAATTCAACTCTTCCTACTGGCAGTCTTGGGGAACCTTTTGTAATGGTGCCACTGCAAACCGGATAGCATTGTCCCCTCCCTCCCCCGCATTTCCTGACATATTTCTGCTTTGGATATTGAGGGAAATAGTTGGCAACTTCTCACAAAGCCTTTTAAATCTGGGTTAACTAATAATAAGCATTCTATAGAGTTGTGCACAGGTGGTGGTTACTTCTATATGTTCTTTCTGCACTGAATGCTGCCTTGGCCTCTTAGAGTGAATGAACATTCATATGCATTAAGTGGAATAAAAAAGGAAGTCTGTTCTAACTGCATCAGGATTTTTAAAATTCAGTTTTGTAGCTTATAAGTTAGCATTTAAATTTTGGCCATATGTGTAACAGTGGCTTGACATGTAAATGCATCAGTGATAACCAGTGAATGCTGGATCTTCAAGTGTTTTTGCAGTTTACTTCTACCCATACTAGGTGTTTTTCCAGCCTTTTACTTGGAGGAGGTGAAATGCACCTGCTTTCTCAGGTGCTTTAACGTTTAAAAAAGTTTTAGTTGTAAGGCTTTAGAGAGGCTTGGAAATGTGTGGGCAATGCTTAATTAAATCCTGAATGCAAGTATTGCTTGGACTTTAGTGGTAGCTCTAGGTTCTCATCTCTGCCACCCCCACAAATTCTGTGGCTAGCAAAATTAAGTATGCACAAGTTTGCACATAACATGTAGGCAATAGAATGGATTTAAAAATCTGGTGCAGGATATGTACAACTCTGAGACAGAGCTTTGTTAATATATGTGAGTCTTTTGTTCTGCTCCATGCTGGCACTGAGCTAGTGTCGAAAGATACCTATTGCCTAAGTTTTGCTAAAATGCCACTCATTTTTGTGTACTGTAGAGCTTATAAACAGTGAATAATAATGCAAAGTAAAATGCATGTTTCAGTCATCAAAGATGAATAGCCATATTCAAAGTAAATGACAGATGTGATTGTTAGTTCAAAATCTCTGGTAATGGAAGGCAATTATGGCAGCCCAAGTAAATTTTCAGTATGCTATTCTTGTTACCACTCTTGTGAGTTGGGGGGATGGGAGGCGGGTTATGTGGAGCCGATAAAACTGTAAAACCATGAATGCTTCTAAATTCTTCTTAAATTCCATTTTGCAGACCTACTCAGGCCTGTTCTGTGTTGTCATAAATCCCTACAAGAACCTGCCTATCTACTCAGAAGAAATTGTGGATATGTACAAAGGCAAAAAGAGACATGAGATGCCCCCTCACATATATGCTATTACAGACACTGCCTACAGGAGTATGATGCAAGGTAGGTACATTTTAAAATATATTCTGGCCATGGCAGTGGCTATGCTCAGATGAGTAGGCTCTTGTAGAGTTGCCACTTTTGGGATACAATGTGAAAGTTTCATGTTCGGTTGGAGGTCTGCTGCAGCGCAACTTTTGATTCCAGTCAATCTTCTGGTCTCTGGAAAGCAGCATTCCTCCGTTGCTTTCAGTTCTGCTTAATCCGTGGGGGAGGCTTGATGCAGCAGCCAGTGGTATGGGAGGAATCTGTATTGAGTACAGAAGATGAAAGGCCACAGTGCTCTGCAAGAACCAGAGGCATTCAGGATTAGCTGTTTGTGCCCTAGACTCTATTCAAAGTCTAACAGGCAGGAAATCTTTCATGGTTTTGAGCACTTCTTAAAAAAGCATGGCAAGCTGATGTCTCTGACCCATTCTCAGCATGGGGGTGCAGTTATTTCCCTGAGCTGGTGAAGCAGAAAGACCTGCATGTTAATTGGTTAGATTTCAGCACTTGGTTTAGGGCATGCTAATTGGCAGCCTGCAGAGGAGGAGCAGGGGCTTGCTTGGTTTCAACTAATACCCAAGTTTCTTAACCTTTTTGTAATGCGGCCAGACTGATGTGTCACTGCCTCTTTTTGGAACTGGCATCTCTTTTGGCAGCCCATATAGTTTTATGATGATGAAACTCCCTGCCCCAGGCCAAATCAGCTGGCAGAGGGAGGGGCCTAGAAATCAGGTATATGCATGGCTGCGTCAGAACTCTGGATTTGCTAGAACCTTGGGTGTTAATGTAGGTTTCAATGCATTCAAGAATGCATCAAGATAGGCATCAAGGTGTCCTTCATGAGTTTGCTTGTATATGTATGAGAGAGAATGAGGAAATAGCCAGTCAGTATCCTTTTATGAGGCTGAACTGCTGCTCCAGTATGTAAATAAGTAACAGTGGAGCCAGAGTACCTTTTATAGGTGGCTTGAACAAACCCAATAAATTATGACAAACTGGAATATGTACAACAGTCTTCCTTGCAAGCCCACTACCATCAGGCTTTTGTTTGCTTCTCCTTGTTGCATTGCAAGCTTGGGATAATGTAGTATGTAGGATTCTGCCATTTTGGGGAAGCAGGGAGGGTTCTTGGTGATCTTTAGGTCTCATTCAATAGCCTTGTGGCTGAGACTTAAAGCTGAAGACTTCCTCTCTCCCCCTCCCCCCAATATCTGTTAAATGTTAAATCTTCTGTGTGAAACCCATAATGTTTACATATTTCAGAAGTTGGGGCCAAGAATGTACTATTTGTTAGTCAAGTCTAGTCTGGCTTGCTTAGTGTAGCATTCCATGTCCCTTTTGAATCAAGTCTTGTTTATGCTAAATCTTTTGTTCTGGATTCTGATTCACAAAGGGAGGTTTAAAAAACAACTGGGTCTTTATTTTGTTAAAGGCCATGACTTTCATATAACCCCACCAGCATTTCTCTTAAATGTACTTAAGAGAGGGAAATGATTCTGTCAGCTTGCCTTTAACAGTGTGGAGGTCAATTTCCCAACAATGATAACCAGGGCAAATAGGCTCCATGTTGGAAATAGCTCATGCTTCACAATTTTCCCTCTCGAAATACTATCTTTTTTTGTAAGTCTGATTATATTTTATCATACCGACAAGTTTGATTATTTTTATCAATACGGAAAGGATAGGAAAACATATTTAATATGAACAAGGGCTACTAAGGCTGACAAGAGGGAAAAAAACACAACACTTCGGCTGATGCCTGACATTGTCATGGTTGACTTTTGCATACATCTTTACATTTGCTGTAAATTATGCCAGTGGAATCTACATTTTAAAAAGAAAAAGGTAAAATTTGAATGTCGCTACATGCTGATTCATATTGCATGTCTCCAGATGTCAAGGTAGATGACAAAAAAGGCAGTTGGTTTAGACAAGCCTTCCAATAGGAGTGGAGTTCTAACATTCTTAGTCGTCTTGGTGTCTCATGATTAACAGCTGTTTTTCCCCAACCAAATTAAACCCACAGAATATAAAAGAGCAATTTTTTTATGATGCAGACTGGAGGGAATAAGATAGTGTTTTTTAAGTGACTCTCTTTGTATGTGAAACTGCTTCTTGCTGTAAATTCATTTAGTGGGAAATGAAATTAGTTCCTCTTAAAATTCTGCTTTGGTCATGTTCTAATTGTCTCCAGTTAACATAGTGGGCAGTGGCGTAGCGTGGGGGGTGCAGGGGGGGCTGGCCGCACCGGGCGCAACATCTGGGGGTTAGGGTTAGGGTGCGCAAATCCACGGGTTAGGGGGCGCAAATTACTTGCCTTGCCCTGGGTGCTGACAACCCACGCTACGCCACTGATAGTGGGAGGTGTGAAAAAGACATTTCATCTGTTAATGGTGAGGTCCATCTGACAAGAACAGATGCAAGTTTGCGTATTTTATCCTAGAAGTACATGCACTCAAAATATTGCCTCTTGAAATCTCATGCAATGAGTTGAGTAAGATTTAAAAAGTGAAAGAACCTGTATTGTTTGCTTAAAGATGCAGAAAGGTTGGGGTAACTACTGGACTTTGTTTCCCAAATTGGGGGGTCAGCCAGTATTGTTTTGTCCCAGAATCCTAAATATATCCTAGTACCTAGCAAAGATGAAGCCAATCAAGTCTGAATCTAGATGCTGACCTTTTGACTATAACATCAAGCCAATTCTTCCATCTTTCTCCTACCTGCCCCTTGAAGTTTTGTAGAAAATTCAAAAGCTTGTTCCCATGATTTTGTGACATATTTGGTCCCAATAAAAGTTAATTGCCCAACTGTTGAATTTTAATTGAATCAAGATTTCTGTAACGACTTTCAGATTCTAAACTGCTCCAAAACCGTTCATTAGTCTTTTAGTTCAGACAAGTCAGAGTAGTACTCAGAATATTATTATTGACCAACTTCTTAACCTCTTGGTGCTCTGTTCCCTACTGTATCATCCAGGGGAAGGAGATGGTAAGGAGGAAATAATGTGTGCCAGGAGTCCCCCCACCCCATGCCTCCACCTCATTTCCAAAATTGTAAAAGACAAGTGAAGTACCCCCTGAGGCTTTTTCCAGTGTTGAGATGGAAAATGTGTTACAAAAAGAGCACTGTAAAAACAAAGGAGGCAAGATAGCTGATGAGATGTATGATAATTCATGTTCTATATCCATCCAGTCAGATGGGCGGGGTACTACTACTACTGTTAATTACAGTGCCTTAAATGCAGTTACATTAGCTGTGATGCCTAAATATTTCTGATGATAAACCATAGAGATGGGGGAAACTATCTTTTTCTGTATTTAGGAGGCAGGCTTTGCTCTTTAGCAATAGTCAAACTGCCTGTGTTAATGAATCAGCTATAAGCAGGGATCAAACCTTTTGCCTTTTTAGCTCTGCTTCCTCTTGGCTGGAGAGATGATGTCACCATAGTGTGAGTGCTATGTTCTCCTTTTATGGAGTTAAACAGACTCAACTCGGAGTTGCTCATGCAGAGGAAGTGGGTGATAAAGGCCTGTTAGGATATTCTGTAACTGAGTTGTGAAGCACTAAGCAGCATGTTAACATTTTCTCTTCTTATCCCCACCCTCCCCAGAGTTCAAAATATAATCTCCTCTTGGGCAATTAGAACACCTCAAATGCATGTACTTGAGAAGCATGTAATAACTACCATTATTTTGGCACTTCTGCTACAGAACTCATCTATTTTTTTCCAGCTACAAGGATTCCACAGATACGTAAAACTATATTTAAATTTGCATGATGAAGCAGTTTGCATCAAATGCTTCCAAGCCATGCATCTCATAAGATGGACTCTAGTCAATGACAGATTGTACCACAATAATCCTGTTAGTCTACAAACTTGTGCGTTGCTGTAACAGCCCATCTCTCTGGAATAAATAATAATTTTGCCTCTTTAAAATCTGTATTGCTTCTTAAGTGTTAAAGACCAGGCTTGATAATAAATATTGAACAGAACTTGTATAGCTCATAAGACAGCTGCTCATTGAATAACTGCTCTGAAATACAGAGCCAATGCTATAGACTAATGCGTTACTTATTAAAAGCATAGTCAAAAGATACATATCTGGGCCTGTAAAGCAGATGTAGACTCCTTCTTTAATTATCTTATAAATGAGCATTTGGTTACATTTATTTTCCTTCTTCCTTTCTCACCCTCCTCCCCCAGCAAAACAAATATAGGCTATCTGAGCACTTGCACAATCCCCAGAAGGAGCAGCCCAATATCCTGCTGGACAGTCAGTTTTGAAATGGGTGCCTCTGTTGTATTTATTTTATTTATCAAAACTTACAGATCACATAATAATGATCAAGAAAGAAATATTTCTAAGCAGTTTACAATAAAATAATATAAAATATTTATCTGACAATACAAACACATTTAATCTGTAGGATAATCTCATGAGCATAATAGAGCCCAGATTGAACGGAAAATACAATATTCTAAAACATAACATAGCTGCTGTATCATTGTGCAATTGTGCAGCTTTTTCTGTGTATGCGTTAGCTTACTGTTTTGGGGGAGGGAAGTCTGTTTGTTCTAAGAGTTGAGCAACAGGAAGTAGGATACCATGCGGCACTTCTCAGGCAGAAGAATTCCAGCTATCCCAGTGATGACTGCTCTACTAGGCTGGGAAAATTCTCTCCTTCTCCTCGCCCCCCCCCAAAGGGGCCTATTTCCTTTTATGGTAGTGTCTGCATACTTGCCATGTGACTTGCCTGTACTTGTGCAGGTACATTCTTTAAAGCTTAAGGAGGAGGTGACTAACCAACCTGCAGCTGACAATAGAGGGGGAGGAGGGATTGCTGCCACACTTGGGGTTTTTTCTGACTAGTTTGCCTGCTAATGCATCAAATTCTATAGGGATGAAGGCACTACTTTTCCCACAAAGAATTTCAGGCTAATTGGTCAGCTGCTGAGTTAAGTTTTTTCCTGCAGGCTGGAATGGAAGTAGAATGGCTCCTACTGTAGGCAAAAGGATGGCTGGTTATGACTCAAGATGCATAGGGCTTCTGCAGGCGTTCTCCATTTGGCTTCCCCCTATAGTAATGAGGCATGAATTGATGTTTGGATACAGAGACAGTGTACTTTAAGCACCTGTAGCTTCTTTTTAAAAATGTCATCATTATTCAGAGAAAAAACTGCCTTCCTGGAATTGCCTGCATGATACAGAACCACCCAGTTGTCTGTGTTACTAAATACACCTCCTGGGGCTATGTGCAAATGAATCAATGCCCAGTCATGCAGAGCCCATTAACTGTTGAGAATCCTTCAACTCGTATGCTCTTATTAACTGGTAGAGAGTCCAAAAACTTGTCACTTACCTTGCAAGGCACATGTATGCTAGTGGAGTAATCTAACTGGTTATTAATTAATTTGGGTGATCTCTGACTAACTCATGCTCTGAGCAGACACACTGAAATCAATAAACTTCAGTAACAAGTCAGTTTATTTCAGTGGGTCTACTCAGAATATGACTTAGTTGGAGATCACCCTCTGTATGTAGCTAAGCACCATATAAAATGCACTGTATATGAGTAGCTGAATTACTAACCCTGAATCCCAGCTCTTCAGTTTCTTTGGTTCCTGTAGCAGTGGTAAAAAAATCAGGTAAAAAAAAATGCTATTGGGTATGGCTCTGTATCAGCAAAGAACTCTGGCTTGCACGCTTGGTTAAGTAACGTCACCTTCTAATCTTACCTGACACAAAAAGGAATTTTAGTTATACATGTAGGAGAGTATAAAACAAGTGATATGGTTCTTCCAACTATTTGGAATTTTTTTCTGCGCATACCACACCGAGAGCAGGAATTCTGTAGATAACATGGTGGCTGTGAAGATAGGCAGGATTTATTAATTTGTTTATCAGTAATCCCAGTCATACTGTTTTACTTGAATAAGGGCAATATAGGCATTGAGGCTACCCTTTAAGACCCCACTCCTCCATTGCATTTTGTTGAATCTGCTGGGGGTGTATGTGCAAGAAAATACAACAACAGAGGTGCAGGCTGTGTTGAAGAGATTTGTCAAGAGGCCTGAGACTATGCAACTTTGCTTAAGAGGCAGTGAGATGGAATAAAGGTGACCTTGGCCTGAATCTGATCGTCTTTTGTTTGCTTCTTAATTTCAGATCGAGAGGATCAGGCCATTCTTTGCACGTAAGTATTTGCATAATTTCCCCATTGCTGATATAGTTCTTGGCAGTTTAAGCAGCTTTTTAAAATGTAGTTGACTCACAGGAGTGGTTTTACTGTGAAACTTTAATCTCTCCGGGTCTAACTAATACTTTGAAAGGCAGGTGTGTGCATAATTTTTCACATGTTTACCAAGTCTCACTAGAAAAAGATAAGGGCAGATAAAGACCAGGAGAAGACGTTATAGGCCCCCCTAGTGGAAGCATATCAAGTGTAAATGCTTGGAGAACTGGTAGTTAAGAAAGCAACCTGGTAGGTATTGTGGTAACCTTGTTCACCATATACAAGCTAGCAAGACATTTAGGGAAATGTGTGGACTAGGCTCCTGAAAACAATATTTTAGAAAGTTGCTAAAGAGAGGTAAATGTTTGCAAATATATCCCGATAATGCTTTGCCTTTTGCAGAGGTGAATCTGGAGCTGGTAAGACAGAAAACACCAAGAAGGTCATTCAGTATCTGGCTCATGTTGCTTCATCACACAAGAGCAAGAAGGATCAAGTAAGTTTCTGTATTCTAATAGGAATTTGCTCTGCTATTTCAACTGCAAATACAAGCTGACCTCTTTATGGGAGATAATTTAGTACTGATTGATGCTTTGTAATAATGTGAATGGTCCCGAATTTTATGTGAGACTGGCTAATATTGTGCTCCTGACTTGTGTTCACTGACTTCAGTGAAGTGGCAGTAGATGTTGAATTGTGTCTAAATGACCGCTGTATGTGACAGTGCATTCACCTACTGGCAGGGAGGTACCATCTGCCTCCTTATTGTAGCGTCAGTTTAAAACTACTTGACCACCTCTTCTCCTGGAGTTGTGGCTGTCGTCGTCCCCCCCCCCCCATTTGCAATGAAGAAAGTGTTCCATCACTAGAGCCTTCTTTTCTGTTATAGGTAGTAACCAAAAACACTCTGACAGTGTGTGTCTTTTGTGCTAAGGAGGGTATCTATGAAATATTGTCTCATTTATTTTTCCTCCCTTCTCTTGATGGATTATGTCCGAACTCATCAGTTGGGACTTCATAGGTGAGCTGCACGTTTACTGCACGATCTGCACCAGGAATGTGTGTGTTGCTCTACTGTGTGACTTCTAGCAGCTTTTCACTCCCACCAATGTCACTTTTTGCCACTATCAGTTCACAGTTTGAATCACACAGCTTTCTTCCTCCCGAGACATCCCGAATGGGAGACTACAATTTACCTCATGACACTTTCTCACGTATAGTCAAAACCTATTAGTAATTCTCACTTTAGGTCTGTCTGAATAGAATTTCCTATGTGCGCTGAGAGGCATTCTGCACAGTGACACAGATACTCTGTGCTGTTCCAAAGAGGGTATCTGGTATCCACGGTATTCTGGCTAGACAGAGCCAGCTGACTTTCTCCACTCTCCTCAACCCATCCAGCGTACTTGCTGTGGTGCAGGATGTTGGGAAAGGTCATGAAGAAACTGCCCCGGCACAGGCTGGATGTTCCAGCTCAGAGCTCTTTGCCCGAGTTAAACACATGAGGAAATGCTAGTTATCTTGTAAACATTATAATGAAACCCAGATGCCAAGTGTATTCCCTGTTGCTACATAAAATCTTGGGTTTTGATTCTTTAATGTACTGGCATGCTGTGTGTCCATAGGGTTAGCTCTCAAAATATCTCTGCATGGTGTGTGTGCGTGTGCGCACATTCTAATGAGTGGCTTTTGGAAGCAAACCAAGATATAGTCTTCTGTATGCCAAACCTTTTGAGAGATGACAGCTGCTCCAATAGACTGTCAGTGAGTATACTTAGAACAGGCACAAAAAACATTTCTGTGTTAGGATTTAGGGATCTGAAAGCATGTATATTCTGTCCCAGTGCTGTCAAAACCTAGGATATAAGGTGGCAATCAATCAGCCCCCAGTGTAACAATTTTGGAGCCCTTCCCCCAGCTTTAACTTGAAGTCCTTTTGGGGTTTTTTTAAGATTAGTCAAAGTACTGTATTGCTTTTAGAAGCCTGAAGCAGACATAGAACTTTTTTATGTTGTGTGTGTTGATGTTTAAATCTAACTATCACAATCAATCTTTCCACCCATGCTTTTGAGTAGGAATTAACAATTATTAATGGCTTATTTAGGAGAGTTTTGATTCCCCCCCCCCAGACATGCTTAGAATCAATATTTGTGATAGTTTCCAGGGTCAGGAGACAGGCCTGTTGATCAGGAAAGTTGTGTTAAAGGATGGCTGGATATGACATGCACCCGGCTTTATGTATTAATAGTGCTAGGCTTTAGATTGCAGAGTTTTAAAACCACAACTTGGGCAAACTTTTCACTTTGCAATTGAAATTCTTAGCACCGTAGTGCTTTCAAGCAAAGCTGTCCACAGCATTTGGTATTTTCTAAAGTTTCTCAGCAGCAGCATTGCTGGAGGAGGAGGTTGGCATGATCTGCTGTTTCAGCAGACCGGCTGGTTAGTTCCAAGGTGGGACAATTAGTTCAAACTGTCTCTTCTCATCCTGAATCCCTTCTGAGATCTGCTTCAGCTGGCTTTAGTCATGAGTAGAGGGGTGGAAATCTTTAAAAGCCTTTTCCGGACCAGACATCAAATATCTGAAGACTCCCAAGGGTGATACTGTTCCTGGATTCTTTCCTGGAGGAAGTATTTGGAGCTGCTGTGTGGGAAAATTGTGAAGATACTCTTTATGCAAGTTTTTCTGAAACGATGAAAGGCTCACGCCCACACTGTGGCCAAATGGAACAGAATCTGTGGCTGTAGTGACATGCATGATTAAATTGGCTATGTGACACACAAAAAAGAATGAAAAAGTTCAGGCTGCAACTGAAGAAAAATAAATATTAGCAACCCATATTGAGGACCTGTTAGGACATTATTTCACTCCTGGGATTGTGTCCAGAAACAGGCTTTGGGCTCATATGTCCCTCACTGTGTGATCAAATGAAGAAATTGCATAGGGTATGGGATTTCCTTGGTTCTGTGACACCTTAAGTCATGTTCCTGATCTCTTCTTGGTGGGAAATAGTATCCGAACAGACCCTAACTCATGAATCAGATATTTCAGAAAAAGGACATTGTATATTACTTGATTACAATATGCAGTCATTCCCTCTACTAAGAATTGGTGGTGGTGAGTGCTGGCAGAAATTGAGCTAAAATGGGACTGCTGAGAAACAAGAAAGTGGTATTGGATTGAGGGAGTCTCATATTTGAAGAAGTCTTAAGCAACGCCCGCAGCCCTATGAGGACAATCCCCCAAACAACCCATTGAGGACTGAGCATGCCCAGTAGTCATAGTTGGGGGGGAAAAAGAAACAGCACTCCTATTTGGGGATGAGTATGCATTGCAACGTCTTGTTTCAAATGCATTTGGTAGCTCTAGGTTTTCATAATCTTACTGTCAGCTAGGTAGCCAATTCCTTCTCTAAATTCTTCACTGGTTAAGTTTATATGGGGAGCTACAATAGCTTGTGCTTCTTTGGGTCTCTAAAACAGCCTCCCCCTTCCTTCTGTGGCTGGCTCCAACCCATTTGTGTCTCTTCTTAATTCCCCCCCCCCCATTTTTCTAGTGAAAAAGGTGCAATGAATTACTGTTGACTGCAGAAAAACACTCAAAGCAACCATTGCTCCTTATAGTTACATTTTTAGCCCTGGAGTCCTGCATTGGAATATTTAAGCTGCTGCTGCTTCCTCTAAACATAGCTTTTCTTCAGATCTTGACCCTGCGCTGAAGTTGTAGTGTTTCGGTCTGTGACATCACTCATTTCCATAGCAACAGATTGCAGTAACAAACAAAGGATTAGGACTCCACTGCAGGATCAAACGGGAGAATTGCGGGGGGGGGGGGGCAGAGGCCTTCCTAGCATACATGCACATGTGACAATAGAGGAAATTCTACATTGCTGGCAAAATAAACTTTTCGGCACTTATCTGAGGCTTTGCTTCCTTCTGCACAGCTGATGGGGTGGTCTGTGATGGATAGCAGCTGTCTTGGCCAGAATCTATTCCCATGGCCCAACAGCCCACTGTCACCATGAATAAATGTTGTTGCTGCTGTTGTTGTTGTGGTACCAAGCTGCACAACGGACAGCAGAGTTCAGAGCTTTTCTAAATGTATGTGAAGTTGGATCACTTACAGGAAACCCAAAGCAACAGTTGAGTAAAGGCCCCTTTCTTAGCCCTGCATTCAGCTGAGTGAGCAAAACTGTCAAGTTTACACTGCAACTGTTGTAGCACCAGCAGCAGATTTGGTGCTATATGGAAACCGAAGAGTTGTGTATCTGAGCTCTGGGAGGTACTAAAGTCCAGTGGAAAGCAAGTTCAGAAACATGGAAAGCTGGAATAGGAGGACAAGTTGATGCAGTGTGATCTTAGGTCAGCAAAAATGGAACAGTTTTTCAGCAGCTATATATTCATATAAACCAGGGGTCAGCAAACTTTTTCAGCAGGGAGCCGGTGCACTGTCCCTCAGACCTTGTGGGGGGCCGGACTATATTTTGAAAAACAAATCAAGAATGAATTCCTATGCCCCACAAATAACCCAGAGATGCATTTTAAATAAAAGCACACATTCTACTCATGTAAAAACATGCTGATTCCCAGACCATCCGCGGGCAGGATTTAGAAGGCGATTGGGCCAGATCCGGCTCCCCCAGCCTTAGTTTGCCTACCCATGATATAAACCTTGAAAGCAGCAGGTTTTGTTTCTCTGAGCTTACCATATGGAGAGATTTTTCTTTTGATGTGATTAGTTTACCATTAAGGAAGTGTATTTCTTAAGGCATACATCTCCCAACACATCTATACAGTGCTACTTATGGAAATAAGAGTTTGGAGCCAGGAGTTGACAAAATATATCACCTTCTAAATGAATGGGTTGAAAGTAATTTTCATGTCTGATTTCCTGACTCCAGGGGGAGCTTGAGAGGCAGCTACTGCAGGCCAACCCCATCTTGGAGGCCTTTGGAAATGCCAAAACAGTTAAGAATGACAACTCTTCAAGATTTGTGAGTATCTGCCTCCTTACTTGAATTATGCATTTGAAGTTTGGGGGCAGGGGAAGGATATAGTTGAATGTGGTTTTAGCTGTTTGGCCTTGGATGTAGTTCTGAATGCAAACTTCACCTTGTCTGCATTTGAAGGGTATTTGGGGCAAGTAGATTATCCACAAACTCATATTAATACTATATGCGTGAGTCATCCTAAACCCTGATTGCCTCTGATATAGTTAGCAATATAAAACATTTTATTTGTATGCTGCCTTTCCAAATTTAAAACCATGCTCAAGGCAGCTTACAACATATATAAAAAATTACATAACTACATAAACATAATGAAGTAGTTATAAACAATAAAAGTAATCATAAACAAACAAAAAATCAAATATACTTAGCTGTTTACTGTGTAAAATATCCTTTTTAAGAATGATTTGAAACATTTATTTTAAAAGGAAACTGAAGCTATAATGGTGTGGTATTAGACATTAAATACTCTGTGCCATGTAGCACCTGGAAATGAATAGAAGCCAAAGTGGCCTATTTAAAATTATATTTTCCCTGCCTTCACCACAAGGGGCATCTGAGGCGGCAGATGTCCTAGGTCCTGGTCCTCTACTGAGATCCATCTAATTTATTAATCACTTAATGCTTGTAAGAGTATCCCGTTATCAAGTTCCTTGGCTGTTCTGTAGAATGAGCCTGAGTTTTATATCGAAATCTAGAATAGCAGCTGTATACCCCACGTTTACAATATGTGTAGTCGGCTAAGAGTTCTTGTTTTCTTTCTTCTTTCAGGGAAAGTTCATCAGAATCAACTTCGATGTAAATGGCTACATTGTAGGAGCCAATATTGAGACCTGTATCCTTCCCACAGATAGGGAAATCCAAATAACAACTAAAGTGGGGGGAGGAGGAGAGCACACAGGCATCTTGGCTTAAGAAAAGGTGTGGGCGGATCGTGTTTTGAAGTTGTACTTTGAAGAAGCAACTTGCCTTTTATGAAGATGATAATATTTTCAGAAGAGCTTGGCAACCTTCGATTGAAGTGCGTATGAGTAGTGATCTTATAGCTACATTTAAAATAAGATCTCTTCCTGAAGTACTTGTGATCCAGTTCAACATAATACACCATTTGTGAACATTTGTGTTAACTCACATGCACTATGGGCTCAGCTGCTGAGAGCCACGCTAGGGCAGAAGCCTCAATCTGGCAGAGTACTGTAATACATGAGCTGCCTTTTAAACATACCTCATTGAGTCCGAAATAACAACTCTTTACATCCTCCCCCCAAAACCCTTTATTCTGTTCTGCCAAACTCCTGCACAGTTAAAGTTCACGCAAACTGGGTTACTTTGTTTTTGAAAAATCTTTTATGTATCTTTTTCTTTAATAGTAGTATGGTGACAGAAGGAGAGGATAATATGAACAGAAGTCGAGCATTCAAAGTATAGAGGCTTAATTCCTGAATGTGAGAGGTTTTCGCAAAAACAACTTGCCCAGTTTGGGTCTGAGAAAGATGCCAAGCTACCTGAGAATCTGTATACATATAATTTATGTAGACATGGGTAGTTGTTTTTTCTCCCTTAACTTACCAAAGATCTGTTGGAGAAATCGAGAGCAATACGTCAGGCCAAAGAAGAACGAACATTCCACATCTTCTATTACTTGCTGACCGGGGCAGGGGAACACCTGAAGAGTGAGTACTTGGTGCTTAAATTATAGACTCCTAGTTTACTAGTAGTCTCTTTAGAAGTGCTTTGCACAGGCATTCTGTCTTTTTTTTAACCCTTTCCTCTTGTATAGTCTTTGTTCCCCCAAGACTGATCTAGCTTTGTCAGTCTCAACCAATGTCAACATTTCCTTATCTGAAGGCTGTACTGAGTTAATTAAGGACATGAGAAAGATCAAATTAGGAGTGTTAACAGCACTCTTAGAATACTCCAAAAGAATTTACTGAACTTGCAGCAAGTAATTGCCCTTCAAATGATTTACGGGTGAGAATATAGGCAACAGGGAGTTACTGTTTTTGTAAGTAAGCCGGTTCTGCTGCTTTCCATAAGTGTTGTACCAAATGGGTTATTGAAGTTAGACACCATTTAATTGAAGTTAACCCAACTAACCATTTTTTGTGGATGCGGGATAGTTCTTACTTGTTTACTACTGTTGCATAACTATCTGCAGGGCAGTGTTTAGATCTCTAGATAAGGGATGAAAAAAGATTCATGTAACCTTTTCCGATGGAAACAACATTAAGCTTCTGCTTTATGTTGAAGATCTAGCAATTGCTGGAATGCAAGAATACTTAGCCTAGGGTTTAATATAGGAGGCCTAATGCAGACATCCTTAATACCGAGTAGTTGTATATTTGAGTTGTCAGACTTGTCATATAAGCCTTGCTACTTGCCCTGAATGTTTACCCTGAAGTTATGCACTAATGTTTAAACTTTATTGCCTCTTTAGATGACTTGCTGTTGGAGCCCTACAACAAATACCGCTTCCTTTCTAATGGGCACGTTACAATCCCGGGTCAGCAGGACAAGGACATGTTTCAAGAGACGATGGAGGCAATGAGGATCATGGGCATTCCAGATGAAGAGCAGATTGGTATGAAGCTTCTAAAAAGGGCTTTAGAAGTGCAAGCAGGTTGTGGTGAAGATTGCTAAATAACAGTGAAATCCCCAAGCACCTGGATACTTTGAGTTGTTAAATGAGTGATCTGCATGTGCCTATCTGGGGATGTTAGATAGTGGCCTTTCCCTGCATTCAGGTTGATTTTGGCAAGTACCCTCTTTCTGCAAAGAGAGGTTTCAAAAGGGCAATCTCTCTCTCTCTCTCTCTCTCTCTCTCTCTCTCTCTCACACACACACACACACACACACACACACAAAAGCAAGTAGCTTGCCAGCCTACATTTCAAGCTGCCCAGCTTTCTTTCCACCTTATTTGCAAGCTTGGTTAAAACAGCTGCTCCTACTGCTTTGTGTTGTGGATGAGCATCCAGTGTAAAGGTTTTTAGATGTGTAATTTGTTGTGTATTTAATTTAATTTAATGTTGCAGATTAATTGCACTGCAGAAAGCGTGCTGGGGAGACCACAGATTTAGGAATATAGATAGATAGATAGATAGATAGATCGGCAGATCGGCTTTATTTACAAAGACAAAAAGTCCTTTTACATTCACTCTATAAGTATGACCCATTCACCAGGGTACTGAGAGAGGTACACACTGCTCTTTATATACTATACCCAGTTGCTGACACAGCTTAATTAACACAACTTAACAGCACCTGCTATACTGTTTCACAGCTGTAAAACTAGGTCATGATATTTACTCTGGCCTTTAAAGAGATACACATCTTGTGAAACAATAATGAACCTTAATATTTAAATAAACCATTCAACATAATTGAGTGGTGAAAAAATGCTCCTCCTTCCCTGTTTCAGTTGCTGAACGCATTAAATACTATACAGTATTAAGCATGTGAAGATCCCACATCTGGAAGGCAGGTGGTTTGAAAGTCTGATTTTAGGCTCAAGGGCTTAAACCTCTTTAAAACATGTTTGTTTAAATTGAATAAAAAGTAACTGTTTGGCTGGATAAGTTGGTCCATCTGATGGAGCAAACATACAGTAGTACAGTGTTTTTGGAATGACTTATATAGGTTGCCTTAGCTTGGAAGTTTGGAGCTTGGGATGTTTAGGCAGAAATAGACAAGCCCCGCAGGGGTACTGAAACCTAAAATGAGATGCTTGACTTTGAAAGAGTAGAGTATCTACAGGCCCATTTTTTCCACAGCTAATATTTAATCATGATACTCTCCCCATTGTGTTGTGTGGGGTGAAATCTGTGATCCTCCCATAGGCTCTTAACTCATGAAAAACAGGCAAGTAGCCCTCATTGATTGGAGATAGCAGCATGGGTCATGGTAAAGTTGCAGCTCCTGTAACGTAGTACTGTATCCTGAGTGTCAGAATCCTTAGTGCACCAAGGTCCCTGCCTGTAAGACATACCTGACTCCAGATGTGGCATCACAGGAGACAGGGCCTAGTGACTGTCTGCATCTGTCAATACAGCATTAGACTCAATGTTTTGGGGTAACTTAATCGTAGGTGACTCTGGAGTCTGCCTGCTTCAGTACTGGCATTGCCACACAGTGTTAGCACTACCACTTTGTGCTTTAGGAGCTTGGAAGATTAAAAGGTTAGACGTCATTGCATATACAATATCAGTGCTCCTCCTGGACCTTTTATGAGTGGACCCAAATGTATCATTTTGTAAGCTGCTTTGGGTCACTTGTGAAAAAAGATTAATAAATGCAATTATAGTAACATCCACTCTCCTCTTTCATAATAAATCTGTTAGGCAAAATGTGTCAGTCTCTTTGTATTACATATTCTGCTACCAAATAATGATGCCTTTCGGTATTTGGTAGCAGAATATGCTACATTTTCTGAAATGTCACAGGTTGTAAGATTATTATTATTTTTTTTTTAAAAAATTTCCTTGACTTTTGGGGCGCATGAGCTGGATGATAACAATGCCCTTTGAGCCATCTTGCCTTTTCCAGGAATTACTGTTTCTTATATTTCTGATCAGGCACACATGTAATTGTTTTGTAAGCTGTATGGTCAGAATATAAATCTAACATGAATACAATGTGTAACCAAAAAGGTACTAGAGGGAGGTTTGGGAAGACTTAGACAATTCCAAGGTTTGTAGAAGTACCAAGAAATATTGAGATTAAAAAAAAAAGGTGGATGACCCTCTGTCAGGGAACTGCCATCAGTGCCGGAGGGAGAGAGCAAAATCCAGAGGGATTCCAGAGAGCGTCCCGGGATTGGGAGAGGCAGCCCATCTTCTGGGGAAGAGAATCAGCGTAGCACCAGTGGAGAAGGGGGGCAGATGGGGGGAAGCGGCGAGGCGGTCCCATGACTCCTTGCCGGGGACCAGCGGGGAGAGTAGAGGTCCTCCGCTGCCTACGCCCTCCTTGTGCAGAAGGCTTTCGCACAGAGAGAGTAGGAGGAGACTGGGCGTCAAAGAGCTTCTTTGCTGGAAGAAGTTTAAGAAACGCCCACTGACGGATTCTGCCAGCGATTGAGACAGCCACGGGTGAGTGGCTGTCCGGACAGAAAAGTTCACTCAGTCAACCCAGCCAGGTGTTTGCACCGGCTTATGCACGAGCAACCCCTAGAACCACTACACCCTCCCAAAACATGGAAGACTGGCTGTTGGGTAAGAGGAGAAATGGTGTGGAGTATTGTGGAGGAGGCCATGGCTGACTGGGACGGTGAACAGAAGCATTTTGTTGCAGATCCATTTGTGCGACTCCGATATACCAAAAGGCTAGTGGGAATGAAACAATTGGTCGTTCGTTCATCTGTGCCTGGTGTTTCTTAAGTGACATGTAGTAACTTTTGGGTGTTTTCTTTAGGTCTGCTGAAGGTGATATCGGGTGTTCTTCAGCTTGGCAATATTGTCTTCAAGAAGGAGCGCAATACAGACCAAGCCTCCATGCCAGACAATACAGGTAAATAAATTCCCCCATGGGCTGGAAGTCGGTGCTGCTTTGTGGAAGAGCCCACTTCTTAAAATGTTGGCATCACATATGAAGTCAGACGAGAGTGGAAATATGTACTGTAGTGAACTCTAGTGAGTATGTGCAGCACAGCAATACCGTTGATGGCTTTTTGATGTAAACTGGATATCCTCAGTAACTGCTGTTGCCTCCTGGTGGCAAACATATTATCTACATGTAAATATTGGGTCATCCACTGTGTAATTGCAACCACCCGTGAATAGGCACATGTAATGCCTGTTGCTATTACATTATAGAACGCAGGACAAGTGAAGGAAGGGGTGTAGAATGTAGGGAAAGAGTGAGGGAGCAGCGTCAGTTGGTGGTAGCTGAAAGGAAGGATGCAGAAGAGAAATGGAGGACATAGGAGGAACAGAGTAGACAAGGCATCGAGAAGGTGAGGAAAGCTGAACATGGGCAACAAAATTAATAGATAGCAAGCAACTGTGTATGATTGGGATTAACTACAGTGACATAAACTTGACTGGTTTGGGGTTGGGTCACTTGCAGGAAGTTGATCATCAAAACTAGATACTGATTCTTGAGCTATAGGAGTGAATATCTCTCCTCATCTATATTTTAGAACAAGTATGCATTACAGTCTTTCTTGTGCCAGGCAGAAGGTGAATGAGGGAACAGCCAGAAACTGAGTTCCAGTTGTGTCATGGGAGCTGGCATACATTTAGGACTTGAGTGGGGTTGTGATGGAACCTGCTTCCAATTCACGGCTGAAACAAATTAGTTTAAATGTCACAGTTGCCCTCTAATATCAAATGTGAAACTCCTGACTGAGACAGATGCTTGTGTGTTTTGAAATTGCTGTGATCATGGTTTCTGGCATTTGAACACCAAACGTTAGAAATTTGATGCCAAGCCAGAGGGGCAGTAAAACCTTGACTCAGTAAGCCAGACCTGATGCCATCTACAACTCAAGTGCCTTAAATGGTGAGGGGAAGTGTAGCTGTGTTCTCTGAATCAGGGAGTCTTTCATTCATAAATGCTCATGGAATTGGTGGAGCCACCAGCAGGTACTCGAGTCTGCAAGAAATTGTAAGCAGCCAAGTGTAAGCTGTTGAAAAACTTTCAGAAATCAGCACACCTTTCTTAGCAACTCTGAATTTAGCACTTAAACTGATTTACACCTTGGTAAGCAGGCTTGTAACGGAGATATTTCTTTGGTAGTGCAAGTCTGTCAATCAAAAACAGGCAGGGATTGTTGTCATCCTTTCCTAGAAAACCCAATAACTATTTTATGATCACATGTAACTCTCACTGTTCTTTCAATGTGGAACTCCTCATCCAGACAGTGACCAGACTTTTTCCTGCCTGGTTTCAGCAAGCTACTACATACTTTGCCTTCAGATCATGCACTAAACCTAGAGTTTCTCTAACAAATGAGTGGCATACACAAAACAATAATCAACCCTCTGTATCTCTATCTGTAGCACACAAAGAACAATGGTTTCAGCTTTCCCTGTGTTTGAAAAGTTGTTAGGTTCCCTTAAGTGACACTCTGCAGAGCAGTGTACTTAAAAATACTCATTTTCACAGTAAAATGGAAGAAACAAATATTAAAACTTGGCTTTTGCTCTTTCTCTCTTATAGCTGCTCAGAAAGTTTCCCACCTTCTGGGTATCAATGTGACAGACTTCAGCAGAGGAATTCTCACCCCTCGTATCAAAGTGGGACGAGACTACGTCCAAAAGGCTCAAACTAAAGAGCAGGTATGTTTTGTACAGGTTTGCAACAAAGACAGTAAAGAATAAGCAGTATCTTTACACGGACATGTAGACAGATGATCAGTGGATCACATAAATGGTTCTAGAGACGGACCTGTCAAATAGGTTTTCAAGGAAATGAGCATGAGCTGTGTGTTGAGAGTTAGACTGCAGTCCTATTCACTGTAGTAAGTCCTATTGAATGCCGTGGAGCTTACTTTCAACTGAAGGTGCATAGGAATGTATTTAATAATAATAATAATAATAATAATAATAATAATAATAATAATAATATCTTTATTGTCATTGCCCCCTTCGGGGACAACGAAATTACTTGACTGCTCCATAAAAACACTAATTAAACAATACAGTATAATACAGCAAGGGAGATTAGATGACTTTCAAAGTCCGGGCTTCCCATTCAGGGCCGAGATCGCTCTGGAGAAGAAGCTGTTCTTAAGACGGCTCGTTCTTGTCTTCATCGTCCTGTATCTCCGTCCCGACGGCAAGAGCTCGAAGAGACAGTGACCAGGATGCGATGGATCTTTTACTATGTCCAGTGCCTTCCTATGGCACCTTGTGGCATAAATCTGCTCTAAGGTGGAGAGTGGGCAGCCAACAATGCTCTCTGCTGCCTTAACAACCCTGCACAACCCCATCCTGTCCTGGGTAGTACAGCTTCCGTAACACACACATAAGCCATAAGTAAGCACGCTCTCAATGGCACAGTGATAGAAGGCAAGCAGCAGTTTCAAGTCTTTAAAGGGTGAATTCCCAACTGGTCCTAACTAGAGTCATTCTGTGAAGCTCCATATTGGAACAATGCAAAGAGTAGTAGTTGGGAATGTAAAGCTCTGGTGTTCATGTTTTTTTCCTGCGCCCATGCACATCCCACACCCCACCCAGCAACATTCTGTATGCGTGCTGCTGCCAGTATGGTGTGTACAAACAGGATGAAAGCTGAAAAGTTCCAAAAGCCTTTAAAAAAACTACAAAAAACTTCTGTATTTGAAAGTAAGATAAGAATATTTGCAGATTATCTTTGCATAATTTAGTTGATTCAAGAAGAAGATGTTCTGAAAAGTAAAAAAGCCATGATCTCACTGTTGGCGTCCATCAGGCCAGAGGGAATTTCTCCTGAACTGAGTTGCCTCTCTTCTTGCTTCAGGCTTTTATATGGTAGTACCAGCTCTGTAGCATTGGCTGACGCTTGCATGTTGTTTTGTAGAGGCGAGTATTTACGAAAGATTTAACTTTCTGACAATGATTCAGGCACTGCAACCTTAAATTTAACAATTGTGATAGTGTTTTTTTTGCCATCTGTGACTTTTACCCCCCTTTTTTTAAGGCTGACTTTGCCATTGAGGCTCTGGCTAAAGCCACTTATGAGCGCATGTTTCGTTGGCTGGTGATGCGTATCAACAAGGCACTGGATAAGACAAAGAGACAAGGAGCATCTTTCATAGGAATCCTTGACATTGCTGGCTTTGAAATCTTTGAGGTAAGTAAAGGGCAGCCGCACTTTTAAATTCCAACATACTGTGTTTGGATGTTAGTGTTGCTCAAGGAGGGATGTCAACTAAGAACCTCCACTTGAACTGTGGTTCTTCCAGTTTCATCCCAGGGCTCAACCAGGAAGGAATGCAAGGGAGCCCACCTTTGATGTACTGGACCATAGTGTACTCGTATCACATAATTTTTCAGTGACCCCAGGCAGCAAGTAGGAACAAAATAGAATTCTTTTGAAGAGACGCTAGAGACATTCTTAAAGTCCAGTGTAAGCTCCTTTTCTGAAAGATGGTGGCTTGGATCTTAACTAGGCTTCCACAAATGGAAGGTCTCCTTCCATGGACTGAACCAAGATCCAGCAGAGCATCCCTCTAGCAGAAAGAGGAACAGGCAGTTTTTGCTGATCACCCCCCTCCCTGCACTGTATCTTATTGTACCCCAGAGGTCCCCCCAACCCTCTAGACCAGGGGGGAAAGGGGGTGCATGGGATGGGAATTGGCAAATCTCGTTTCCCCCATCTACTGGTGGGAGCATTATGAGTGCAACTTCCCTCAGGGGACACTTCAGCCAACATGAGCAAACTTAGGGTCCGATCCTAGTTTTTCAATGTTAGATGTAATATTACGGTCTTGGTATGCCTGAAAAATCCAAAATGACTGTGTTTAAAAATGTTTTTGGAACAAAATAAATAACCTTAATATAATGTTTGCTGTCAAATACTCTTTCTTTCAGTAAAGTAAGAATTGGCATGCAGGATTGCTGCCAAGTGGAGAGCAGATGTCTGCTGCTCCAAGTTTAGAATTGATGCTCAAATGAGTGCTGCAAAGCACCTAACAAGATGCCTTCTTCATCTCAGTAAATAAGGCAGTGGAGAAACTGTAGTTGAATGCTGGTTCAGAAATGGGGATACTAGTAGGTAACCGTTTGGTGGGCAGCATTCACCTAGACCTGTGTTGTTCTATTTTTCCGGAATTAGCTGAACTCATTTGAACAACTGTGCATTAACTACACGAATGAGAAGCTGCAACAGCTCTTCAACCACACCATGTTCATCCTGGAGCAAGAAGAATACCAGCGTGAGGGCATAGAATGGAACTTCATTGACTTTGGCCTGGATCTGCAGCCCTGCATTGATCTTATAGAAAAACCGGTGAGTGACTCATGCATCGTGTCCTGGGTAGTACAGAACAGTTATTGCAGTGAGCTTAAGGCCCGTATGCACAAACCTCTTGATTTATGCTAAGAAGCTGAATTTATCTACATGAGTGTGGCCTATGAGCTTATGAGGCCACCACTTTGCTGCAGCGGAGGTAGTTGAATGTGGTTAGTTCCTAGGTATGAAACTGCCGGGGAACAGCATGTAAGCAGCCTTGGATTCCATGGTGGAAGGCACTAGGTTACAATTCAAAGATAATAAATTTAATTTGAATAAACTGGCAAAAACTCATTTAAATGTAGAATCCAAAAGTGGCATATAAAAGGAGCAAGAAATGGGATAGTTTAGAGACTGCTTATGGCCAATCTGGAAAGCTGCTTTGCTAAGAGCAATTGATAGATTTCATTTTGTGCGCTTTCCTTGTTCAAAACCATGAATCTTTATAGCAGTGCTGATTTCCACCTGCTTTCTTTTTTTTAACACAGGCTGGACCTCCTGGCATCTTGGCCCTACTGGATGAAGAATGCTGGTTCCCCAAAGCTACTGATAAAAGCTTTGTGGAAAAGGTGGTGCAGGAGCAAGGCACTCATCCCAAGTTTCAGAAGCCAAAGCAGCTAAAAGACAAAGCTGATTTCTGCATTATGCACTATGCTGGCAAGGTGAGCCCTTGTATTTGTAGTAGAAAGAAAAGCAAAGAGGTGCTACTGAACTGTGGACAATTTAGGTCCTGCTGATTTGAGGGTTTGTTTTAGGCTAGTGAAAGCTATGTAGTGATCAAGTTCCACATTAGGAAAGGAAGCAGTGTGCTCCCATAAAGGTCTACAGCTTTCCATTTAATGGCAAGGCACATGAACTGTTGCGGATCCAGCCTTTCCGTTCTTCTCCTTACAGTGGCAGATTAAGCACTTGTTGACTAGCACTTCTGAGGTGCTCTGGATAATTCACATTGGTGGTATCCAACTAAGTCATAGCTGGAATAGACCCACTGAGATCAGTAACTTAAGTTTGTCATGACTTGAAGCCCAATGACTTATGTGATCTACTCTGAGTTAAATCATACAATAAACTATAATTAAGCTTCACCACTTAGTACAGTATTTCTAGAATCATGTTCCATTTCAAGAGTGTGGCAATCATAGTTTTGCCTCTTTTTCCTCAATACTGAGGCAAGGTTAATCTTTTGTAGCTAATATTAATGAATTAATTTCTTCTCTAGGTTGACTACAAAGCTGATGAGTGGCTGATGAAGAACATGGATCCCCTTAATGACAACATTGCTACTCTGCTACACCAGTCCTCTGATAAATTTGTTTCTGAACTGTGGAAAGATGGTATGTAACCAGATTTCTTGCATATTTTTCTTAGAGTGCTTATCCAATATCTTCAAGCACTTTATATATAGGGGCTTTCTACTCCCTTAAAATGTCAGTGATCAGTGTGATCCAAAACTTGTGTATGCTTTATTCTGAATACTATCCTCCTCCTGTTGCTGAACTGAGGAGAGATTGGAAAAGGGTCAAACTGTCAGGGGCAGGCAGCATTCCAGAATAACATTCAAACCGATGTTCCTTGTACTCTACCGCATCCAAATATGGGATGCAATGAGATGAAACCAAACATTGCCTCTAAGGATTTCTTTGCTTATTCCAGTGCCATTAGGTATCTTGCACTCTGGATTATCTGCTTTGACTCTCACTGTTACTATCTCTTTTCTTGGGTTTTTCTTTGACGTCTCTGTTGCAGAGATGCAGAACGTTCAGAGAGCCTATTTCTATCAACACTTTCCTATTCTTCATCTAGAACCAGGTGACTGAGAAACCCCGGGTGTCGTGTCGTGTGTGATTCCTTCTAGAGCCATGCAAGAAATGCTTCCAATAAATCTTATCTGCCCCTTTGCCATTCCTGCTTGTCTGTCTCATTCAGTCCCTCTGCTTTTTTGCTAGTAGACCCTCTTGGGCTTGGAAAATAACTGATCTTGTTAACAAGGTGTGATCACACAGGCACAGCAACACAAAATACATGGATGGTACTGCTTTAGTGATTCATACAAATAACTATCTAAAATTACTGTATAAATTATTTTATTGCTAGTGGTGCCATATGGAGTGATGACCATATGTGGCTCTAATCTGAATATTTTTGTGTATGAGGAGCAGTAATTAGGTTCTCCAGTGGCTAAAGTTAGAACTATTACTGTTACTGATCCAAAGGATGCCGCTAATCACCCTGGATGAAGTTTCTGTTCAGAGAAATTACATATTTTGCTGCCTCTGTGCAGATTGCTGATGTTTAGCCATCAACTTTAAGAGAAGTTGCCAGTCAACTTTATGAATACTTTTCTTAAGATTCCATTCAGTAACACAACTTGTTTCTACATCAGTCTTGACTCTACTGTTGTTGGGTTTTTTTGAGGGGGTTGAGGCATCATAATTTTAAGCACAAGTACATTATCCCTTAGCAATGATCTTGTCTTTCAGTCTCTAATGCAGTCCTCTTTTTTGACGTATTAAAGGTCTTCCTTTGAGTCTTTTCTTATTTTTTTTTAGGGGAGAAAGAGCTTTTGACAGCCACATGCTCATTGAGCTATGTGAAGCAGTGACTGGCTTGAGTGCACAATTCAGTTGTTTGGTGGATTGCATTTTTTAAAAACCTGATCTATCCCATTAGGCTCATTCTGATGATTAGAATGACTAATTTTGGTTGAACTATCTTTTGTCCATTGTTGTAATATTAAGAGAGGGGTTTAATTATCTTACATAATTTATTTCTTTTATGGCACATGGCGAACTGGTAAATAAAAGAATTGAACAAAAGGCTTAGTTGCTTTTAGCACTGAGGGACAGTTGCTGTGGCATGCTAATACTAAACTGCCTCCTTGTGTCCAGTGAGACAAGTTGTTCCAGCTAAAACACACGCACATTATAACATGGCACACTGGGCAGTGATTTCATAAATTCTATCATTTATGACCCATGGGATATACCAGGGACAGACTCCTTATCAGAGTGAGAAGGAGAAATGAATCTTGTTAATATATTTAGCTTACAGATGCTGTCTAGTACTAGAAAATGGATTTTTAAATCACACCTGATTCTCTACACCAGGTCTGATCAAATATTTTAAATTTTACAGCAGGAACCCTGTAAAAAATTCCCAAGTGCAGTCTTGGTTTGACTGTTGACTGCTATAACTTTGTCTTACATAATTCCATTACTTGAATTGGTTGCATTCATTGGAAAATATTGAGTCTGTAGGGGCTAGCTTTGTGAGAAGTGATTTTCCTTTTTGGTTACATCAAGCATGAGAGAGAATATTTTGTCTAAATCAAACCCATTATGCCAGTTCTACTTTACTCCTAGACCTTGGCATAAAATTGCAGTTTAAAATCTCTCAGGCATGAGATGGATCTTAGTTTTAATAGTCGGCTGCTTTCTTCCCTCCTTGTTTTTGCCCAATACAAATGATGAATTGGTCCTCCACATCTGTAGAGGAGTGAAGCAAATGGATCCTGCAAACTCCTTTTATCCTTGTTGTATCCAGATATGTTAGGCATTCTCTCACCAAAGCTGTTTAGGGGAAAATATTAACAATCTGGTGTCTTTCCTCTAGTTGATCGCATAGTTGGGCTGGATCAGGTGGCTGGCATGTCAGACACAGCATTGCCTGGGGCCTTTAAGACCAGGAAGGGCATGTTCCGAACAGTAGGACAGCTGTACAAGGAGCAACTGGCCAAGCTGATGGCTACCCTGAGGAACACCAACCCCAACTTTGTCCGTTGCATCATCCCCAACCATGAGAAGAAGGTAATGCATATAAAAAGAAGCAGTGTACTATATTCACATATCAGAAGTGACTTGAAGATTAATATAGAGTGCCACTCTTGCCTGTATTATTGACTTCAGGGGTAGGGGATAATGAGGAAAAAAGCAGCTGTATCCCTACCTTTGTATGTGGCTGCTTTAACTTGTCTTGGAATTTTTCTTGTTGTTAATCCTTTGCGAGATATGTTGTGTTTACTCACTATATGACTATTAGAAGGCACCTTTTCATTGCACTTGGAAAGATCTTCGCAAACCTAATGAGAAATAATGGCATTTACTTAGTACTAAAATAGTGAAGTATTTAATTATGCCCCAACTTTCCATTTTAAAGAACATCCTTAGTGACTTGCAGTGAGAGTAGGGGTTGAGAAATGAAACCCCCCCCATAAAAAAATACAGGAACAGTGTTTGTTGTTCACTGGCTGGCTTACAATAAACGAAACATACAGCCTGGAATCCAACACTGCATGTGTAGCCCTCTGCTTGCACAATAGGACAAGACAACTTGCAACATGGGGGAAAAATAGCCGCAACATAACGAAAGTAATCGTAATGAATAAATAAGATTTCGAAAATACACAACCAAACTAAACAATTTCCACACAAACCTCAAGATCTAAAATCTACAAAAACCCATCAGCAACAACCCACCGCCAAATCAACAACACCCCAGCCCAAGAGTCTGTTAAGTCGCCTCAGCTTTTGTAGCTGGAGTTATTCAAGGACCCAACCTCCCAGGCCAGATGGGAAAAGGCCTGCAAGGCAGGGATGTTGAAGCATGATTGAGACTAGGACTTCTCTTGGAGGGGTGCAATATAAGCTGCTAGAAATGCTCCTGTTGACTACCACCAGGGGATCCACAAGTATCTGCACTCATGTCCTATAATAAGAACCTGTCTTTTCTTCACAGGCTGGAAAACTGGATCCACATCTAGTTCTGGATCAGCTTCGTTGCAATGGAGTACTGGAGGGAATCCGTATCTGCAGGCAAGGCTTTCCCAACAGAGTTGTCTTCCAGGAGTTCAGACAAAGGTAAAACTGAGGCATTGGCTTTAATCTGCATGGTATTGAATGCATTGTGTGAAGTGCTCGTAGATTGTCAGAGGTCTCTGCATGTAGTTTGTAAAGAAAATTGTCTTGCCAGTTAGCAGTCTATTCTTCATAGGCGGCCTTTTAAAGCCCCTGGTCAGCCTCAAGTAGTGTCAGAGGCCCACTCAGTAGTTATATGGTGTTAGCAGGCCAGGGTCTTGCTTCCAGGACCACTTTCACAACTCTCTTTATCTGTGTTATCAGTAATACCCCAAAGAGATCTTCAGTTGCATTCCTGCTAAGTGTGTTGAGACTTGACTGGGTACCCTTCTTGACAATAGTGGTTGTTACATTGAGTTTACATGTACTTCATAAAAAAATTAGCCAAATACTCATACAAATATGAGCTAGTGATATAATGGTACCATCTTCCCTTTTAGATATGAGATCCTGACTCCAAATGCCATTCCCAAAGGGTTCATGGATGGAAAGCAAGCCTGTGTTCTGATGGTAAGTCCTCTGCTCCTGTGGCTGATAATGTAAGAAGGGATTAGGGGAGCAATATACAATCCATTAGGTAGACGTTTCAATAATTCATATTTAGTGTTCTTATGAAAAGTGTGCTTCTATTGATGACCTGCTGGACCTTGGCTTATCACTAATGAATCATTACTATGGAGCAGTGTTCTTAAGTTGTTGCAGTTTCAAGATGGAACTGGCATGCATCTGAATTCCACATTACCTCCTGATGGGTTTTTCATTCATGAGAAGGAGTATGTTTCAGGGCATGCTCTTCAACAATCACTGGTGACAGCAGCTCCTAAACCACATGCATTTTAAAGATGCACTTACAGTGCAATCTTAACCATGTCCTGTCAGGAGCAAGTCCTGTTGAATTACATGGGCATTACTCCCTGGTAGTAGGAATTAGGATTACAGCCTTGGATTAGCAGGAAAGCTCAGGTCTCTTTTATTTTCTTCAGTGGCATTAAGTCACCATGGAACAGTATATGTGTGAAGAAATACACCCCAATGCATTCGCTTCATTAATCAAGAATAAATATTTTCTTCTCATTGCCATTTAGATCAAAGCCTTGGAGCTGGATCCAAACCTTTACCGAATTGGACAGAGCAAAGTGTTTTTCCGAGCAGGTGTCCTTGCCCACCTTGAAGAAGAAAGAGATCTGAAAATCACAGATGTCATTATTGGGTTCCAAGCGTGTTGTAGAGGCTACTTGGCTAGAAAGTATGTTGAAAGTAATGTATAATCTTTCTTGTTAGCTAACATCTGCATCCAGTTGGCAATAAATTACTGGCATTCTGAATTCTAGATAACTTTGAAAAAACACTGTTTGGCCTTGGCTTATGATTTTCTAACAATTCAGGAAAGCTTGAGAGATTACTTCCAAGGTACACACAAGATGGAATATCTAAATTCCAGGATGCTGAGCTTTCTGAAGTTCCCTCTTTACTGTAAAGCTTACATTTGAATCAAAGTAAAATGTTACCACACTCTTAAGAATGAATAGGCTCTGGAACTTGCATCACAATTTGTACAAATACAAGAATAAAGCATCAAAATTATATTATGGAAAAGTGCTGGTGGCATTTGTTCCACTATGTGGTATGAACCCAGTAGGATAGAACTAGATTGAAATGGGAAATACGGAGTGACTGGTGATTGAGTCATCCCCCCCCCCCCCCCAAAAAAAAATGTTCACACAAATAGTGGTAAAAGACAAACAAAAGAAAGCAAACATAACGTTTGAATGGGAAAGGCATGATATAGTGGGGAAAGCAAATGAAATATTTTAATGTGGCTTTGTAAGTAAGGTATCTAGCTTTCATCTGACCCTCTGCTTTCCCCACCTCTTCCCATTACAGGGCTTTTGCCAAGCGCCAGCAGCAACTAACCGCAATGAAGGTACTCCAGAGGAATTGTGCTGCCTACTTGAAGCTTCGCAACTGGCAATGGTGGAGGCTGTTTACAAAGGTACTAATCGGAGGAAGGATTCAGTGATAGGAAGTTAGGCTTCAGAGCCAAACAAGAGCATGTCATCCTCTCCCTTAAAGGCACTATCTCCGGTTCCATGTCCTGTGTTGCATACTTAGGATTGGCCCTCCTTCCAATGGACTTTGTTGGCCATTAGGAGGGACACCAGGGCTCTGAAACTCTGTGCAAGACAAAGCAAGTGTTCTGCAGCTGGCTGATAAGCGTGGGTAACTTGTGCTCCAATTGATTCCCTGCAGGTGAAGCCTTTGCTGCAAGTGAGCAGGCAGGAGGAGGAGATGCTGGCCAAAGAAGAAGAGTTGGTCAAAGTCAAGGAAAGGCAGCTGGCTGCAGAAAACAGAGTGTCTGAAATGGAAAATCTCCAGTCACAGGTGAATAGATGGTTGTCCTTCATAAAAGTGGCCGATCAGCTCCTTTGTTACATATATGTGCTTGAAAGTCATGTCATCATAGCTGATCTTGAATAGTGTTTTGTAAGTGAATGGTTCTTTGAAGCACACTGCACATTGGGGGCACAAGCTAAAGAGCTTGGGCACAGGCCCATGGCAGAATGCATATATGCTAATTTATATGTATAGCTGCCTCTGGACAAATTATAATAGTGGGTGGCTTAAGGTCTCACCAGCATTGTGCTGTAAGCAAAGTTGTTATTATTTTTTAATAAGTTTAAAGAATGGGGTGGAAGGGGGCAGGAAATACAGGCCCTGGCACACAAAATGGGCCTTGGACCCTCTGGGCCATCCTGCTAACAATGTACAAAGGTGTAATCAGGTTTGAATCTGAACTTCATGTCTGATAGAGAAGGAATTGTATAAAGCTTTTAATTCAAAATGTAGTGTAGTGTAATATCCTGCAGACTTCCACTTCTTTTTCAATGCACCATTGTGTGAATAAAATCCAGCAGGTTTTTAAAAAATAGCTGATAACAGAAGCCTCAGATTGACTTAAGAGATGTGTTTGTTTTGTGCAGCTCATGTCAGAAAAGATGCAGCTGCAAGAACAGTTGCAAGCAGAAATTGAACTCTGTGCTGAGGCTGAAGAGATCAGAGCTCGCCTGCAAACAAAGAAACAGGAGCTAGAGGAGATCTGTCATGACTTGGAGGCAAGAGTGGAGGAAGAGGAGGAGCGGTGCCAGCATCTGCAAGCTGAGAAAAAGAAAATGCAGCAGAACATTCAGGTAATGGGCTATAATTTAACACTCAGCAGCTGTTACAATCTTTGGTACATAGTGGCGTCTCAGTAGGAAGTGTAGAAAATGATGCTGCTTCAGGTAAACCCTGGGACCATGTTTGCTTGCTCATCTCATGACTAGCTGTTGATATGCATAGACCAATGTATGGCCTCGTGACCATTTTAAAAGTATGGTAAGCGGTCCAATGTTTATCTAGCTAATAAATGCATATATTCTCTTGTTCCTTGTACAGGAACTTGAAGAGCAATTGGAGGAAGAGGAAAGTGCCAGACAAAAGTTACAGCTGGAGAAAGTGACCACTGAAGCAAAATTGAAGAAGCTGGAGGAAGATCTGATAGTTTTTGAAGATCAGAACTGCAAACTGGCCAAGGTAAAGCAGAAACAGAGCTCCCATGTAGTGGGATGATAGGAGGAAGGAAATATAGACAGCATCCATGAGAACTGAGGTGCTCTTGTTATTGGCTTTCTTTGGCATGTTGGTGCCACCTGACAGAGATTACTAAAGATATACTTTGCATGAAGGAGCTGATATTCTATCCACGTGCAATTTCATTGGCCTACTGGACAGATACCATCTTCATATCACTTTTCTGAAAGAGTTCATGCAACCTGGGATTTCCCCTCACCCCTGGCACTCCCAGCTTCATCTAGAGTTGCAGCCGAGTTTTCGTGAGCAAGCTATTAGGAAATCATAGCTGTGTCCAAATCGGAATGTTCTAATTTGGATAGAAAATAACATATTGTTGTACTGGTTCCAGTAAAAGGATTTTTTAATTTTAGCAAGTCTGTTCTAGAAGAACCCTGTCAAAGGACTGGAAGAGTCTAAGTACTATTTTAATTCAGCCCCTGTGCTGAACAGCAGGACCACCCACACACCAGCCCTTTGCAAATTAATCAGATTTTTTGCTGCAGTTTGCATGAGCCCAGGAATACATAGAATAATGTCTGAATAACTGTACCTTGGTTGAAAAAGCAAGGCAGAACTACTTAGTAGAAAAAAATGGATCAACATTAATGGTTGAAAAGTACTCACAATTCCTTTAAAACTAGAGAGCATATAAGGAGTTGCCTCTTCCCCCAACCAGGGCATAGTTGTCTAATCTTTGAAAATGGCCCAATTTGCACTCTTTAGTTTTCTTTTCATACCTACCTTAAGTAATGTTTTCTCTTGGTTTGCTGGAGTGAAATTAACCTTAACATTGGTGTGGCTATAATGCTAAGGGTTATGATCTTTTTCCTCCATTCACGAGCGGGAAGGAAAGAAATTAGAAAAGGGGTGATCATGGCAAACCCAGATCTATTTTTGAACAAAACAAATTTTAAAAACTAGAATCTGCTTATTACACTAGTATGGCCTCACCATATGGCACCCTTGAGGTCTTCCTTTGGTGTCCATGAAACCTCTTGCTACCCTGCTTTCACTCGACCCTTGGTAATGAGGTGGTGAGGATGGTTACATTTTGTCCTGTGAAAAGTACATAGAGGAAGTAGGGGAAAGCATCACTCTTCCAACATAATACTTCATTTCTAAGTGCTTTTCAAGACTCATTTATTTTACCCAGCAAATATGTATGTACGTGCTTTCTGTCCCATGCCCTGTTGGGGGGGGGGAAGAGGAGAGACCTGGGGAAGCAGAGACACCATGAGCAGCATATAAATCTTTATCATATAGTCAAGAGGTATCTAGTAATCTTCCTGGGGAAGTAGGTGGGCCAAACAGTTGAGCTCTCTTAAAAGTTCATTCTTGTGGCTGTTAGAGCAGTACAGGATTCCTGATCCAAACAAGCTGTATCTCTGTTCAAGCCTTCATTACAGTAGGTACCACACACATGGAGGAGTCAGTGGGAATGGCCAAGACTAGCCCTGCTCCTTCAACACTACCCCAGGCTCATGAGTACTGAATGCCTAAATAGAACACAAACTACATTGCAGCACTCCAGTGCTGAGTGAGAATTGGGCTATCAAATGCCCACTTGCTTCTGAGAGAACATTAGGCTGTTTGCATCAAAACTAAACACTGCTGTCTTTTAATAAAATGTGGAGCCTGTTTCTTCAATACAACTCATACCTTGTTTCCTCCAGGAAAAGAAATTACTGGAAGAAAGGATTGCAGAATTCACCAGTAACTTAACTGAGGAAGAGGAGAAGTCAAAGAGTTTAGCTAAACTCAAGAACAAGCACGAGACTATGATTACAGAGCTGGAAGGTAGGGAAGGGCCTAAGTGTGTGGCTTTAATCAGCTTTTCCCCCATCAGCATCTCTCTCTGCACAGCGTGTTGTACATTTCTGACCATGTTGGCTTTTAATGTGTTAATACCACTGGGTTTGTAGGACAGGTATTGATCAGTTTAATAGAACCATTCAGTGTATGGATGGCTGAAGGTTACACACTGCCAGCTTAGCTTTAGTTTGAACAAAAACAAACCTCTAAAACAGACCAATGGAGAAGAGCAGCTGGTTCCATTTCGCCTCCTGCTGTGGGAATATTTCTGCTCTTGTGTATTCGGTGATACCGGAATACTGGGGTTTGTGCTGCTTCTACTACTGACTTTAAAAGATAACTTTGTGGCATTGCTAATAAAGCTGGCATAAATGTCGTTGCTTAATTTGACTTTAAAAAAAAAAAAAAAGACTGAGGGCATTTTCAGCATTGTGCTCAAAATGCCTGTGGTGGTTTTCCACAGCTGGAAATAGTACTGTCTGCCTTAACTGGACAGTCTTATGGGGGGGATTGAATGAACACTGAGGAGTTTGAAGGGCAATACCGTCAAACTCACTCTTTGACATGGGTACCTGAACTGGGAGCTGTTACTGTGGCCCATAATTGTTGACATGTTTGGATGCAGGTTCTGGCACTCTGGCTCTTCGCATGAAGTATTGCTTAGGGCTATAAGAGCCAAGATGAACCACTGACCCAGCTCTATTCTCTCCATCAGAACGGTTGCGCCGAGAAGAAAAGCAACGGCAAGAGTTGGAGAAGACCCGTAGGAAGCTAGAGGGAGACTCTACAGATCTTCATGACCAAATAGCTGAACTTCAGGCTCAAATAGCAGAGCTCAAAATGCAGCTGGCAAAAAAAGAGGAAGAGCTGCAAGCAGCTTTAGCTAGGTAAGGCCTTGGTCACGGAATTAAATGTCTAACTGGAAATAGGAAAATCAATAAATTTTCCTTTGTGTTCTTTTAGCTAGAATCCTGAGATCGTTTTAGAACGAATGGCCTCAGTTTAAGTGTCTAAGACTTGTAGCTGGTAATCCTGTTTCATGCAACTGTAAATGTTGTGTTGGTAGGAAATTAATTTTTAAATGGGATCTGTTGCAGAAATTACTGGTCTACATGGCTGAATAAGATCAGGAGGCAGCAATAAAGTAAATAGTTGGCTTGTGCTGTGGACCATAGAAGTTCTGTGCCATAAATTAAGCTGTAGTCTCCCACTTCAACCTCTCCAACTTACTATTGACCTTCTATTTTGTGTTGGAGGTTGAAACGAAGCATTTCTAGTACAAGCCAACTATGGCTATAACAAGGCCAGAGCATTGGTGTGTTGTCCGGTTAGCATTCAACACTAACTTCTGTTGCAGTGCATCCCTACCTAACCTGTTTCTGCATTTGCTGGGACTTACTTGCAACTTAAGTGTGTAGAATCGCAGCGTTAGTAATGTTGCTGTAGATAAGATGGCTGTTTATGGTCATTGAAGCAGAAATCATTGGTGTAGTATGTCTCTGTCTTGTGTAGGGTGGAAGAGGAGGCTGCTCAGAAGAACATGGCTCTGAAGAAGATCCGTGAACTGGAGTCTCAGATAACAGAGTTGCAGGAAGACCTGGAGTCTGAGCGGGCTGCCAGGAACAAAGCAGAGAAACAGAAGCGGGATCTTGGTGAGGAGCTTGAGGCTCTCAAGACAGAACTAGAGGACACACTGGACTCGACTGCAGCACAGCAGGAACTCAGGTAATTGCAACATTTGTTGTTTGATACTGCTCAGACCAATTCCACCTCTTCAAAATATAGAGGGGAATAGTGGGTTCAGCAGGCTTTACACTTCCAGTAGAACTTGTTCCAAAACTTATTCTTCCTATGCCATGTTGTTCCTTTCAATTTGTACTTTAGTAGCTCCACAAATAAGTGCCAAGCTTCCAACTGCACCCTTGGAACACGTATTGCACTGCATTCTCAACTACTATCTAATAGAAATATATCTGGCTTTTTAAAAGGTCAAAACGTGAACAAGAAGTGACTATTCTAAAGAAGACTCTGGATGATGAGGCAAAGACCCATGAGGCACAGATTCAGGAGATGAGGCAGAAACACGCCCAGGCTGTGGAAGAACTGGCAGAGCAGTTGGAGCAGACTAAACGGGTGTGTGAGATGTTGAAAAGTTTTTAGTGTGCAACGTATTGTGCTTTTACTATTTTTTGTTGGGAGCTGCCCAGAGATTTTTCCATTTTCCCAAGTGTGTAAAGCTGAAAGCACTCAAATTAAATGCGCATAAGTCGCTAGTTACCTGTAATTTGAGAGAACAATGTTGCTAAATTGTGCATATTCTTGCTTACCACCAATTTTTATGAAAACATTAGTATTAACTACCTAGAATCTTTTTAGTTTCCTTTATTGCCATGAACATCCTGCCTAAGTGAGGATGAAGCTTTAATTCATAGCATCACCTGTACAGCTATGGAAACCTGCAGATTTATTGTTCAAATAGTGTTTGGGATGCCGAGCCCAAATTGCAAATCTGTCTTTTGCATCAGGACCACTATTTGGAATAACGGGCTATGAATTTGTTAGTGAAATCCAATTTTCTGCAAAGACCACAGTAAAGCTTTCTGTTGCCGTCTCCTTCAGGTGAAAGTGAACCTTGAAAAGGCAAAGCAGGCACTAGAGAGTGAACGTGCTGAGCTGTCTAACGAGGTGAAAGTTCTTCTTCAAGCCAAAGGAGACTCTGAGCACAAGAGGAAGAGGGGTGAAACTCAACTTCAAGAGCTACAAGTGAAATTCACAGAGGGGGAGAGAGTACGAACTGAGCTGGCTGAGAGAGTTAACAAATTGCAGGTGAGCTTCCTGTGTTGGTTCCCTTTGCCCTCCTATTCATTGTGTTCTGGTTTTTAGCACAGAATTTAGAGGGAGAAGTGGGGAGAATTGGGTTGGGGCTGCAGTGCTGCTTTACTCCTCCTGAGGTTTTGACTCTTAGCTGTTCTAACATGATCCGTATTTATGTTGTTACTTTTCAGCCCCAGTAACTTGCATTAAACAAAAAGCTCGTTTGGAGATAATGTGAATTAGTCCACTACCCCTTGATTAACTTTACACCAACTAGGGGACAATAAGCCGATAGCTGAAGTGGTGGGTGGTAGTTCTGGTGGGCATCAGGTGCCTAAAACCCCTGTTGTTTAGCCTTAACTAGTATGGAGTGATTTATGATGATGCTGCAGTTTCTCTCCTGCTCAACAGAGGGGAAAATTGATAGTAAATGGAAACTCTTTATTAATGGGATTGGTTCGACTTTTCTTCTAATTTTTCAGGTTGAGTTGGACAATGTCACTGGTCTTCTGAATCAATCTGACAGCAAGTCAATTAAACTGGCCAAAGATTTCTCTACGCTGGAGTCTCAGCTACAGGACACACAGGTGAGGCTTTCAAGTGCTACAGAAATAGGTGAAAAATCAATTAGCTACACCAAAATGCGGCAGGGACGCAGTTGGCGCTGTGGTCTAAACCACAGAGCCTAGGGCTTGCCAATCAGAAGGTTGGCGGTTCAAATCCCCGTGACGGTCCCAGCTCCTGCCCACCTAGCAGTTCGAAAGCATGTCAAAGTGCAAGTAGATAAATAGGTACTGCTCCAGTGGGAAGGTAAACAGTGTTTCTGTGCGCTGCTCTGGTTCACCAGAAGCAGCTTATTCATGCTGGCCACATGATTTGGAAGCTGTCTGCAGACAAACACCGGCTCCCTTGGCCTATAGAACGAGATGAGCGCGCAACCCGAGTCGTCCGCGACTGGATCTAATGGTCGGGGTACCTTTTCCTTTATCTTTACTCCAAAATGCAAACCTAATATATAAACCTGATTAATCATGACAGATCTGTTAGACTGACAGAAAAATACAGACTGCAGAACAGCGGATGAGGTCCCCACAAATAGTGGTTGATATTTGTAACCAAAATATGTGACCACCAGAATCTTCTTCCTTCCCTAATGGGGATATATCTGTCACATTGAGCTATAGAGTTGCTCTGAACAACTTCAGGCTTGGGAGGAGGCCTGTGGTCCCTCAAGGTCCATGTTTTGGAAGCACAGTGCAACTGGATGAGCCCCAACCCTCCTTCCAAGCTTGGAGCAGGGAATTGTACTTGCAATCAGGCTACATTTTGACGTGTTCTGAGAACATCAGACGCACAGGAGAACTGCAGTCATGATCCCCTCTTCACCGTTCCAAGCTCAGGAACAGATTTTAGGGTTAACCATGCTTGTCAGATTCAGAGTAGTGGTGGTGCAGGTTTCTGCATATAATCTATAATCTCTGAGGAGTTTGGCAATACTTTATATTAAGAGTAGTTAACTTTAGCTTCTTTTTGTAGCTATAGTTGCTACACAGATCAAAGTCTAGAGCAATTTAGATATACCAGTGTTCATAATCTCCTTATAACAGCTTGTCTGTCATGCTCCTCCCCTCCAAATGCCTTGTGCGGCTACTGGAATGTGGGCTTCAACTGGCAATTCATCCCAAGGGCCACATAACTTTTTGGGGGTATCTCCACTAGTCTACTAAACTACATTTTGTGGGTCACTCCAACTGATTTCTGGGGACAAATCAGCTTGCTCAGTGGTATTGAGCCATTGCTTAAGGTTCTCTCTGCTTCAGATGTGATATATATTTGGAAAATTTTACTGGACTTTTCATCATAAGAGACCAAATGTTTGTTGTGGTGGCTCTTGCAGGAGTTACTTCAGGAGGAAACTCGTCAGAAGCTGAGCCTCAGTACTAAGCTGAAACAGATGGAAGATGAGAAGAACAGCTTCAAAGAGCAACTAGAGGAAGAGGAGGAGGCAAAGAAGAACTTGGAAAAACAGATTTCTGTCCTTCAGCTTCAGGTACTCTAGAAGACATGAGGAAAGAATGTCCAAATGTAGCTTACAAGGCAGTAGTATGCCTTTTGAATGGCATGCTGGATTCTGCATGGGAAATATGAATTTGGTAGCCAAAACAAGCTCTTTTGAAAGTTGTTTTGTCTAATTAAATAGGAACTGTCTTTCTGATGTCTGATAGATGTGTCCTAGAAATAGTCTAACCCTGGGAAATATTCCTGGAATTCAGTGGTCACATCCCACTGTTGCATCTTAGTCAGCAAGTGATGATGCTTTTGCTTTGGCAAGTCTCACCGTGGAACACTCTCCCTAAAGATAGTTCATACCTTCAAAAAAAATTATAGGTTTCTTTTTAGTGACCCACTGTTACTTGTAAGTTGCAAAATGGTGTTCAATCCCACATCTTTTCTTTGCTTCCTTAAAAAATTAATTATTCCTTTTCCCCACCCGCTTGCTTCTGTCACATAGATTGCAGAAATGAAGAAGAAAATGGATGATAGTGTGGTTTGTCTGGAGTCAGTGGAAGAAGCAAAGAAGAAGCTTCTGAAAGATTTGGAGGCCATGACCCAACGCTATGAGGAAAAGGCAGCTGCCTATGACAAGCTGGAAAAGACAAAGACCAGGCTTCAGCAGGAGCTGGATGATATTTCTGTGGATTTGGATCATCAGCGGCAGATAGTCTCCAACCTGGAGAAAAAACAGAAGAAGTTTGATCAGGTACACTTAGTTATAACTTTCAACAGTGTCCTTCTCCTTCACTAGGATAGATTCTGGTGAAAAGGAGAAAGAAAAGTGTCATATTTTAGATGCACATTTTTTGTCCCATAGATGAAGGGCAATTGTGAACAGTTGTAAGCAGATATCAACTCTCCTCACTCTAGTTCCTGAATTTGACTTTTAACCGGTAATAGTCCCGAATAATATCTGTCTGTTTTAGCTGGTTTTTAAGTGGAAGCTGACAAGTGCATTTGGCTTTAATCCTGGCACATATCTAGAATTGGTGGCTAAGTTTGGTACCCAGGTGATCTATCCTTGGTTGTCAAGCCATTACAGATGGAACAAGTGGGGATAGCAAACCTTTCCTTTGGAAATCTCACAGTGCCATTGATTTCCCTTTTTCCAGCTTTTGGCAGAAGAGAAAACCATCTCTGCAAAATATGCTGAAGAGCGGGATCGTGCTGAGGCAGAAGCTCGTGAGAAGGAAACGAAAGCTCTTTCCTTGGCCAGAGCACTTGAGGAAGCAATTGAACAGAAAGCAGAGCTAGAGCGACTCAATAAGCAGTTCCGGACAGAGATGGAGGATCTGATGAGTTCAAAGGATGATGTTGGCAAGAGTGTAAGTTGATGGCATTCCTGTACAGCAGGCTGGGGTAATAAGGATGTTGGCTAAGACATGTCCTAGGCAAGAAGAGGGCTTGCTAAAAGTGGCTTATTTTTCACTTGCAATAAGACATGAAAGCTAATGAGTTGGGTGCTAGCAGCATGCAATCTTTTGTAATGCCTAGGAAAGCAACAATGTCACCATTGACTTTTTCAGTTCATTATGCACAAAGTGCCGAATTATTACCCAGTATGAAGGCACATAAACTAATAAAGCCTTTTTGCACAGGGAGATCATACAGGCTTTGAAAAGCTTTAGTATCTTGCATTTCTAAGTTACTCAATGCATCTTCATTTCTAGAAGGATAAAGTTGTTGTCAGATTTCAGTGGAACTGTGCCAGTATTTTGTGCAATATTGCCTAGCTGCTTTATCATAAACCCCTTCGGCCTACTCACCAAAGGGTGTTAGGAAACAAAGCTTGGATATGTGCATATTCAAGTGAGCGGAGATAAAGAGGCAGAATTCTGCGCAGTTCAGAGTCTGATAATAACCCTTAGCAAAAGGGACTTGGGATTTTCAAAGATGGGTGGAAAGTTGGCAATAAAGTGACTGTTTGCCTTTATCCCCCACATTCTGGTCATTTTTAAAAATGATTCACTACCATTTTTAAATACTTAAATACTTCTATTGATTTATTAAATAAATTGTTTTTAAAACAAAAGACAAAGAGGTGGGGACAGAAGGGGAAAGGACCAAGCAAGAGGCATATTAGGATATAGCAGTAACTTTGCCTTTATGCGCACAGAAATATTGTAGGTCGCTAGACATGTCAATTTTTGTTCATTTTCTTAAAACCTATAAATGTACCAGGCAGCAAAAGCAGAGCTGTGTCAGTCTGGCAGAAACTGATTTTATGTGTGTGCTGTAGGTCCATGAGTTGGAGAAGTCCAAACGAGCTCTGGAGCAGCAGGTGGAGGAGATGAAGACTCAGCTGGAAGAGCTGGAGGATGAGCTACAGGCCACAGAAGATGCCAAGCTGCGCCTGGAAGTGAACCAGCAAGCCATGAAGGCACAGTTTGATCGGGATCTCCAGGCCCGTGATGAGCAGAATGAAGAAAAGAGAAAGCAGCTTACAAGACAGGTAACATTCCAGAAAGCACAGCAGGCTTACAACCCCTTCCGGCTTCATTTGCTTCAGGGAGGAGGGAAGAGGCCTGTTCATGGCTAAACTGCCGGTGCTTTGACCCCACTTTCAGGTGCGAGAGATGGAAGCAGAGCTGGAAGATGAACGGAAGCAGCGCTCCATTGCTGTGGCTGCCAGAAAGAAACTGGAAATGGATCTAAAAGATCTGGAGGCCCACATAGACTCTGCCAACAAGAATCGCGAGGAAGCCATCAAACAACTCAGGAAGTTGCAGGTGAGGGTCTACATTCCATTGTTACTGACTGGCTTCTCCTTACAGTGAGATGAGATGGGGAAAGTGAATCAATTACTGTGGTAACAGAACAGATTTATCACTTAGTTGCCAGTTGCTGCTTTTTGATCAAGAAGACTTATGAAGATAGTTGCTTACATCTTCAATTAGGATTTTATCATTTCTTACAAAATAAGTTTTCTTTTGGGTATATCATTGGTAGACAGGGTGCTTTGTGTCCCAGGTTCCATCCCTGGCACATCTAGCTAAATAGAATCTTGGGTAGCCAGGCCGGGAAAGAATATTTGCCTAAGACCTTAGAGCATGGCTAGGCAAACTAAGGCCCGGGGGCCAGATCCAGCCCAATCGCATTCTAAATCTGGCCTGAGGACGGTCCGGGAATCAGCATGTTTTTACATGAGTAGAATGTGTCCTTTTATTTAAAATGCGTCTCTGGGTTATTTGTGGGGCCTGCCTGGTGTTTTTACATGAGTAGAATGTGTGCTTTTATTTAAAAGGCATCTCTGGGTTATTTGTGGGGCATAGGAATTCGTTCATTATTTTTTTTCAAAATATAGTCTGGCCCCCCACAAGATCTGAGGGACAGTGGACTGGCCCCCTGCTGAAAAAGTTTGCTGACCCCTGCCTTAGAGATCCACAAAAGGTTGGAATAGACTTTACTTGGCCAAGTGGGCTGATTTGGTATGTTTGGTTTTTAGGCCCAAATGAAGGACTACATGCGGGAGCTGGATGACACACGTGCCTCTAGAGAAGAAATTTTGGTACAAGCAAAAGAGAACGAAAAGAAATTGAAGAGCATGGAAGCCGAGATGATTCAAATGCAGGAGGTAATCTAAATCCAGAAAATGCTAATACACAACTGAGTTTTTGCCCAAAGCAGGCCTTTCGGTATGAGAGGGAAGAGGTTGACTTCAGAGAAAAGGGAGTGGGTGAGCCCCTGGAAATCAATACCTTCACTGCATATCCAAAACCTTCCACGATTATTGTTGTTTTGGTTAATGTGGATCAGATCAGCTGCTGGATTTGCAGCTAGGGGTGTATTTCAGGTATTTCCTTCATGCACTTAACAGACTACTTTTTCTTGGTTTCGGGCCAGTTTAATAGTCTCCTTCCCCTTCCTCCCAATTTCCAGTTCATTCTCTCAAGCATAATTTCAGCAGTTTGATACACTGACTATTTAAACAATATCAACCTTCATTCGATGCACTTTGTAGCATCACAAACTACCTTGATGGATCACTAGCCATTTATTATGACACTCAAGAGTGCTGTGCCCCAGATTCACAATGTCACTCTGACTCTGAGTGAGGCAAAGCTTCCTGTTCTTGATGAGCATTCTCCTGGCTCGTAGGTTATAACTGGCTTCCAGATACTCCTCATGTGCTTCATGTAATATAACATCTCCTATTTGGCAATAAGTTGTTTTTGACCCTTAGTCCATGTACATCTTGTTCTGATTTCAGGAACTTGCAGCTGCCGAGCGTGCCAAGCGCCAGGCTCAGCAAGAGCGGGATGAGCTGGCTGATGAGATTGCCAATAGTAGTGGCAAAGGGTGAGTCATGGCACTTTTCCCCTTCAGGGACAAGGAATGTTGTGGGAGTTGGCTCGTGGAAAGGGTGCCCTGTAATGTCTTATTGTCTTAACTGGTGTGCTGAGAATGGCTTACAAATGTTGAATATTTCTATGGTCATTACTACTGAGCATCCTTCACGAAAGGGCACTATGTTTATTATCCCATTGTGTGTTTTCTTCTCAGAGCTCTGGCCTTGGAGGAAAAGCGACGCTTGGAGGCTCGAATAGCTCAGCTGGAGGAAGAACTAGAAGAAGAGCAGAGCAATACAGAGTTGGTGAATGACCGCCTTAAGAAAGCAAATCTTCAGGTACATGCTTAAAGGCACCGTGAGGTGGAGGGCTTCAGCTGGTGGATTCCCAGCCATAATTCATCCAAATTACTGTGTATCACTTTCATTTGTGCTGCAGCGTGTTATCAGAGCCTTGATGCTTTTGGAGCATTATTCCCACTTTGGGTTCAAATCCCAGACAAACCTCTTTGATGAGAGCACGTGCTTTACATTTATGTAGTCCTATATTTAATATCTGGTTAGGACCTTAAATATCAGTTTAGACTAATCCCAATCCTGTGGTCTTGTCAGTGAGAGTCAGGACAGATAGTACCAGGTTTGATAAGCCAATAGGATGGTGAGTGAAGAAGCACATAGAGAAGCACAGTATATTGAATCATAGTGTGATGCTATTCCTTTCAACTCAGCTGATGCTTTACATTGACAGGTTGGGGAATTTGATCCAGCTAGTGGGTTGGATCTCCCCCCCCCCCCCCGCTTGCAGACACACCTTGACAAGTGGGCAGGCCCACACCACTGCCGATCACCTGACAACATTATGCCATCATGTGGCAACTTGGAAGGCATTCTCCTTTTAAGCCCATTGCAAGCCATTGCAAACCACCTGCAAAAAGTGATGGCAGCCACACCTTTATCAGCCTTTGTTGTTTATTTTAAAGTTATTGTGACTTTTTAATATTGTATCAGATTGTTACTATTAATGTTTGATTTTTATTATTTTTATGTGTGTTAGAAGCTGCCCAGATGTTGTATTATTATTATTATTAAATGTCATATGTTATGTCAGAGGTGTCATGTGAGCATGGATGTCATGCCTAATTAGGTCCATGAGCCAGTTTCCCCACTCCTGACCAAGAAATTTGCTGCCTATTCCTATTATACCAGAAGGTGAGCATTGACTACTTGGTGTAGGCTGCTTACAAGAATGAAATATGCCTGCTTGTTAAAAGGAAAGGTAGATTAATGAATGTAATATTATTTCTAAAAACTAGACATTGTGAAGTTATTAAGGTTGAGAACAAGCCTTGTCTACAGAATTACATTTTGAATGCCAAGATTATAGAGCAAAGGAAACAAATAGAAGATGGAAAGCGAGGCAGAGATTAGATATGAAAACTTCAGGAGGAGACTGTATTCAGAAACTAGCCATGACTTTAACCAATTTCTTATTATCTTCCCCAGATTGACCAGATAAACACAGACCTGAATGCAGAGCGTAGTAATGCCCAGAAGAATGAAAATGCTCGCCAGCAGTTTGAGCGTCAGAACAAGGAACTTAAGGCCAAGCTTCAGGAAATGGAGAGTGCTGTGAAGTCAAAATACAAGTCTTCTATTACTGCGCTGGAAGCAAAGATAGCACAACTGGAAGAACAGCTGGATGCTGAGACAAAGTAGGTGCTTGTGATCTGTCATGCATTCATCCTGCATCTTAATGTATGGGTGCAGTCATAAAAAAAATCTGTGAAATATTGTCATTAACTTGGGTGAAGAAATCTGAACTGAAGTATTTCTTGACCTCTGTTTCTTTATAAGGCCAGGTCACATGCAGTTCTTAGCAAGTACTTTCAAGGATCACACATGCATTATCAATGGTGCCTGTGATTGCTCAATCTTCTCTAGAGTGCCTAGTAAATCTTGCACACTTAAATCCTTCTGTAGAGGCATCATAACCTTCTGAATAAAAGGTAAAACAGCCAAACAGCCACGGAAGTGCATAATCGGCTACAATGCATCTTCTGTCTCTACAGTTACTGCTTGTGGAAGGTTGTGTCATATGAATTCATTTTAACCTGAAATGCAATTGGCACAAATTAGTCCCATGTAACCCAAGAGCTCTCCTGACTTTGACAGGCACTTGGCTCAAACTGCAGACCATGCCCATAGGATACCTGCTTAGTGACCCATTTTCTGTTTAACTTAGTCCTGGCTGCTGGTGCTCTCAAAATACTCCATCTTGGCCTTGAAAGCTTTGGTGCCAGCAGCACAGTACGTTAGCATTATTCTTTCGTCATAGGAAACTGCGAGTTGCTCACTCTTACCATTTTCCTTCTGCAAGTTATCTCCTTTGCATGGGATCTAGGAATGTCTCCAAACATGGAAGCTTGGGCTACTTCTGAATTCTTCCATCAATCTGATGTGGTACTTTCTTTACAGGGAGCGCCAGGCTGCCAGCAAGCAGGTGCGACGTACTGAGAAGAGGCTGAAGGATGTTGTCCTGCAAGTGGAGGATGAGAGGCGTAATGCTGAGCAGTACAAGGATCAGGTATGTGCTGTGTTGAGGATTGGCATTTGGTAATGTGAGCTGTGTGGCAGGTAGCTGCTACCCTGCAATCCCGTCAACACTGTTGGAGCTGTTAGCAAGCTTTTAGGGTGCTGCCAGTGACTTCTGTTCTCTACCTTTTTTGCTGGAGGCTGCAAGAGTCTCTACATCAATAAAATTTCCACCCATCTAGCAATGAATGTCACATGTCATGATGTCTGGTAATGGACATTTCAGTGCCAGCCTAGAGAATTTCCAGCTTCAAGATTGCTTAACTCCCAAATGTTGGCTCAGACTGCTTCTCTTAGAAAGAAGGAAGAAAACTCTGATCATAGGTTGCATAGCTGCAGAATGGCACAAATTTCACAAGGTTAAAATCCAGATTCTGGAAACTATGTTTTAAGGAGCTAGGGCTGCTAGGTACTGTAATCCATGTAGTTCAGATTAAAAATTCCAAGTTGGTTTCCATGTTCAGGAGTGAATGAACAAGTGTTGAGAGAGCTCCTTTTTCTGCTTTGCAGGCAGACAAGGTGAATGTCCGTTTGAAGCAACTTAAACGCCAGCTGGAGGAGGCAGAAGAAGAGGCACAGCGAGCCAATGCAGCTCGTAGAAAGCTGCAGCGGGAACTAGAAGATGTCACTGAAACGGCTGATGCCATGAACCGTGAGGTCAGCTCGCTGAAGAGCAAACTCAGGTAAGATGCCCTCTTGTCATATTTCCTGAATGCATGAATGTACACATTACTCAAAGATGAAATGCCAGTTTCCACACTGCATGACACTTTTACTCTCTTCAACAGGCGGGGAGACATGCCATTTGTAGTGACACGCCGGATTGGCAGGAAGGGTGCAGGTGAAGTATCTGATGAGGAAGTGGATGGCAAGGCTGATGCTGGAGATGCCAAAGCTACTGAATAGAGCTGCCTTGTGGATCCGGGTCACACATGATGGAGTGACCCACCCTCCCTTTGTCCAGTGGACTTCTGCAAACCCTTCTAAAACCTGCCGGGGGAAGTGGAGCACATCTATTGAAACGTTCCCTTGAATATCTGGAGCCATGACATTAGTGTTGTCCCTCCCAGCTTCCAAGCTCTTTTGTATTGAATGCCAAAGAGTCTGCAGCCCAATCAGAGTCTGGGAGCTACAGAGGCCTGTAGCATTCATTGTCCTTGCCATGGCTGCTGGGGAATTTACATAGTTTGAGGGGTGGGGGTGGGGTGACTCCTTTTCGTTGCTGTAAATCAACTATTTTCTTCCAATAACGAGTTTGTGATAGATGCAGGGAATTTGTCCCGTCCCCTTCCTCTTGTTTGCTTTTGGCAATCATGTTCAGTGACCTCACATTTCCAACCTCCTCGGTCTACTCACTTAGCCAGTTTGGGAGTCATGTTGAACAGGAAAACCAAGTGTTCCCAACATGACTCCTAAATGTCTTCAAAGACCATACAGTCTTGGAAAGTTTTTTCCTAGAAGAGAGTTTTAAGTTGGCCCTCTTTTTGCTAATGTCTGGACAGATCTGAAGTGCAATGGTGTCTGTGTTGCGTTGTGTCTCAGAGGTGTGTTAGTGGCAGACCAAGGAAGCAGCAAAGTTTTTTCCTGTGTGCTTGCTGGAGAATCTATTCGGGACCAAATATATTTAATGGTAACAGACAGTATCTAGTGGGTTTTGAATGGAGTGTGAACAAAGTCCTTTATTGTGAAGTCCAAGCATCCAGCTCTGTAATCGGGGATGGGTTTAGTTATTCTGCACAGTGACTAAGAGTATATTAAAGAAAAAAGCATTTTAATCTGCACAGATTATACATTGAAGGCCTTTGTATCTCTCGTTTATAAGTAATTAAGAAAAATAAAGGTCTTTATCACTGCCTTTCTATGGGGACTGCGGTTATATAGATAATCTTTACTTTTCTACACTGTACACTGGTTGCTGGATTTACCTGTATACTTAACCATATTGTATATGCTGCATTTAGACTTATGAGCAAATGACAAATTAAAATAAGATTACCCTATACTGTATGGTTAGTGCTCTCCACTGTGAGAGCCTCCAGTCCTGGTTGCTGTCACAAATAAATCTGCAAACTTTTTTATACAATAAGTGCCTTAGCATGTGCCTCTGCGGTGACTCCACTACAGTCAGTAATGGATTACCGATGCTCCTCTAACAATAAAGATTGTCCATGTGCTGCAGTCTTCTGTGTATGCTTATGTACCATGTGCCTGAATGTTGTGGAGCTGCCCTGTTGAATGCCTAGCACTAGAGAACCTAGCACAAGAAGTAGGGGATATATATTGTTAATAAGAAACTTTTTGCAGTGCCAAATTACTATTTTGAAACCATCTGTCATCAGCAGAGATCTGTCTATTGGGTATGGAGCTATGTTGGAGAGCAGGGAATGAGTGAACTTGATGAAATAACTGCAGGGTTATACTAGCCATCTTCAGACTTTTCTTTTCATGAAGGTACAAAAATCCCAAATCTCCTGCATGACTCAGCAATTTTTATACCCTTCCTGTAGAACAGGGGTCGGCAACCTAAGGCCCATGGACCAGAAGCAGCCCACAAAGGCCGTTTAACTGGCCCATAAGCTGCCCCCGAACCGAGCCGCCTGATCGGCGAGTCCCCGCGTGCTGCACTAAAGCAGCATGATGCGGGGACTCTCTTCCACAGCCCCGGAAATCGCTTCTGCGCATGACCAGACGCCGGAAATCACTTCTGCGCAGGTGCGATTTTGGGCATCTGGGCATGCACAGAAGCAATTTCTGGTGTCACGCTGTGCTGGCCCGGCCCATGGAGGATCTCCACAGAGTGATCCGGCCCATGCCCGGAAAGCCTTGCCAACCCCTGCTGTAGAAGGCTAGCTTGTCAGTCCATTGTGCCTGTTTTCTTTGTGTAGGGAGTTTATATGAAAGCATTTAATTATACAGCAACCTATCTGCATTTTACAGTGGTACAATTCCAGTAAGACAGTAAGTATCATGTAATTAATCTGAATATGTAGCTCTGCTGTAAGAGATGAATGTCAAGCTTTCAGTAAAAATGTGCTGTTCTTCAAACTTCCCCAGCAGATGGCTAAAGGGGAAATTGAAATTCCAGTGATGTAGCTTCATAGATCAACTTGCAGCCTGATAGTTCGGTAAAACTGATTCTGTTCGTTGTCAGTTGCATTCAATAGCTTCAGTACCCTTCATCCAACACTAGGTGTTGGGTGAAGTTTCATTTTAAAGTACCAATTGGATCATTTTATAGACGATATACTACTAGTATTGGATGGCTTGTTCAACTGATACTCTAAAAAGGGGCCTACAATATAATAATCTACTTTTAACTGGGCAGCTTTTCTGAGTAGCCTACATTGAGTCGTTAAGTGGCAGGAAGACCAGTGAAGAATCAGAGCTTTGATACCTACTTTAATGTGGTTAGTATGATTATATGAGCCTAGCTGAGGATGAATCTGAGGCAGTATTCAAGCAAAAGCAGTTAACCTTGAAGGGAATATGCTGCTTACTGCTTAAGTTCCTGTAAAAATCTTAAGGCAGGGGAATAGAAGGTATGCTGAAAATGTAAGCACTTGTGTGGCTACAGCTATTATGTGAAAGGGAGCTTAGCAACAACTTCAGAACTGGTGCTGATGAAAATTCACACACTTTTTCTGGAAATGAGCTGGGACTGCACATGCCTCAAATCAACCTATGCTCCCCCTCCCTCATTCCCCTGCAGAAGTTGCAGTGTTCTGTGGGTAAATGCAGGGAAATCCTTGCAGCATACACAACTCACTCATTTCTCCTCAATCCAATTCACAAAAATAAATACAAAGTGAGTGATTAAAAAATAGAAAGGCTCATACTGTGTCCACTGTTGCTAGCTTGCTCCCCAGCAAGGTCACAAAACAAATGCTAAGCAGAACAAAAAAAGCTGCTAAAAATAGGAAACTTCATTTCTTCTCCACTGAACAGAACATGCTAAAAGCTTATGAGGTCTGGCTTTCAAGAGAGTAGTTCTGAGCATGCTCAGAGCAGATGTATAATTCTGATCCATGTTGTGGGGCTGTCTTCCAAGGCTTTCAAGCAGTCTTCCCAAAACTCATATAGTGGCTGCCTCTTAGCCCTCATAACAGAGGGAGTAGGAGCCTGCCCAGCTGGGACTGAAAAGCCAGCAGTCCTAATATTCAACTATTAACCGCATGGTTTTCCTGACCAGAGACTCATGGGAAGAACAATACAGTGATGGGCAGCCTGTGTCCCTTTAGATGCAGCTCCCATTATCCCTGACCATCAGCTGTGCTGGCTTGGTGTGATGGAAGTTGTAGGCCAGAAATTCACCCTGGGGACCAGTCCACTGTTCTTCCCATTCCCCCTCCAAGAAAAAGTAAGACCGAGGGTATCTGGTTTCTAACTTGATATGTCACAGACAAATGAATGGGGTTCCAATATTCTTGCTCATCACTGTTTCCTCAACTCTTAAGCCATTCAGTGATTAATCTGCAGAAAGTGCTATAGACATATGAAAGGTACTGTAGGCATTCCCTTCAAACAAAATAGTCTCACTGTGGCAGGCTTCATTGAAGATGGAGAATAGTGCTGGAGTTTTGCTATCCTTTGTCAGAAAGCAGTCAATTTCACTTCCACTGGTGGTGCTGCTGAAGCAACAGAACTGTTTTCAACTTGTAATGTGTCCTGATTGTAGGCAATTCCTGTCAGACATCAAATGTGCCAATGAATCCACCTCTCTAGAGTTTACATGGGGGAGCAGGGAACTGCTTCCATTAAAACACACACACACACACACACACACACACACACACACACACACACACACACCTCTTTCTGCTCAAAAGCAAGGTCTCTAGCTGCTTTTCTACCTGTAGGATCTTTATCTTCACAGCCAGTTTTCTAAGTGGAAAAAAAGAAAGGGAAAGGTTTGCACAGATCCTCTGCTCCCAATTGCACTCGTCTGTTTGGATCTCTTTTGGCCACTCTGGCTTCCATGCCTGGGCTTCCCTCCTCCTCTGTCACTTTGTCATGGGATATTTCGTCCTCAGAGGATGACTGTTGGCCCAGACAGGATGGAGGAACCAGCCCAGAGGTGGTCACAGTGGTAGTGGGGAGAGAGCAGAAAGAGAGCAGCCCAAAATGAGACAGCCACTTTTTCAAAGGATTCAGAGGCTGACTTCTGGCAGAGACAGGACCCCAGAGGTGGTGGCAGTGGTGGTGGGGAGAAAGGAGAAAGAGAGCAGCCCAGAATGAGACAGGAACTCGGAAGCCAGACTCTCCTGCCCACATTGAGTTGCTAGCCAGGGAAGCCCTACAGCCCTGGCGCCATGGGGGGCTGGTCCATGAGGAGAGCGCCAGCAAGCACAGCCTGCCCTTAGCAGCCCCATGCCTGTCTGCCCCCTTGCTCACAACTGGTCCAGAAGGTGGCCTGGCCGGCCAGCTGGCTTCTCCTCCTCCTCTTCCCCAGTCTCAGGGTTGCCCTTGTGCAGCTCAGCAGGGCTTCCCTTCTGTTCTGTCTGCTACCTACCTCATTCAATGAGTCCCAAAACGAATCCAGGGAGGACAGGGAACTCAGGGAGCTGATGGAGCTGGACAGGGTAATTTTTGGCACCTGCGAGGAAAAGATGTAAAAGACGAGCAATTTGCACAAAAGCCTTTCCAGGAAATCAAAACTTGGGACACAGGCTTGTATCTGAGTAGAAATGCATGAGCACAAATAACTGTGACCCATGACTCTGAATGGGTCCCTCTCCAGCCTCAGGGTTGCCCTTGTGCAGCTCAGCAGGAGTTCCCTCCTGCTCTGCTACGTACCTCATTCAGTGAGTCCCAAAGCGAATCAAGGGAGGACACAGAGGACAGGGAGGAAAGGCTGCTGAGGGAGCTGAATGGGGACAGATTTGGAACCTGCAAGGGAAAGATGCAAAAGACGAGGAATTAAAAAACACAACCAAACATTAAAACTCAAGGCACCTATAACTGAAACAACAGTTCCATTCTGCAGTTGATATGCCCCCCTCCCCTTCTGCCAATCACCGCTTAGGCCGCTGCCACCTACCCAGTCAGGACTGAGTAAATCCAGACGCAGTCTCGGGGTCTAGACAACGTGGTCTCGCTCTGTCCACCACCTGCCTCCTTAGGGGAGTCCCAAAAACTATCACTTTCTCCAGCTTCGTGGGAAGTCAGCAAGCTCTCTGATCCAATTTTGGGAAACTGCGGAGGAAGAGGGGGAAGCTCTTTCAGATGCGCTGGGAGGAGGAGCGAGAATGTGTGGCATCAGCCATGCAGGCAGGTCTCTGCCCCAAGGAAGCTACAGTCGGAGTCGCTCTCGTAGGCTTCGTAGTTGAAGCTCGGGGCTGTCCAAGCCGACGTCTCTCTGGGGAGCAAGGATTTTCTTCCAGCTTGGGGTCCTCCAGTACACAACGTCAAGAGTCCCCGATATCCAACTGGCTCGTTGAAACGCTGATACGGCTGCCGCAAAGCATTGTTGGGTTAATTTGTACACCGCTTAATCATGTGTCCCCGCCCCCAATCTCTTACCTCCGCCCCCCTTCCTCTGGCACTGCAACAGAATAAAAGGACTTAATGGAGAAGCAAGATCTGTTGGGTCGCGGATGCTCTGCTCAGGTTGTACTTGTGCAAATCAAACCATGCCTCCTGAAGACACCACGGTCTCCGCTGTCCTTCATTCCAAGGAAACTGAACCTGCGTCAGCACCTGGAACCCTAGGAGATCCACATCTCTGCACCCTGGCACATCCACATCTCTGCATTTATTTGTGGATTTATTTGACTTTATAAGTAAAAACTTATATTATAAGTTCTCAGTACTCCTGAGAGCCAGTGTGGTGTAGTGGTTAAGAGTGGTGGACTCGTAATCTGGTGAACAGGGTTCGCTTCCCCGCTCCTCCACATGCAGCTGCTGGGTGACCCTGGGCTAGTCACAGTTCTCTGAAGTCTCTCAGCCTCACTCACCTCACAGAGTGTTTGTTGTGGGGGGAGGAAGGGAAAGGAGATTATGAGCTGCTTTAAGACTCCTCGGGGTAGTGATAAAGTGAGATATCAAATCCAAACACTTCTTCTTCTATGTTAATTATATAATCAGGAGCCTTAAGCTGGGCAGTATCTTAGAGCTGCACCTAAGAGCACAGATGTTGCCATTAGAGGCTCTCAGGTGGCTCTCAGGTGTGCCTATCAAGATGATGAAAATTTATTTTTACCCCAGCCACTATGGGCAGCTTCCAACAAACTATAAAGAACAAAACAAAACATCAGACATTAAAAGCTTTCCAAAACAGGGCTGCCTTCATATGTCTATGGAAGACCAGCTTACTCTTGCCTTTTAATCTCCAAAGGTTCTACATCCATCTTGTGAGTTTGGGGTCTGAGATAACATTGTAAGATTTATCCCTCTCTGCCTTGTCTATAACACGCTCCAGTTTGTCCTGCCTCTGAATATTTTTAGTATTTGGCAGCTGACAGCGAATGGGCAGTTGGGTTGAGCTCCTGCTTGGAATCCTAGAACTGTAGAGTTGGAAGGAACCCTGAGAGTCATCTAGTCCAATGCTCTGCAATATAGGACTCGACTAGATCATATGTGACAGATGGCCATCCAACCTCTGCTTAAAAACCTCCAAGGAAGGAGAACCCACCACTTAGTGTGGGAGTCTGTTCTATCGTTGAAGAGCTCTTACTGTCAGAAAGTTATTCCTTCTGATGTGTAATTGGAATCACCTTTCTTTTACCTTGAATCCATTGGTTTGGATCCTGGCCTCCAGAGCAGGAGAAAACAAGCTTCCATGTGACAGCCTTTTAGATTTTTGAAGATGCCTATTATATCTCCTCTCAGTCTTCTCTTTACCAGCTTAAACATACCCAATTCCTCAACCATTCCTCATGCACCTATTATTGATAATAGTTGGGGAACAGATCACATACTAACAGCGGACAAATAGGAGAAATGCAGAAGTAGCCAATGTGCCCTGCCTATTTTGTTGGACTACTCCCATCATAAAGAAGGCTGATTGCCGAAGAATTGATGCTTTTGAATTATGGTGCTGGAGGAGACTCTTGAGAGTCCCATGGACTGCAAGAAGATCAAACCTATCCATTCTGAAGGAAATCAGCCCTGAGTGCTCACTGGAAGGACAGATCCTGAAGCTGAGGCTCCAATACTTTGGCCACCTCATGAGAAGAGAAGACTCCCTGGAAAACACCCTGATGTTGGGAAAGATTGAGGGCACAAGGAGAAGGTGATGACAGAGGACGAGATGGTGGGACAGTGTTCTCAAAGCTACCAACATGAGTTTGACCAAACTGCTGGAGGCAGTGGAAGACAGGAATGCCTGGCGTGCTCTGGTCCATGGGGTCATGAAGAGTCGGGCACGACTAAACAACAACACTCCCTTCATTTTTGATTACTTTCCATGCTGGCTGGGCTGATGGAGGGTGTCCCAATCTAAATCTTTATTACCGAGCCCCATTAAAATTTCCCTAGGCTGGTTACAAACATAGAAAGAGGAATATCATATTCTGTCATGAGGAAAATTGCCAAGAGAAACAAAAATGTTCCAAGCAGTCATTCAGGACCATATAAACGAAGTCTGGCACTTGGGAGCAATGCAACATGAAAGTCCTCAAAGAAAATGTTGCCTGACTCACTAAGGAACCACGAAGAGTCTTTGGCTCATATTTTAATAGCTGGGAAGGGATTCCTAACTTGGTACTGCGATGTCTGAAAAGTTAAGTGTTTGCGTTATTCATCCTTTGAGAAAGAAAAGTAGAGCTCTTGGGCACCTCTACTAACAAGTCTTTTTAGGGGGTGCGGAGAGGGGAACCAGAAATGGTATGAAAGAGAACCAGTTGTTGCTCATGTTGGGGTAGCCATAAAATGGGGTTACTGCTAGGTAAAGAACAGCTTCAAAGACATAGTGTTTGAGGCTTGAGGCCATTCATACAGCATCTGAGAATGCTTAAGATGTATTTATCTTGCTAATAATCTTTACCATAGTAGTAGTAGTAAAACATGAAAGAGCCCAGGTTTGTCACAATTTGTACAAACATCAGAAGTGTATCTGCATGGTATATATGCTTACTGATAAGGAAATAGATTTGAAGTTATTTTGATTTATTGATATAATACTTTTCAGTCTAAATACTCCCAAAGCAATGAACATTAATAAAAAAGAAATTGTATGTATTTTGAAAAGTTTTTTGTTTGCTATGCATCTGGATCTTAAGATATTGCAACCAAATTTTGCATGATGGTTCCTGATATCAAGGAGTAGGTTTTCGATATTTGGATACAGCTAGATGCCATTATGAAGCTAGATGCCATTATGAAGCAAGATACCAGAGGGAACCTTTCAAAACTGCACTGCTTATAACCACTGGCTTTATCTGTTTCTTAGAATTCCAAAACAACATTGGGTATGTGGTCATAAATACACCATAAAATAACAAAATACCAATGAATGGGATTGGATTTAGAAAAACAACACTGCAGCAAGAAACGGGGGGGGGGGGGGAATCCATCACCTAATATGTACAGACTGTCCTCCCATCTCTCACCCTGCCTGTTGTAGTAAGCAAGTGTAATGCACTGTGTTAGATGCTTTATGACTTCTAATTATATTTTTACGTATATGCCATAAACCACCTGAATGAAACCCATAGACCACTGGCAGTCCACAGTCTGAAAGCCTCTGAACTTAAATATGAAAATACAGCAAAGAAATGGAACTGAACTTTTAGCTAGGTTCTCTTTTGAAATTGCAGGTAGTAAAGCAACTGATATTTTTATTTTTTTGTAAATTAAACCTCAGATTCATGTATCTAAGGATGGACTTGTATGACTATACTCTCTCTTACACACACACACACACACACACACACACACACACACACACACATTTTCACTTCATGGCTCAGAGATGGGGATGGCAGCAAATGACTCTTGTAGGGACAAGCTTCTAGGTTCTTCTTAGACAAATACCCCTGACAGATCAAACAGAGATTTTTGGCAGACCCACAGCAAAAAGGGAAGGAATGAAGATCATTCAGATCAACAACTAGGTCACCCCATAGCCCAGGGGTTAGAAACCCCCTCCCCAAGGAGAAGAGCTGGAGTCCCACTGCAGTGCCAATGATTACACACACACATGAACATGATGTGCTTATAAAAATTGTGTCTATGGAAGAGGCACAAACATTTTGCAAGGAAGGAGTAGAGAGGGGACACACTGAAGAAGGGAGAAGGCATACCATGACAGCAAACACCTAGTGAGCTGGTTGAAGCAATAGAATGGGAAACAGAAGTGGGCCTGAGACATAATGTTGTTTTCCATATTTGGACCAGACTTGGTTACTCACTGGTGTTTTTTGGACCAACTAAAATGTCAGCTGCAGCATCTGAGGTATAGAGAGCAGCAGGAGGGATGCTCCAGGAGGCTGAGGCCAGGCAATGGCCACAGCCCACCTCCCTAGCTGGTCAAGTGTGGTTCACTAGCTATGGGATGAGGTGTGTGATTTCTCATCTGGATTAGGCTTGGGGCAGGTGAGGATCACATTCCTTATCAAGCCCAGATGCTGCAATCAGCAGGCAAAGTGCAAAAGGGAAACAGAGCTGAGGCGCTGTGTCTGCTCAACTGCCCATATTGGTGGACCTTGGCTGGGATGCTCCTGGACCTCTACAGGGCTGTGCTTTGGGCTTGACTCTGCACTGTATCCTGACTGCTGGACTTCGGTTGTGTGGCTTGACCCCTGTCTTTGAACTTTGGACTTGACATACTGACTTGCCGCCAGGTACGCCACTAGACAACCTTGGGCCAGTCACTTCCTCTGTTTAACCATTTGTACAATCCTGGAATCTTCCTCTGGCTCTCCTACCAGAAATCAGAGCCAAGCACTCCTTGAGTGTTGTGGACAGATTCTTTTTTCATCATCTTAAGCCTAAACCAAGTGATTTCACTACCCCAAAAAGTCTTTAGTCACCAAGCCACTATGCCTTCATCTCAAGTCTTCTTTCTTCTTCCTCAGTCTTCTTCCTCTTACTGTCTTACATCCTCTTACTGTCTTTCTACCAAAAACACCTACCAACAACAAACAGACACTCTCCAAACAACATGGACTGACCGTGACTGACTAGTTCCATCAAATATTCACTTCTTCTGACTTTAGTCAAGCCCCAACCAATCACACAATCTAACTGAAAATTCTAAATCTGTGGTGGTAACCAATCAAAATATGGATACTTTCTATCCTTCTTTGGTATAATGAGAGTTCTATCTCCAACCCATCCTTAGCTGTCAGTTAAGGTCTCCCAGAGACAGTTAAGCCAACTTCTACCTGACCAGACAGAATAATTTCCCCATCAAATACACTTCAATTAGAATACTACTGACAAAATGTATTACACAATAGCCATTAAACCCCAATTTTTAAAATTCTGCTGAAAATTGCGTCTTCAATGACTGCTGTTTACTACTGAACATGCAATCTGCAGAAAAGATCACCTTGTGGTGCAAATAATTTTGTGTGGGTGATTTCAAGAAGTAAATTGGAACAAGCCCCAATCTAGATTGAGAGCACATTCTGGATCAGAGCCACAAGGCTGCTTTTTTCTTCAAAATGAAAATGGCTAGAAAGCGCTTTTTTACAGAAAGCGTTCATATCACATGTTGCTTGACCATATGTTTAATTGGAAAAAGGAAAACAAGACCCTGGGTTCCTACAGAAAAAAATATCAACTTTGATTTAAATAAACAGCTTTTAGTCTTTTTCTACAATCAAGTGGTATTTAGTTTTTTAAAAAATTAAAAATAATTCTTGAAAAACCAGGCTAGTGCTGCTTTGAAGTGCTCTGGCCAAAGTCTCTGTAAATTGGGTGCCACTTCTGAGTGCTCACACCTTCAAAAATTCACATTGTAAGACAAACGGTCTGCCTAATATTTCACAGCAAAACTAGTACTGATAATTAAATATGTGGAATGGGCAGTTTGAATGAAAAAGGTCACAGCCAACACATTTCCTGCCTCAGGGAGTACAGGCATCAAAGCCTGATGGCATAATGAGGAACACAGAAAAATTCTGCCAAAGCTAAATGTGATTGCCAAAGATATGTAATTTCAAGCAAAGCTGTATATGGCAAGTTGTATTACTCATGCACCTCATGGGGTTGCAAACTGACTCTAACCACTCAGGAAGTAGACAAATGTCATTGTGGTTGCTCATCAAACTTCGCATAAAATCTGAACTTTAACAAAAAAACAACAACAAAAAAGATACTGGGGGAAAATTAAGCCATTTGAAAACAGACCATTTTGTTGTTTACTACAAATTAATCATCTGGAATCACCAGGTTAAGGAGGCTGTTTGACAGTTACTATATTTGCCATTACACCTTTGGGACAGGAAAATGGAGAACTTACAATAGTGACTGTGAATTGTGCTTTTCTAACTGTACCTGGCACAGATGTTATTGAATTTCTGCATTTTAAAGATATCAAAATGTTTCCTTTTTTAAAAAAAAAGATCCAGCAAAAGTAATGTGGCATGTTTTTCTTCAAGGTTGCATCTGTCTGTAAGGATTATACTTTCACCTATTAATGATAAGACAAATGGCATAGACTTAAAAGCAGCATGAGTCAAACTTGCTCCCCCCACCCCCAGACAATGCTTTTACTGCAATTATTGCACAGGTGTTATTCTGTTGTTGCATAAGATCCAAGCCACATGCAACTTGTGCCCATAGTTCGTGAGCACCCAGGGACATGAACCCAGAGACAAGATCTGGACAAGGTGAGGGCAACCGAGAGATCTCAAGAGCAAGCAGAGTTTGTCAGCTCTGTCCAGGAATCTGATGCGAAGGAGAAGCGGGACAAAGGCAGAAGCAATGAGAGAAGGTAAGAAGAGACAAAGGTGAGAGAAGTAGGCTCAGCTTTCACAGCATATGACAGCATGGCTAAGCTGTTTAGGAAAAGGGCTACAGGCAGTCCTGGAATGAGAAGCCCGCTGCTTGCCATCCATCATCCACTCTGTGCTGCTATTACAATAATGCCAGAATGGGAAACTAATGGCAAATATTTCCCCAAGGGCCTCTATCAACCATGGTTCACCACAAGCAGATCTCCATTTTTGAACATGGTGCACACTTCCTTTTTGCTCTTTATGTGCATGTGGAATTGTCTTCCCCTGGGCTTACCTCCCAATGTTGGAATGCAAACAAGGGCGGGGGGAGTTGTAAATAAATAATAGTGGGAGTGTCTTTGGGCATATGCAAAGTGCAACCCTAATCATGTCTGCTTGTAAGTAAATCCCACTGAGCTCCTTGTTTAAGAGTGTTTAGGAAGCACTGCAGCCTTAGTCTGTACAAATCTGGGTTTAGGATTAATGACTCCCAAGCCAGCAAACTTCAGCAGTGGAACCCTGCCTCCTTTTAGAAAATATGTGGAAGCACCTACTGTTATATCTAAATAAATACTCAAAGGAGCATCTTTTCCTGTATCAGCTTGCCTGTGCGTTATTATCTGTGGAGGCAGCTTCACTGCAGGGTGGTGGGGGGGAGTTTTTCAGTCTAAGGGCCACATTCCCTAGGGCAGGAATTTCCAAACTTGGGTCTCCCAACTGTTTTTGGACTACAATTCCCATCACCCCTGAACCAGGAGTAGGGGCATATCCCAGCGTTTGGCAGGGCCAGAGGCAGAAGCGGCTGGAGCAATTAAAGTAAATCTTACCTTTGTACACTGGGCTAAGTTTTGGCGCACACTAGTGCAAGGGTCAATTTCAGCTAGGCAAAACCAACAAGGATGGCACAAAGCAAGAGTCAGTGAGCAACGTGGCCTGAAGAGTCTTACCAAGGGCTGGATAGAGGACAGGGGTGGGCCTGGGGCTCCTCACCCCTGTATCCACACCCCAGTTAGGGGACACTTACTCCGTGGTGCTGCAGGAGTGTTTTCTCCCTGATGGCACCCAATTTGTGGAACAACCACAGGAGCTGATATTTAAGCGCCATGTTAAAGCTGACTTATTTTTACAGGCGTTTTAAGTGCTTTCTTTTTTTTTTTTTAGTGGGCGACGGTTTGCTTTGCCTTTCAGTCGCTGTTTGTGTTTATCCTGACGGGTTCGCTTTATGGTTTCGTTACATTGGGGTCGCGCGTAATTTATTTCGTCTCTCGGGCCTCAGCCCTGATGAAATAAACACAGAGCCTCTATTTCAAACAGAGCCCCGCCGCCAACCTCAACAGGGGCGGCGGCGGCAGCAGCAGCAGCGGGCCTGGAAAGAAGGAAGGCCGCCTTTCTAAACGAGGCAGCTCGTTTAACACAATTTCCTAGCGCGGGGCTCCTTGTCAAGCAGCTGGGAATAAATCCACAAACGGTTGTTTCCGTGAGCAGAGGAAACGAGCTCGGGCACTTCAGCACCTGGGGGCGACCCGAAAGCCGAGCGTCGCCTGGCGTTTATTACTGGGGGGCCCTTTTCCTCCCTTCGCTTCGGGTCTGAGGGAAAACCGACTCCCTCAGGCAAAGCCCTCCCTTCTCCCGCCCAGCCAAGAGGCCTTCAAACGTCCGAGCCCTCCAGGACCTCTCCCAGGCCCCGCCCTTTCTTAGAGCCGTGGCCCCGCCCACCTCATCCCATTCCCGAAGATTGCCGAGCGGGGGAGAGAGGAGGAAAGGGGAGGGGGTCGCTCCGAGTCGCGTCCTCGCTCCCATACGGCGTTTCCGAAAATTACCGAGGGGCTTCGGCCTCTCCTTTCTCCTCTCTCCCCACTCTACGTCTCCGGCGGAGACGGCTCTTGCTGCTGCGCCTGCCGCCAGCACCGCTTCGCGCGTCGGTGCGCCTTCTCTCTCGCCTTCCCTTTGCTCGGTTCTTTTCGGCGCTGCCCGGCGGGCCCGAGTCGGCGCCGCCGCCGCGCTCTTTAGGCACAGCCTCGGTCTCCCGCTCGCGGGCTCCGGAGAGGCGCCGGTCCAGCGCGCCCCCTTCACCTACTCCTCGTCTCCCGCTGGTCCTGGCCGGACCGGGCTGGCTGGGCCTTCAGCAGCGCCGCTCCAGCTCCAGCTCCAGCTGCTGCTGCCGGGCTCTTTCGAGGGGGCGAGGACGGCTGCGCTTCCCGCTTGGGCGGCCGGGGGTCCGGCTCGGATGGCGGACGGCGGCGCCCAGCACCAGCAGCTCGTGCCCGGCGTCCCAGCCCCGCGAGGGATCAAGCGGGAACCCGAACTGGAGCAGCCCATGCCCGGAGGCGACGGAGCCGACAGCGGCCTCAGTAAGAGGCTGCGGACCGAGGCGGAGGCGGACGGAGGAGGCATGCAGGTTAGCAGGGAAGGCGGCGGGGAAGGAGGAGGAGGAGGCGGTGGCGCCACCCTAGACGGCCGCCTTACCCCCCCCCCCTTGTGGCCTTGAGGGGCGCGCTCGCTCGGGCGCGGGTGCGTTTGTGGGCGCGCGCACGGGTCTCTGCGCGTGAGACTGGAGGGTATCCTGTCCCTCGCCCCCACAGGAGTCTGGGGGAAGAACGCCGCTTTGGGAGGATGCTGGCCCCGTTGACCCCCCCCCCCGTCGGGCCGGTGTTAGGATCCTAGGCATAGCGGGGTAGGTGGGAGGGTGGGGAGGAAAGCTAAGGGGCTTTCGCAAACGTGGAGGGCCCAGCAGGGGTGTGGGCAGGGTAGCCTGCAGCTCCGTGGTTGGTCTGGGAGGGCAGCTGGGGGAAGCATATTGTGGTGGCCTCAAGTGTAACAGCAGCAACATCATCATCAACAACAACATCATCACCATCAAGCCTTTTTGTAAGGGAACGGCTTGTCAACCTACGTGTAGACCGTCACGGTTGACACTTGGAAACGAGCATGCATTGCTGGTCTTCGGTTTTAAAAAGTGAGAGGAGGGCCTAGAAAGAGACGAAGTTTTTTTGTTTTGGATCGCACCCATATCGGCAGTTCGAGGCAAATAGCTTTTCATTTGGATCTGTTCCACAAGAAAGTTTATTAGGCTTCTCGTTGCTTTGTGGAAGAACTGTAGAGTTTTATGAAGTGGCTCTGGATATTTTGCTTGTATCTGAGGTTGCAATCCAATTCAGGTTTGCCTGGGAGTAAATGCACATGCCTAGGATTGCACTGTGTGGACTTTATTTTAACTCTGGGGCTGTCAAAGATAGCTGCAAGGTACTCAGGTTTTAAACTCTTCATAAAAAATCATTTGTTCATCAAGATGTTGTACAGCTGTCACTCACACTTGTCACTCACCCAGATAAACTAGTATACCGCTCAGCTGAAGTGTAAATGCAACTTAGATATGATCAAGCTTGCCCCAAGAATAGCCACCCTAACCTGGATGTGACATACAGACTGCAGATGAAGTTACTCCACTGCTTCTTAACTATTCACTTCAGGACATTCATTCATCCATCCAGTGATAGAGGAAACAATTACCTTGAGTTTTGTGGTAATCTACTAGAGATGCCAGTCTGAAACCTCAAAAATAAGGGAATGTCTACTACTTTGGTAGTAGTTATTTACAGTTGTATTGAGCTATGATGCTCTGAGATGGGGGACTTTTGTTCTAATCTGTGGAGTTGTACTGCTGTAGAACAAAATGTGGTCCTTAAAGAAAAGGGCATCTTTTAGAAATAGGCTTATATGCAGCCTTATTTCAGAGTCTAGTCTGGCAGTTCTATGCTTGCAACCAACCAGAGTTTCTCCATGACTGTCCATGGGAGAAGAAATGAATGTTGTGTGCTGGTAGAGTTCTTTTTTTGCATTACTAGCAGTGGGGTGCTACCAAAGTATGAATGGTTGTGAATTGCAGGCACTGATGTCTGTTGTAGATGGAGAACAGTTAAAGTGACACAGGAGAAATCAGATACATAAAATTAACAAGCTGGTGGTGAAGGAATAGTACTATATCGCACAGCCGTCCTTGATATAACTAATATGAACTATATAATGTACAAATACATTTTGTATAAAGTTATTAAAATGTCATTTTACAAATGCATACTTGTACCAGTTTTCCCTCCCTCAATTTGTTTAAGGATTTGGACTCTTTCATTTATTAGAAAGCAAAGAATATCTTTATAATTCAATGGACACAAAGAACTTCCTGTTTAAATCCCTAGATTCATTCACATTTCATTTCTTTCGCCAATGTACCTGATTTGAGCCACGGGACACATTGGGCCTTTGTCTATTTGAGCCATGAGACTCATTGGGTACTCCAGTGCTCAGCATTGATTACAGTGGTCTAATATAGACTTACAGAGTCATCCTAACCAGGCAGATTTGTCAGGGGGTAAATTACTTTGCATCCTAACTGCTTCTGGCCAGGGTGTGTGTAGTAAGGGGTTTTTATTTGGGGGGGGGGTGCGTGTGCAGTGTAGACTTTCATTTTCTGCCTTTCCATTGATTCCTGTGCACTGAATTTAATTACACCCACATTTTCGGCTGCTGAGTTTCGTAGAGCTCTGTGAATCAGTGAATGGAGTTAGCATGCAGCATAACTTTGGTTA